TTGCGGGCGCATTAGTTAACCCAAAGGGCATAACCAGAAATTCATATAGCCCTCTCTCAGTAGTGAACGCAGTCTTCGGGATACTGCTGGACTCCATGGCACATTGCCAATATCCCGAAGCCAAATCGAGGGTGGAAAACCAGACTGATCCCGAAAGAGAGTCTAATGTGGAGTCAATTCTAGGGAGTGGGAAACTGTCTCTAACAGTGATGTTATTGAGTTGCCTGTAGTCTATACAGTACCGCAAAGATCCGTCTTTTTTCTTAACCATTACAACGGGTGATGCCCAGGGAGAGGAAGAAGGTCGAATAATGCCAATATCCAGCATATCCTGGAGAATTCTGGCTTCTTCAGGGCGTTTCGAATAAGGGACCCTGCGAGGTCGCTGCTTAATCGGACGGACATCACCTGTATCTATGGAATGTTTTGTAACATTTGTTTTCCCTAAATCCAATTTGGACTTGGCAAAGACATGTTGATACTGCAAGATAAACTCCCTGAGTTTTCTTTTCTCGTCTGCAGTAAGTTCATCATGTCCCTCTATAAGGATTTGAAGATGATCAGGGATAACAAAAGTTTTTTCGGTGGAATCATTGTTACAATCTGGGTTTATCTTCTGGCTCAGTCCATGTACCATTATTCCATCTCCATCTCCATTTGGGGAGGATGTTAAAAGTGACTCATCTAGACTCTCAGCTAGAGCAGCCACGGCATTTGGATAAAATGTTTGTACCTCATTACCAATATTGGCCAATTGTAATGGGACAACAGAATCACAGGGAGAGACAATACTGCGCGCTAGTATTATCCCCTCTGTATCAAAGAGGCATGATGAAGGTTCTACAATGAGCTCTTTGATTTCTTCTGGACAATTTATCCGGGCAGGGACAATAGTCATGCTAAAGGGGGGAACAGTGACTTTTTCACTAAGGGTCAGCCTATATACACAGTTGGTAAATGACATAGAAGTCTTAGACACACAGTCGAAATCGATGCCATTTAAGGTCACTAAACCTCCCGTAACATCAACCACAGCTTTGTGATTTTTTAAAAAATCAAGCCCAAGAATACATGGATAGTCGATCTCAGCTATCAACATAGACTGTGGTATCGTCATCCCCTGTCCTATTGACATTGAGCAATTGATTTTCTCTTGGGCTAGTAAACAATTACCATCTGCAACAGTTATCGCCACAACTGTCGACAGGCAGTCTATAGGACTGTTTTGCAATGTTTTGGCGATTTTCTTCGCAATGATACTGACTGTAGCCCCTGTATCTACGAGACAAAACAGGTGAGTGTTTTCTATTTTTGCCGGTAAAAATAGACCCCGACCTGGTACTTCAGGTACATCTGGTCCTATGCTATTTAGAGAGACCTCACCCGGACCTATTGGTTTGGCCTCTTCACGTTTTTTGAGTAATTGAATGAACTGAGTAATTTATCTCTATGAGAATCCAATGCCTTACTGATTTTTGATTTTTCCAGGGGGAGTGTACATTCTCTTATGTAATGACTGCCTTTACAATTCCAACATTGTATATTCCTTATGTTTTTAGGGGCACTGGACTGTGATGGGGGTTTGGGTGTCATTGGACTCTCTGATGGAGTTAGAGCAGACAACCTAGCCTCGAGGGATTCGATATGTTGGAGAAGAGACAATTGATCGTTCTCTACAGTGCAAGGTCTTGCAGTCGAAAGTATGGATTCATGAGAAGAAGTTCGATTGGACTCGTACCGAAGGGCTGAATTAACGGCTTCATCCAGTGTTTTAGGATCTGTCATCCCCACAGCCAATCTATGAGCCTCGTCATTTAAGGCATCCAGGAAGGCATTGATGGCAATTTTATTGAAGTATTCCCCTTCTAGATTGGGGTAGATCAGGGTGACAAGTCTTCGAATATCACAGCTTAGAGCTGAGACACTTTCGTTTGGTTTACGAAGTCTGTTTTTCAATTTGGTGAGAAGGGCACCATCTTGAAAAGGGGGATCAAACCTCTTTTGTAGAGCGTTTAGTAGAGAAGGATAGTCTTTCCTCTGTGCAGGACTCAAACCTGATAGGACAATAAGAGCATCACCCTTAAGAAGGGTAATCAGTTGGCAGACTTTCATCTCATTGGTCCATTTACTTATATCCGCAAATGTTTCAAATTGTATTTTGAATTCCCTCCATTCGCTATTTCCGTCAAATGGGGGGATTTTGGCATGAGAACTGAATTTAAAATTCTGTTCAGGTACGCTTCCTGAAGAAGCTTGAAGTGGAATGTATGGTGCAGCCATGGATTTTGCTGGGTTTATCTGGTAGGCAGAATTGGTGCGCGGATAATTTGATGGGGTATGTGATACAGGAATATCTTTCTGTAAACAGGATTGGTGTAGAGAGGGTATACCATATGAAGGTTGATATCCAGAAGACGGGTGAGGAGAGGGTATCCTCGTGGTCAATTGACTGATTGGATTATGTGGAATATTATAGGCAGATTGATTGATTGGTGAGAAAGAATTTGTTTTCTTCAGGTTGGTATGGGCTTCACCTGGCCCCATAGATACATAATTGCCAGGAACTGTTGGTGGAGAATCAACAGTATAAAGAGGGTATCGATAAATACCTTGAGGATCTGAATACACTGGAGTCGATTCCATTGGAGTGGACCTTCTGATTCCTCTATTCTCTACTGATCTTACATTATACCATCGAGGATCATTGTTTGATGTTACATAACCTTGAGGGTATTGAAAATTCCATTCCGCTTGTTGCGTATCCCTTTGAATCATTCTCGGAGTGAAGCTCTCACTTGGCTGTGAAGCCTCGTGGAAAGTTGGTCGCACTCTGAATGGAGGGATAGGTGACATTTCATGATGATGGTGATCCAATGGGGTCTGTTCAAATGTTTGGACTGACACAGATTTAACATTGTACATGTTATCTTTTCCCCTACTATCAGATGAAAAATGAACATGTGACGTTTTCCCCTGCAGTTGAGAAACGTCTCCATGTCCAGCATGGGCTAGTTCATCTTCACAATTGAGAGGGGACTTTTCTGACTTAGATTGACTGATGGATGGAGACAAAAGAAGATCCCCATAATTAGGATTCATCATGCCATGTTCAGAAACATAAGATTCAGCATTAAAAGGATCTTCATTGGCATTCAAAGGATCAACACCAAAATCGGTAGCTTCCTCCATGTGTACTGGGGAATATGAGGTACCTTGCCCAAGGGATACCTCACTAGGGTTCAATATATTATGGGGTAGAACAGAAGCCCCGTCTTGTTGGTATACAGTTCCTATGGGAGGCTGAAGGAACCGGGTAGTTCTTCTTGTATCCGACCTAGGGAGATAGGATTTCCGACTAACAGGGGAAAATAGTGCCATTCTAGGGAGAAAAGGATTCTTCAATATCTTCGTCCACAAGTGGGCCAATTATCAAGGGGATAACTTTAGTATCCCACCGCTGCCACCAATGTAAAATTCCTGATTAACTCTCTTTAAGGAAATTTATTTTTAAGGCTCAAAAGATGGGGACGGGAATTTGAAGGTCCATGGAGGCTCTTGGAGACGATTTAGAAACACAAAATAACAAATAGAGTTTGAAGGTGTAATTTAATTAAGATAAATAATATATTTGCTTGACAAAATAAATGGAATGTGTATATTAAGGTCAAGGAAGGAGCTAAGTAATGGGTTAATGAAATGAAGAACTTGAAGGCTAAATGAAGGGGTTGAAGACTATGAAGACTAAATGAGGGGGTTGAAGACTATGAATGAAGGTGTTGAAGAATGAATGAGGAGGTTGAAGACTATGAAGACTGAATGAGGGGGTTGAAGACTATGAAGACTGAATGAGGGGGTCGAAGACTGAATGAGGGGGTTGAAGACTATGAAGACTGAATGAGGCAAAACAAGACAAAATGGAATCTGTATATTAAATCGGATCAAATATGGTGAAAATCTTGATAATTCAAGCTAATAGAATAGAATGAGTCCTTCCAACACCTTTCAACACTTTAAAAATGTACAATAAAGAATGGCACCAGATATCAAATGAATCTATATTGTAAAATTATTGATTACCTTAAATGATGAATTTTCCATGTGGAAATAAAAACGTCCTATCCCGTCGGTAACTGAATGGATACTACACGTGGTTAGGCCACTTGAGGAACGAAAATAAAATTCACAAGAATACCTTTCCGACGGGTTGTGATGCAAATAAAATGCGCCTAAATTCAAATATACGGCAATAAACAAATAATACAATCATAAACTTAACTAGCAATGGATATTTATACAAAAACAATGATTATATATAACGAGACTACACACGAGATTTGACACGAGACTTACAAATGTGAAAACAAAAATATTGGAAAGCTTTTGAAATATACAAAATAAAGCATAACACATAAGAACAGAGCAAGGAAAGAAAATCAAAATAACAATTCAGCAGTTCAAATGAAGGTCTAACAACATATACAAACTTAAATTATAGAAACAAACTGCTGGAATGTTACAGCATTATATAACTGCTTACGCAAACGTCTTTGAGTTGGTCTATATTAATAAACATGACTCACACCTTCCAAAGTAAAGTAGATATACTTAGTAATAACAAAATTGTCATAAAGTGTCCCCAACAGACACCTGGTTTGGTTTGTTGGACCTCCTAAAATGTCCTATACAATACAGTGTACATGTTTGCCATATTTCTGTGCACTTTTCAGACCATGAAACATCACATTGACATTTTCATTACAATATAATACACACATCTTCATACAAACTTGTAAGTCGTAATAATTCCACCTTAAGGAAGTTCAAGTTGGGATCTCAAGAAATTATCCACCTTTTCATCTAACCATTCAGCTGTTTTGGCTATAACTCAAATACTGGCTGGCAGATTTAGTCTAAGTTTCATAATGCTGATGCCTTATTGACAATAAGTTATTGTCTTAGGACCTCTACTCAAAAACAAAGGAATTCCTAATTTGTTGTCATGTCATGGGTGTAGATTTTGCCTAAAGGAGACATTACTACTGCCTTGTTATTTCTACTCTACGAATAAAATCTTTAAAATTACTAGTGGTTTGATAATACATATTTTGCTCAGTGAGAATTGCTACTCAAGGGAGCTGCTGTTTGAAAAATGGCAGGCATATTATTATTTTTTGCTATAACCCAAGCTATAACCTCATTTGAAAAGAAATTGAATGACAAAGATTTTGTTTTTATTTAGATGCAAATACATGTAAGAATGACAATAATGTTTTGATAATTCATCTAGTATGGTGGCTGTTTTGATCAATGATTTCTAGCGTTCTTGTCTGACACCGTATTAGTTATTCAAATGTTTGTCAAACAGGATCACTCTCGACCAATCACAAAAGGGCCAAGATAACACTATGGTGCGATGATTTAACTGTTCCCTTCTGGTTCTTGAACTGTTTGGACATTTATATGATCATGTAAGGATTGCTACTGCAAATATAATATGTAATGTTGCATGCATTGTATAGGCCTGTACTAGACCTGCATTTGAGGTAAGGGTAGCCATTGGGGGACATGTGGGAACTGCAGGTTTCTCTGGAGGAGGTACTTTTGTACCATCAATGTCCTTTCTGAATGTTACATGAAATTGCCTCTCTGCTAGTGGCAAAGTTAACTGTTGCATCCCTGTTCCATCTGCCCTCTCACTAAACACCACTGTCCCAATATCCAGGTACCATGTCAGTCCACTGCCTTTTGCTACAAATGTATCATTGATATTTGTAGGTAGCAGATTAAATGTCCCAATCCCATATTTCAATTGAAGAAATTCAATTCCATTTAATTTCAATAGTTCAACTGTACACACGCCACTCATGTAACTCCCGTATGTACCTGCATATTCAATCAAAGGGTTTGTTGTGATATTATTGGAGCTGCCATCTGGAAGATTGTTAGTTACAGGTGGCTGGTACTGCTGTGGGTATGTACACACATTTGTCTGGTTCAACCATGGTGTGTAACCCATAAGGAGATCAGCTGTGAATAACTGTGTTGCATAGTTGAGAGAGTTCAGTCCACCTTTGTTTGTAGTTGTGAATATGCTGATGTTGTGGCTAGGAATAAGGAGTAGGAACGAGGTATAGCCAGGAACTGAGCCTTCATGGTACACTATTGGCAAACCTGAAATGTATAAACATTACTACCTAGTATTGATTGAACATTCAGTTATTCTTTGGGGGTAATGGAACAATGGAATACCTTCCCGAAGGATCAAGTCCAATATTATGTCCAGCTTTTATTAGTTCTTAGGCTTCTATTTTAATAATTGATATTTACAATAGGTGCTGCATGGGAAATTCAGCACAGTTTACTGATACACTGTTCCTTATCACAAGATAATATTTACATGATTTGCACTTACCTCTATAGTACCCAGTATAGAATCCTAAACCATACAGATCTTTTGAGAATGTTTCAGGGAAGTATGGTTTTGTTGCTATATAGGCACCATGGGCAGCATAACTACCTCTCATAGCCTCGGATATTAGGGCACCATTTATGACCTGTTTACCATCTAGATTGCCTGTGTTCAGCAGCAGTTTCTGCCATTCTGCCATATCACTGGCAGTCGTACAGATAGATGCCCCAGCTCCAACTGCCCCTATTACTCTACAATACAAAAAGTTCTTTTCATTTATTCATGTAAAAGTCAGGAGAGAAATGAATTAATGAAAAACAATCATTGCAACAGCTGTTATTTTAAAAAGATGCCTTTAATATCAAAGTCTTACTTCACAGACTCATATGCTATAGGATTTTTTATATTCTCAAACTCCATATGTGGTTTCGCAAAGTTGTTTTCCCATTCTACATGTGTGACATTATCCAGGAAAGTTGAGTTCACCATTCCTACTGGCTCAAATATTCTCTCACTCATTAGATCTTCCCAGGACTTTTTACCAAGTTTTTCTAGCATGTGTCCCACCAGCATATACATGATGTTGCTGTAGGTGAAGTCAACTCTTGGTGCAGAGACAGGTTCCATATGGTGAATACGCCTATAATGATTAATGGTTCTATCAAAAACATATACATGTAGTTCTTAGTATTAGTTTTTATTGCACTTTGAAAAGGTGCTATATTGTCCTAATCTTTTATCACACCACTGGCAGGATATAGTCATCATGATAATGGTGTCATTTTGAGTATGATCATGATTGGTGTCCTGCGTTTTATCGCACTTAAAATAGTGCTAATTAGTCATTGCTTTGTGTTGATGGTCATGTATAGGTGTGTCTGGGAGGGAAGGAGCTAGACATGAGCAGATTAGTGCCAACATCTGATTAGGTTCTGGGTATGGTAACGTAAATTACATGGCAGCCTTTTTAATTTTTCAGGTATAGAGCTGAATAATTATTGTGAACCCTCAGTGTGGTACATCTATTATTACATGTTTTACTCTTTTCTTCAAGTGCAATATTTATCACATTGTGTCTTGTTTTCTATATGTTTAATACATATACATCACTGACTGAGGGGTGGTGTCCAGTTATCAACAGTTGTGGAATAACAAAGTTAATAGGGGGAGGGGGTAAATGATGCTTTAGTAAGCAAATTGTTTCGTTTTTTAAATATTTAATTCTAATGAAAGACAAATCAACATTTTAAAATTCCGTTAGATGAAGGGAAGAGGGGGGGGGGGTCAAACCATAAAGAATATAACAATAAAAAATTGTTTTTTTAATTAACATACTTTATGAAAGAGCAAGTGACATCAACATTGACTACTTATCACAATTATCACCATATCTTGCGTTAACAAGTTCCTGTTTTACAATCACAAATATTTTTATAAATATGTTCTACAAACCAGCTTAAGCATTCCAAGAAAATTCCTACATTAGAAGAAGATTTTCAAGTTGAAAAAATAAGTGCTTAACCCGAATTGTTTCCTAAACCTGATCAGATATAAGCAATAGTCCATGCTTGCATCTCTAAAAATCTCAAATAGAAAGAAAACATGGTTTTCTTGGAATTTTGATGACAAGATTTGTGGAAAAATTCAAAATGACTGCCATGTAATTTACCCAGCATGCCCAAGACCTAAGACAATAGTCTGCTTTTGCATCAAGTTTAACTGATATGTGCTTTCCTGGAATTTGATGACAATGTTTATGTGTCCCCAACCTACATTCAGATGACACACCCATCAGAACAAGACAAAGGCAATATAAGCCCTTATTCAAAGTGTGATAATAAAAAAGACGTCATATCATTATTTATATTTCCTGATGATGGGTTTGAGTCTCATTGGATTCAAGAGTTGAATCCCATTGGGTTCAAGAGTTTGATTTAAAATTCTTGCGTACCTGAGTATTTGCTCTTTGCTTAATCCCCCAGTCTTCAAGAGAAGATCTCTGTATGGGAAGCCCATCTTATGACTGAGGAGGTCTCTTAATGTAGAATGCTCAGTCCTCTGTGTGTCCCAGAATGCAAACTCTGGACCCAATACATTCTTCACAGTTGTGTCAAACCCCTGCTCCAACCTAAATTGTAAAGCTGCATGTATTACTGCATAGTGGTGAGTCACATCCTCTCACAAATGCAGAACTGTCTCCCAGTGATGGGTATTACATAGAATTGTATCATCTCTTACATATTTATGTGTTTGACATACCCAGTAGAGGTTTGATTAATGAAGGTTGCTGACAGCAGTGCAGTGAAGTGCTTTGTAATGGATGCAATGTTGAACCGAGTGTGCTCTGTGACGTTGCCTTCCTTGGTGTTGTCTTTCACCCCATAACCCTTGGCTAGGACAGTATCTCCATCTTTTACAATAGATACCTAAGTGCCAAGATTCTGTTTCAGTTTATCCTATTTCAGTTCATTCTTAGAGACACCCCAGTTACACCAAACATACATTTTACTTGATTATATCCATAAACACATTAATTTTAAAAATAGATGACACACAGCTGTGAATATTACGTTGTATGAGAAGGAAGCTTGTTGAGATATTCTCCTAATTTAGAAAATCAGTGCAAAAATTGATGCATTTGAATGTACATATATGACTCAGGCCAGTATACAGCCTTTGTCAAGGTCACTTTTCAAAAAATTCAAGAGGGTTCACATTTGACAACTTTGGCTCAAAATCACTGCCAAAGTGCTCAGAATAGTATAGTAAAAACTGCATGATTTCAAAAGAGTTTTTGGCCAAGGGGGAGGGGTTCTCTCACCCCCCTGGCTATAGGCTTGTGACTGTTAATTTTAAAGTAAATACTTACTGCCATTCCTGGTATATTCCTGCATTGCATCCCATGTTCAATGAACTTGTCTAGAATCTCTTGGTCCACTTCTGTAAGTCCTTGTGCCCTCAGAATTGCAACAATGGCCAGGATGCCCAATGTTTTCAATACACTCAGAAACATATCACTTGCATCAAAACTCCAGCATCAAAAAGCTCAAATTACTTCAGTATACAGGATGAATGGTTTACTCACATATCATCTTGTTTGCTTGTTTAACAACACAAGTACAAGGGTCCCAATATGTTCTGACTCACTAAGACATTTTAATTTATTGGCTTTATTACTTTGATCTGCATTGAAGAAAAAATACTGTATAATTGTTATATATTGAGGGCGAGAGTGGTGTCAAAGCTCAATATTTACCCATGTCTCCAAGCTGACATGAATCACTTATTTTGCCCTGAAATCTGAAGAGTAGATTGATGGAACTTATTGAACACACCATCGTGTATGTATTAATAAAGAAAACTTATCTACAAGTATGAAATTAACAAAGATGCTAGATATGTGAGAGATAAGAGACAATATAATGCCATATATGATGTGCACTTTGATGTTTGCCTACTTGGATTGAAATTGATAATAACAATATTGTTCTGTAGATTCTGTTATATAATAAACTGAATGTGAATATTTTCCCCTTGTGCTATTTCCTATGTATCTAATCACCAATTTATAGTGTTAAAATATCCAAATACTAAGTACATGTATTTGTATAAGGTGAAATTGGGATATTGTAATATGTATGAATTCTCAGTTATAATGGAAATTGACTACATGTATTTACAATTATTTGTTGTTTTGTTGCTAGAGTATCCTATATAAAAATGTTGTTTTTAGAATTCTGTTACTCTGAGACAGATAAATAAACAGTCTTTATGATTACAATATTTTGCATATGTTTATCCTCAAAAGGCCCCCAGAAATTATCAATATGTCTTATTTGGTACATTGGGACTCAATTTTTGCAATTTTCAAAAACTGGGTTAAGATTTTCAAAAAAGTAAAAATAAAGATTAAAAGTAAGGCTAGGATTAGGTTTTTGATGAGAATGGTGACAGTTATGGCCTGCTGTTCATCCTGGAGAATATTTATACATGTATGTTACATTACAGCTTTCATTATCTATATATGTGAAATATAACTAAACCTAACTCTATCTGTGTCTTCAGGGAATGCAGCTTCATAGGAAAGCAGCAGAAGAGAGGTTGACCAACAGTGGTGCAGGGCAGTCCTTCTTGGCCAGACAAAGACAAGCTCATACACGCAGAACCCCCTCAGTTGCAATGGGACACCCCACAGCATCTAGGTGATCCTCTGGTGTTTTAGTGCAGACAAATTGGGTCTATTTTAGAGACTCTAATATTTTAGCATAAATTATATAATATATTACGCCATACAAAAGTTTAATAATGAAACAAAAGCTCATAGATTTTATATCAGAACTGAATATCATAATTGTTCAGAATATATCAAATTTCAACAAAGATCAAATTGCAATTATATGAGGAAAATATGTTATTTAGAGGGCTTCAAATAAGTAAAGTACATGTATACCAGTATAATGTATTCTTAGTGTTCCTATATCAATATGCCATGACATTTCATGATGAATGCAAGCTTATAAGGAAGTTAATAACAGTTATTAGAGAGGTTTTGCACAACATTTTCAGCTCAACGTATCTTAAATCCATAACGCATTCACCAGATTTATGCGTAGCAGGATTTCAATTAAGATGGGATGTGGTTGCAGAGATATGTTTTAGCTATAACCCGTTGTGCAAAACCTCTCTATTGTCATTCTAGAAACTTAGCTAATTGACTAGATGCCACTAGACATAATCTTGATTTTTATGAATAGATATTTAAAAGTCAAAGTGATTTCATATTTCAAATGTCCATAAAAAAAATGTGGTTCTCAAAATTGTTTATCAACTTTGGAATTTATTACTTTGAAAATGTGATTTCTAAGTCAGGTAGATTTCCTATAGAGTCCATGTTATAAAATGATTAAATTGTATTGACACCATAGTGGAACTCTTTCAACTGTTTATGAAATGTATCCATTTTGATAAGAAAATGGAGCTGCCTGGGAGTTACAATTTCACTTTTTTCATGATTTCACGAAATGTGGGCAGAATCTCAGGACAGTTAACATCTGCACTTTTAATCATTTTGTTTACATCTTTACTTTTGTTTTGTTCACTTCTGGCGAATCTGATGAATAACTTTTGGCACTTAGGTAATTAAAGCGTGCCTCTGATCCTCTTACTAACCTAAAAATGTTAAAAGAACAGGACTGGCTCAAAGCAAAATCATCGGATGGTTTCTCTTATAATTTGTACTTCTCAATCCTCATATTTCTCCTCAATCATATTTGATAAAATAATCAATTCATTTTTTGTCAATCCTGTATTCTCCAATATTTATATTTATAATCTTAAAACACATGTTAGGCCTAACACACAGCCCCAAGAAAACATGACAGAATGGGAATTAAGGATCACCGAAAAATGAGCTGTTTTTTGTGACAATTTTGTTAAACTGTATATACAACTACAAAATGTACTATCATTCTGTTTTTGCTTGTTTATTCATTTTATGTTGTTTGAAATACATGTACTGTTTATTGTTTGCTTATGTCAGGAAAGTCTGTGTCTCCTTATTGTTACTCCTTATTGACCTTGACAAGTAAAGATTGTATAACTGCCAACTTCTATTCTACATTATTTAGTTTGTTACACCGTTTCATTTATTTTAGCTTGAATGCCAATATTATTATAATGGTTGTTTATAGTTATCAGAAGTCAGTTTCTTATTTCAATTTTCCAACTTAATTTTTATGTACAAGATAGTAAAGTATGTACAGTCTGAAAGTAAAGCATGTTTTGGTGAGCCAGACTTCTGATGATATCATATACTACAACAATTTGCTTTTATTTGCTTTATACAGGGTGACCGGAAAAAAAGGAGACCATTGAAATAGGCAATATCTCCTAAAATAGACTAGTGACATCAATGAAATTTTGCATACATCAGGACAGTTCTATGGAAATTTGTTCCTGAAAGTGTCAATACAAGCAGTCAACTGGTTCAGGAGCTATGATCATTTACATAACATGCTCCAAATAGGCGCAATTGAGACCAACGCAGAGCTGGATACATTTGGCAAATACCCTTACATATTCCGACCTTGTTATGGCATTACATTTAGCATTTATTGCCACCTTTAGGTCAGCAATTGTCTCAGGATTGTTTTGGTACACATTGTCTTTCAAATTGCCCCACAAAAAGAAATCAGGTGGATTCAAATTTGAGGTGTATGGAGACGAAGCTTATCTGACCTATGGCTTCTGACTCAGTGGTCCCACTCAGTTACAGTATCATCCTAAGGAGGTTTTGGGCAGCCCTTGGTTTCCATATGGGATTTAATTGTGCCATATAGTGGTTTTAGTAACATGGCACTATGCCCAATACCTAAAGTGACTCTTAAGATTGGGTAAATCAGCACTTTGGCAACAGGATGATGAACCACATGTCAGATAACCCTTCATTGCCATTACAGCCTAGACTTGAATCCTGCTGATTTCTTTTTGTATGGATATTTGAAAGACAATCTATACCAAAACAATCCTCAGACTATTGTTGACCTAAAGAAGGCAATCACTGCTATATGTAATGCCATAATAATGCCATAGAGGGCAGAACATGTAAGGGTAGTTTGCCATATGAATCCAACTCTGCGTTGGTCTCAATTGTGCCTATTTGGAGCATGTTATGTAAATGATCATAGCTCCTGAACCAGTTGAATGCTTGTATTGAAACCTTCAGTAACAAATTTCCATATAACTGTTCCAGTGTATGCAAAATTTCATTGATGGCACTTGTCTAGTTTAGGAGAAATTGATTACTTCAATGGTCTCCTTTTTTTCCGGTCACCCTGTATATGGTTTTCTCATGCATGTTTCTTTCTTCATTTCAGAGATTTTTATCCTTACTAGCTAACATGGCACCTTCCATCTGTAGTCTGTACATGGCTTTACCCTGGTCAACATCTTCCTCTCTAACTAACCATTAAGGCTTCTTACTATGTTATACAGTATTGCCTGCTAACAGCTAACATGGATATAATAGACTGGGTAGAATTCTATGCATGGATATTGTTTTTTGGGCCACCTCATTAGAAAAAGGGAACATAACATTTTTACCTCCAACCAGAGTAATGCTTGGAAAAGGAAAAGGTTACTTATTGCTCATTCTTATAGCCATGAGATCAATTATTCAAGAAATATATCAAAAAGAGTTCTGCTTTATCATAATTACTGTATCAGGCACTAACCCCCTAATAAGCATCCAATGGCTTCAAACATATCAAGGATTGATCTCTTAAAAATCAAGTGAGTCAGAGTACTTTCTTCTATACTTATTAAAATCAGCGATGAATGTCTTTGTTCATAGTTATCTTCATTTTTATCTTCACCCCAAAATCTAATGGGTGGCCCTTTATATATGGTGCTTTGTATTTCACTTATTCATGCTAAACAATATGGTGAGTGTCAGTGATGTAGATGCTTTGTACAACTTTATGAATGGTGTTTGAGAATTGCTGTGATTGTAATGAGTTATAGAGACAGTGCAATAGAACATTAAAGTGTGGTAGGCAGTAAGACTATGAAAGCTGATAATTTCACATCTTATTAGCCTATTCAACACTATAGTTTAGAAATTTATCAAAATATATTCATTGTATGGTGTATAAGACCACATACATGTATTTGGTTTTGCCAGTGAAGTCAAAGTTAAGTCAAAGTAATACTGATTAAACCCCAATTTGAAAGGGGCATTATTTGTTGAGTAGAGTTATGTCACTCCCAATATACCTAACATCATGGATTTTCAAGAGAAACCCCATGCTAATATATTCTAGATTCAAACATGGCAGTGCTCTATTTGAATTTCTAAACCAATCAGAATGCTGCATAGCCAATAATGAACATTCATTATTTCTCCATACAGGCACGACCGTGCTCTATTCAATCTGCTTCCAGGAATCTACATGTACATGTACATGCATTGTGTTGTACTGGTATTATGACGTCACACCTGGGAATGGCAAAAATAACAGCAAGTTTGGTTATTTCATTGACCTAAATCTCCAATTCTCTGGAACAAGGTTTTCTTTTTTTATGTTTGAATCGGAATAAATAATAATGATAAGCCATTCAATATGGTGAAATTCTACATTCGTTGGCCAGAATGTCAGTACAAATGCACTCACCTTCGGTTCATGCTTTGTATGACATTCTGTCCAACTCATGCTGAATTTCGCCATATTGAATGGCCTATATGGAATTATTTATTCCTTAATCAATGAACTGTTTATATCATAAGCTTAGTGATGTGATTTGCAACTAAACATACTTGCCAAAAAATTCTGTTTTTGGTTGTCAAAAATATCAGTATAAAAAAAGTCTCTGGCCAGAAAAACATTTTTTCCATGCCTCATGTATTTGATCAGGCAACAGGCAAAGAATAAGGCAAAGTATTGTACTATATCATAGATTCCTTCTACCTCATATATTCTCTTGTGTTCAGTTCTTCATTTCATGCAACCTTGTCTACATTAATTCAAACACTATTGTTAGTCAACTAAATTTGGTGACCGTTTTAATTTGGCAAAAATTCGCTTATTCATGTCTTCACCAATTTTTCCTGTTTTTTCCAATTTTTCAATTAGACCCTGTCATCTCCCATCAAAATAAAACAAATTGCAGTCATTTCCTGAATGAAATAGAGTATTAAATGCATGCTTCAATTTTATTCACCACATTGGCGACCGTTAATTTCGGAACTGACTGACTCCTGTCAAATTCACCAATTTCACAGATTTTTATTATCATTAGGCTATGGAGATTCGCTAAATTAAATCTTCACCAAATTTTCAATTTTGCTCAATTCGCCAAGTTAAATTGCACCAAATTAAGTTGACTAACTGTAGCTCAGGCTAATCACTTGCTAAAAATTTATAGTTTTTGTAACTTTTTAACTTGATCTCGATTTTCATGTGTTTAGACTAGAGACTGTATAACACTAACATTTTCATCCCTAGGGGTCATATCAAAACATATTATACATATTTATCAAACCATGAAGTTTATTTCATTTCGTCTGAACCCCTAAAAATATTATTGAAAATAAACAGTGCACATTATTTCAGATTTTTGCTTGTTTAGCCGAGAACCAACACCCTGCAAAAAACATTGTATATCTAATATTCTGATTGATTAAACTGTAATAAACAAACTCACTCTGCATATTTACTAGTTCATTTGCATAATATTTTCAGTCGGTGTTAACTTTTCATTCTTATAGACCACTTTGCATTTATTTTGCTCAGATATTCACTTGAAAGTCCACTGGGTGTTTATTTAGAAGCACTTGAAAGTGGCTATGGGCCTTTAAAATGAGGGGAAAAAAATTTTATTCACTATTTTTTAAAATAAATGCCCATGGACCTATTCGTGGGTAAATCTGGGAGGTTTCTATTTTCTTGCTTTTAATTTTTCTGGAATGTGAAAAACCAAATATCATCAAGTCAATCTGGAGTATTGAAAACATAAACATGTTTATTTGTTAGTTGAAGAAAAATTGCATGATGAAAATTGTATGTGCATTATGTTTCTCATACTGTTACTAATAAGATAAGAACAGACTGGGAATGTGAATTCTACAAAATATGGAAATATACTAGTATATTTGGATGGTTATTTGATATGGAAGGTGATATATTGACATATTGAATCCCACTTGAGTTTTTAAAATGAGAATAAATGTGCGAATAATAGGGTAGTTTGAGCAATGATAAACCAGATCTGTTTTATATATTAAGAGCTAATTTTAGTGATTGTGTTTGATACCTGTATTACATATTAAAGAATATATCATAGTGTACATTTATATAGAATATTAAATACTATAAAATATTTTAAAATAAATATTGTATATTTAAAAGCAAATTGAAGAAATTGTTGTGTTACATGTTATTTAGACTAAAATCATTGATACTCATACTCAATCATTAAATAAAACGAAACACAGAATTCCATTAAGCAAATCCCCAACATATTTAAAACTAATTTAGCGTAGATTTTCCTTATTGAACGAGCCTTTGAACCTATTTTGACAAACAATCAAAAACTTTATCATATCACTGTCATATTCCCCACTCTCTTATTGGTCTATACCATAGAAGTGACCAAAAAATAAGCAGACATATTCATCAGCCAAGCACTGTGATGCCAGTAAGAAGGCGTATTCCATGAGGCGTATTCACCAGTTGTGTCATTTTTTTTTGTTTAGTGTAAATATGCTGTGCTAAATTGTACTGGTTTTTGTCTCATTTCTTCCTGAGATAGCATTTCATAAAGAGTTGACGTATAACCTGACTGGTGAAAAGGGTCATCAATTGTATGGCACTATAGAAACATAACACATATATCGTATATACCAGTTTGAACAACTGGATATCAGTCATTCGTAATGTTATGTGTAAAACTGTGTGAAATGCTGTTCCAAAAATCAACATGACAACTTCACTGAAGATCATCTTGTATTCTGAAAAAAGTTCTCCTCGACGTGAAGGGTGGTTGATACTGAATTGCGATTGATCTTCATTACACTTTCTGCCAGAAGTTGTTTTACGAAATACCTTTGAGGAAGCTGGGGAAACCTTAGATTTGGATGTTTTCCATTTCCGAATCATTGAAATTATACTTGGTGAATTTTTCCTTTGACATTCATCCATCTTATCACCATGATTGTAAAGTTTTGGTGCATTTATCCCTTGTTCATTGTTTATTTTTTCAAAATTGCCAATGTTGTATATCTCATTGTACATCATTCCACCTTTATTATTGGAAAGTTCAGGATTACTTGACTTATTGTTTTTCTCTTCATTCAAATCAATTTCTATATGAATCTGGGACACATCATTGGGTGTGTTTGACTGGCATTGACTGCCATTGCCATTATCAACTGGATGAATCTGAAATATATCAACTGGTGACGTATTGTTTCCTCCTTCATCCTTTATATCTATGTGAATCTGGGACACATTATCGGGTGCATTTGACTGGCTCTGACTGTCATTGACAGTTCCACCTGGATGAATCTGGAATATACCAACTGGTGACTTGGTTTGACTGCATGCCTTTGCTTCACTGCTACTGACATGTGGCTGAAAATGTACTTTTCTCAGCTTCTTCCTTAAGCTCCATACTGCCTTAGAGTGTACGATCACTGTTAAAATAAAACAGCTTATGTCGGCTGTATTGACCACCCAAACTAAATTATCATTTTGTGGAATAACAGCTAATATTGCAATATACAGGAATTGTATGGCTGACATAGTACACATTATCCACCAAGGAATTCTTTTGTATGGTTTAGTAACTTTTACTATCCGAACTATACCAATCAAACAAATGTACTTCATACTCAACATACACATTGGTAAATACTTGATCCATGCAAAAGCTGCAGGCTGAGTGCATTTATCATAATCCAACATGACAAAGATGGCTATTATCAGTTCTTTGATTATACCACAAATATGAACAAAGACTTGCACAAAATGGAACAAATTTTCTCTCATATGTAGTCTTTTGCCTCTGTATGCAAGAACAAGCCAGTTTATTTGAATGTACATGGCTATGGAGCATAAAATAATAACAAATATAGATGCAGTCCTATTGTAGTATACACAGTTGGTGTTGATGACATCAAGACTCTGATTGACTGATGTTAAATTGTTACTCATTGTTGTAAAAGTACTGTCCAAAGCATCGTTTTCAGTCACTTTGCTCTGATTGACTGTTGTTAAATTGTTACTCATCGTTGTAAAAGTACTGTCCAAAGCATCGTTTTCAGTCACTTTGCTCTGATTGACTGTTGTTAAATTGTTACTCATCGTTGTAAAAGTACTGTCCAAAGCATCGTTTTCAGTCATTTTGCTCAGATTGACTGTTGTTAAATTGTTACTCATCGTTGTAAAAGCACTGTCCAAAGCATCGTTTTCAATCATTTTTTATGTTAAAGATTTTAATTAATATTTCTAATAAAAAGAATTAGTTTGCAATACCTATTTGTGTGCATATTTTTTTAATTTTTTTTTTCACTTTTCTTTTCTATCGAATGAAATCACTCAATGTTTATCCAGTCATCACTGCACGACAAACTAATAACAGTTGATGAATTCTTGCACCTTTATATTAGTACACGTCCTGTTACATGATTGCGTCATTGATATGAAATTAATATAATTGCTAATGAAGTACAGTAAACCCTGTGTCATCCAAAATCTTGTGATATAAACCAAAACAACCCAATAAGGTGTGTATTAGAGATTAACTTTCCTGTTATCTCAAAATCTGCTTGGAACTATACCATTGGATTACTATGGGAAATCCTCAAAGAGAAAATTCTTGGGATTAAGGAAGGGGTACCATTTATACAATTAGAGAAATTATTGGCATACATGAAACCTATTTAAAACAGCATTACTATTATTCAAAAATATCGTAATAATGATTCCCAGCCCTCTGAAGTTTGAAAAAAAACAATACATGCATGTACCTGGGTGTTAATCCATAGATAATCCTTGAAAATTCTTAGAAATCAAACTACTATGTGACATCATAGATAATTACACTGTCACAAATAGAATTTACCTTATGGTGTGAGTACCGTAATCCAACACCAAATTCGAAAATTCACAACAATACTTTGCACTTATGGCGTTCTTGATCAACTATAAAACGCTTACCCCCCCCCCCATAGTGTTATTTATCAAAATGTACCTGTTCATATAGGGGTTTGATTGATCTACATTAAATTATAGGGAGTCAGGTTACTTTTTGAGATATCAGCATCCATTTATTGTAACTTGCGTTTGCTACCATTTCCTCAATTCTGAGATGACGGGCAAACGTGTAGTAAACATGCTCACGTCGGAACTATTTTGACCTACATCGCTATTTTCATAATTCAAATGAAAGTTGAACTCCTCTTTATTTTCATACCAAATAGTGGCATACTAGGTACCTTAGAAGCCAACTATGGCGTTATTTAGAACAAAACCACAAGTTTTTAAATGGACTATATAGGGGTCATACATTTTGGCGGATGGATATGTAACCTCACACCTTATTTTCATAGCTAAGCATAAAATGGGACATCTTTTTTATGCTGGGCACAAAAAGTGATATAAAAAAAAACCAAAAATTTATTTGTTATACTCCATTTTTATATAATCTGCTGTTATATATGTTAGTTCAATGGAAATCTGATTTGAACCTTTCTTAACTTGATACAATATGAAGCCCATGATAATCACCATGCAATATTTCATAAGCAGTAAGACATTAGATTTGAAAGTATGAATATAACACTATGAAAGCAAGGCATAGTATTGAATTGATGCATGTTAATTAAGCCTTTGTATCAGACCGGTTGGTATAATGATTTCTTACCATATGTGGTAATAAATGCACATATGAAGTGAAAGTGCATCTTGGTGCCTGTAATTCTCACCAGTAAATTTAACACCAGTAAATATACAGATGCATTTTTTATTTTCATGTGCATAATTTACATGATACTTAAACAAATGCCAGTATGGGTGTGTGTTATTCACATCATAACATTCATAATTTACAAATGTACATCCGAATGCACATTATTTCTTTCTTTGGGTAGATTCACCAACCATGGGTTTCAAGGAGGAGCTATCAGACAACAACTCAAATACGTCAAGATTTCAAATAACTTAATGTTTTTAGTTTATATTTCTGTATTTTATAATTTAATAAACACAGTTATAATTTTAGAATTGGAAGTAATCTCCAAAAATGTTCATGAAGGATGGGAAGGGTATTAAATGTGGAAACATAATTGAATATAAGATTTTCTATTCCACTTTTCACTAGCTTTCTGCATTGCTCCTTTGTTTCTGTCTCTTTGTTTCTTGGGTTTTTTTAACCTTAGGTGCCTTTTCTAAGCCAATCAAGAATTTCCTGGGAATTTGAAAGGTCTCTGAAAAAAACATGAAATGATATTGTGATTTGATTACTTCTAATATACCACATCTCTATACCACATCTACATCAATGTGTTCAATACAATACTAACCAGACAACTCAACCTCTTGAACCCAAGCCCTTGGCCCTAGACAACTCATCCCCTTGATAATTCATCATTTACCACATACAGTTAATTACTATTAATATCTCTAGTTACTATGTTACCTTTGATACCTATATCTATTATCTATATCTTCTCATCTTCTTCTTCTAAGATCATAAAAGTGAATAAGGAAAAATACTAGAAAATACCAACTCCGGGAGTGGCAAATCCCACCAAACACAACATATTTTATCAAATCTTTCGTCACTTTGAACATAACATGAAAGAAATGACCAGGCAGTAGTATTAAGTCCAAATTATCTGAAAATGGAAAACTTGAATAGTAATAATGTCTTCTTCAGGCAAAATCTCCATCTAATTAAAAAATTCAACCTTGAGAAGAGGTCCTATAACTATGAGGCATTCACCCCTAAAAGGAGGAGGGAAATAAGCGCAACAGATTTTGGACAGTCATATGTTGGATTTTGGATATTTCCTGGGGATCTAAACAGGTGCATATGTTAGGCCAATGCATTACCTCCAGGAAAATCACTTCTAGAGATGATAAAATAATTTTGATTTTGAGACAGGGTAGATGCAAACAACTCACCCACATGTTTTTTCTGAAATGTTTTCCTGATTTTCAACCCCTTCCATCCCTGCTTTTTTAATTTTTCTTGCATCAATATGTTGCATTTTGACACACACTTAATCCCTAAAAAAAGGAATAAATGATTCCTTTTAGATAAAGTGGAAAACAATATTTCCCATGTTATTTTCCCATAGGGAAAATCATTGCTTTCAGCTATAATTGGTATCTTTAAACCCCTGAAGGAATCACTCATTCCTTGAGGAGGTTAACATATGGCCTAACATATGCAATTGTTTAAATCCTCAGAAAATGGCCAAAATCCAACATATGACTGTCCAAAATCTGTTGCGCTAATTTCCCTCCTCCTTTTGACCATAACATGATACCTATATAGTATATGCATTATGCTAAAAAAATTATACTGGAAAATTTCAGCCATTTTGAATTCAACAGCCATCTTGAAAATTCCTTCTTGTGAGTGTCCTATGTCCCTAAGGCATCAGCATATAAAATTTGAGCCAAATCTGTTGACTAGTATTTGAGTTACCAAAGATTACATTTTTTAGATAAATAATAAGCAAAGCTTTATTTAGCAATAGTTCTTATTTCCTACCTGTTCTATAATCCCAATGTATGGGATAATAGTACATAATCCCATAGGGTATAAAACAGAAGGCTCATTCAATGATGCCCAAGGACATGAACAGGGCTCTTTATGCAAATAGCTTTCACTTACAAATACATGTACATACCTAATAATAAATCAGCTATGAAGTTTATCTGGTTTCCTTGAACTAGAACTTGTAAACCTCGCTCTTTTCCTCTATTTGTTCCAGGAAGTTTGCTAAGAGAGACACTGCTGGCTACACCAACTTTAACCTCTTGGCCAAATCCCTTGGGGTCAATGCCAAAATTCTCGAGATTCTCAACCAGTGTCACCTACAAGAGAATCAAGGAAACATAAGCCCAATTGTCATTCCTCTAGTTGATTTCATAAACTCTAAGTAATGATAATACAGGGTGTCCAAAAAAACAGGACCGTAAGAAAGTAGAATAACTTTTTGCAACAATTTTGCATATTTTGCCTTGAAATCTTAGAATTATTTAGTTCATTCAATGTTATTTTGTTGTGAAAGTTTGATAATAATCTGCCAGTTGAGTCAAAATCTACAGTTCCTTACAAACCATGCCCCAAATGTGCAACTCTCCTCTCTATGCACAAATTAATCCGGCGAACAAAGTTGTTGATGATCTTCCTCCACACATATCTTTCTGAATTAGGACAAGTTTATTCCAAGAACAATTGAAACTGGGGCTTACATCCTCCTGATGAAATGTTACAGCATCCATTGCATTCTGAACAATGCATTGCCTGGGCGGCAATGAGGAAACATGGAATCATCAGTCCTTTTTGGTTTCGATGGTGACTGGGTACGTGATTTCACTATGAACAAGGACCAGTAAGTTCTCGCTAAGTTTTGGAGGTCACTAAGCACCAGAAGGGACATCTAAGGAGATAAGCAGTGGTTTCAACAAGCCAATACCACCCTAACACTGCAAATGATATGCTGAAATGGTTTAAGCAATGCTTTGGTGGTCAGCTCATCAGTCGCAGAACGCAAACCATATGGGCAGCTCATTCGCCAGATCTAAATCCCCCAGATTTTTATCTTTGGGGATTTCTCAAAGCCAATGTGTATACTGACAAGCCCCTAACAGTCTTAAAAGGGTAATAACTACCCCAATATGTACCATCCACATTGATGTGTATAGGTTAGGGGCATTAACAACTTGGTTCACAGTATTCGTTTGTGTATAGAGAGAAGTGCCCGCTTTGAGCTTGTTTTGTAAACAGTAAAGTACTGTAGTTTTTGACACAATTGACAGATTATCATCAAACTTACAGAACAAAATTCACATTGAATGAACTAAATAATTCTAAAATTTCAAGGCAAAATATGCAAAATTGACCGAATTATTCAATTTTCTTATGGTCCTGTTTTTTTGGACACCCTGTATGTTTTACATAGGAGTCCAATTCACGAATCAAAAATCCTTAAATGATTCAATGGTGAAATTGTACAATGATTGACAAACAATAAATGTAAATATGAATCATAATTAAACATAAGACAACCAGACAAATTACCTGATAAGCATTACGCAATACAGATAATTTTCTTATTATCTGATGGTATGCCATCATAATATTTCAAAAATGTCACAAAAGGATAACAACAACAACAACAAGGCATTAACATGCAAAATGTCACCACCATGTGTTACAGATGCCAACTGCCCATCGCAATCAATTTAATCAGCTCTAGAACTTGGTACCCTCAGACATGGGTATGATTTTAAGATGACCTGACATGAGGTTTTCCAGGAATTGTGGTGACAATAATATGTGCTCCATAAAGAGCACATGTACTCTTAGATTCCTTAATAAATGCCTAAATGTTCCACTGCAGTATAAGTCAGTTTCATTTCAGTTTCAGTTCCTTAATATTTGGTAACATTTGTGTTTGTAAGCTTATGACTTACAAAGTGAAATGTACTTGAACTCTGTTCTATGCTGGACTGATAACTGGTCCTGCACAAAACAGTAATTGCAACATAGAACATAGTTTTTAAGAAATATGCTCTATAAGTGGTAATTTTGCCAAATCATTTAATTTGCCTATTGCCTAATTTCTGCCAGGTTCGGAAAATGAAATGTAAGAAATAATATCCAATGGAAAGTGTTTGTCTTCAGGAAAATTAAAATACCACTTATAAAATGTCTGTGCCAACAAATTAACATTTGAAACAAAGTGATGTTTGTGAACTGATCATTTGGTTCAATAACAACCAGACATAAAACTTTGGGTTCATTTGTAATGGCGTTTATTCTCACTCATATATCCCGGATGTATGTACTGGACGAAAAGTTTATCAAATGACAATCCCGGGGATTGTTCACACGTTACACGTATATCATTACAATGTTGATTTTAAAATATCTTGTCGAAATGTCAAATCATGAAATAGTAAAACGTTTCAGTAATCATTATTATCATTCATTAATTATTTTATTCATCGTTGGCCAGCCATTTGCAAACAAAGATTTATGTGTTAAATCAAAGATGTTTCAGGCAAATCACAACATATCCAATAGATATCAATATTACAGTACCTTTTTATTACCCATTCTTTTAGCTATTGTGATGGTGATTGGGTCAACACTTCCCTTTTTGATGATAGGTGTCTGACCTGGGTAGGTTATACTATAGCACGGGGCCATCCTAGCTTGACATCTGAAAAAACAATTTATTCATATTTCTATAGTTTGGACTGTAGCTTTCATGGCATTACATATCAGAAATACAATGGATTTTCACATGACAGTGAGTTAATGGAATATCAGTGCCTCTATTAAAGTATTTCACATATTCTGAGTAACCATATCCAACTGTCCATATATTTCATATGTCAACCTATTAGACTTATAAAGACCAAATTCTTTTTTTGTGAAACTGAGAAATCAGGCTTCGAAAGATTAGACATCTATAACTTCAAAAGTATCTATTTGACATGTGTGAAATTTTCACACTGTTTTTTTTCATTGAAATTGTGTTTGTACATATATTTAAAGATTTTCCGCTTTTGAGCAAAACAAAAATGGAGATTGGACGATGTAACTTTCAATTTTTCATATGACTGAAATAATAAATGTGTTCTTCGAGTCCCCTTCCCTATAATTTTCATGGACACATATTTTTTACTCATTTTTGCACAAATAAATTTAAATACCAGTTTAAAATTGTAACTTTTTCACACGATTTAATTTAAACAGTTTGATAGGTTAAGATGGCACATGGAACAAGTTAAAATTATCTTTTAAAACTTTATAGAGATCTAGATTCGACACTAGAATGTGACACTAAAAAGCAGGATATTGAGAAGAAATATAGCTTAAAAGTAGCCTTGGGACATCATTATTCTGATAGGGTGATGTAACCAGTTATGTCATCACTGTCTCAGACTGTCAGACTGCAGAGATGATAATTATTGTAATATTCTAATAAAACATTGGATGCTAAGTATCAATTTCCTGTCTGCAGTTTGGAATAACAGAAATGATTACCAAATTCCAGTCAAAATGTCAACCTTCTCAATGGTAAAAATTTGTCTTAAAATCCATCATGGACTGGGAGTTTTCTCTACCTGAACTTTAAGGGAGAATCAGATCTACGAGCAAGCTACACAAAAATTATTTCAATTTCAGAATATTTTTGGCTTATATCATTCCTTGTCATGTCTAAAAATCCCCAAAATGCATACTTTATTTCTAAGAATTTTACAATAAATTTTATTTTATTTTTATTGTTATGGTTACCATTTTTATATTATTTGAGAGAAGTTAAGCATTTTTGCACCTTATATCATTAATTACTTCACCAATTTATGACATATCACAGATTTTTTGGGAGATTTGATATGTAAGGAATAGATTAGTAGGTCAATTGTGCATATTGCTTGCAATTTTGTCACCTCCTATGTATCTGATTCTGCCTTAAAGAGTCATCAAATACTTTTAAATTCAATTTAAAGAAAAAAAGGTTTACTGACTACAAAATTACCATTAGCTCTTCTGAGTTCTCTGTGACAAGGAACAAAAAAAAAGTCTCTAAATCACACCGGAATAGCCTGACAACGGTAAAGTCAGATACCGTTGTCACAAATTGCAGACATAACCATCGCTTCAGTTAGATTTTCATGAACTGTATGTTTAATATAACGACTAGATTAAATTCCTTTGGAAATAAAGGCTTTAATTTCACCGATCGGAATATGACACAGGACAATGGATACTGTATAAATGACAATAGAAGGTGTGGGTCAAATGTGATGTAAAATCGAGGTGACAACGGTATATGTAAAGACAATGGTAAAGTGTCTATTTACCATTGTCATTTTCCTATGTTCCAATGCAATACATCCACCATAGTCCGTTGTCACATCTTACCATATGCCGTTGTCTTTGTAAATTATTTCAAATTCAGATTCCGTTGTCATTGACGATATCAAAGACGCTATATTGTGGCCATTCACGACCCCATTTGATAGAAATTGGGATTTCATATAATACATCATCACACGAGCTTAATACTTGCATAGAATTAGCGATGATAAACTCCCATGAAACGAGGACCAAGTGATTAAAGAGTTGAAGCGATCGTTATGTCTGCCATTTGTGACAACGGTATCTGACTTTACCATTGTCAGGCTATTCCAGTATGTAAATAAAGTGCATTGTGATCTGATCTTTCAGTCCCATCATTGTGCTCATAACTTTACATTGATTGCTGAAAAAATACTTGTCAAAAAGTGTCTTTTTTGGGACACCCAATGTATACCCTGGAATGTATGCTGAAATGTCAAAATAAAACATTTTGAACTTTTGGACATCTTAGTGAATAGATTAGTTATACATGTATATATTGGTAGCATTAGGCCTATTTGTAGCCATCACAACAGATTTTCTGACACTTGTTCCATGTGTTTACATAACTTACTTTTGTATCATCTCATCCCACCTGAGTGTAGGAACATTGGAAGCCTTCCCCAACACTGCATCTGTTAACACTGGGTCCATCACAACCCTCCTGTAATACATCACAGACACATATAAAATTAATTCACTTCATTTTCATCCAACCAGATATATTGGCCAAGGGAGTACCTGTACCTTTAAAAGAGTGGCCCTTTTGGTCAACAAAGGTTTTTGTAAGACAAGACAAAGGTAAGGTAAGACAAAAAATATATTTGACTGAACAGACATTCACCTTTGAAAGTACACAGGCAAATTACATCAGACCCCGTACAAGCTCGTACGGAGCTCGTTGAGTCAATGGACCCTGTACAACCCTGTAATTTTCAAGCCTTGTACTTGCCTGTGCAATGCCTGTAACAAGGCCCGTAATGACTCATAATTTTCTAGCACTGTGCTTGCCCGTAAGGGGCTCATAACGAGGCTCATAATTGCTCGTTTGTTTTGATGAACACTTTTTGATAGATGAAATTAAAATTCAGCATACTTGAGAAATGCCATTTCAATGATGGGCCTCGAAAACGAGCTTAGTACGAGCCCCATGGTATCATTATGAGAAACTCTGAGAAATGTGAAAATGAATTATGTTTTTCTCAGTTTCTTGATGCAATGATGCTCATGTGTGCCAAAGCTACATAATGGCAATGCTAAGGTATAACAAATCACTTCAAATATTTCACCATTTTTCTAGAATGCTGCTATGTTTAAATTCTTTCAATAAAAAAGTAGAATGCCACATGTAAAATCAATTGTCATTTTCAAATACCTGCCACATCAGGTAAATAATGGTTGACACTTCAATCTCATCAAACAAAGTTCATGGGGATATAGAAAACAGTTCCAGTAGTGGAGCAATGTTGTTAAAATTATATTGAATACTAAGCATATTTCACTTTCTTATGACAATTTGACTGGTGAGTATAAATATCAACTGATAAAAATTAGAATTATATCTGAAATAACCTTGCTAGAGCACACTTACCCAGTTTCATTCTGTAGCTCATTTTCTTTAACATGTTTCTTAAGTATTTCACGGATTTCACGTGTACTCAAAGCATCTCCTTTCCTAAAAACACAAGACCACAAGAATGATTTAAGACAAGACTTTTGACCATGAGTACTTTCTCATTTTCTTTGGATGATGAACTGAAAGATTTCAGATGTTGGTGACCAAAATTAGGCTGAAAACAATGAACAGCAAGAGTTTTCTAACATGGGATATTTTGTTTTCAACTTTATTACATTCCAACATTATTTCTCTTTCAGAAGTTACTGACAAAGTTGAAACAAGAAAAGGAGTGAACAATATCTCAACTTTGAATAGAATAGACAATTTTTGGTATGGAAGGTCCAACAAAACGGCCGCCTTAACTTTTACCCAGAATGGAAATACGTAGACAAAATTAAGTGAGACGCTCGTTTGCAAATCTGACAGGCCAACAATTTGATCACAATATAGCACACTGGGGTCTGAAAAAGTTTTGCTCTGCTAAAATAGAGGTCCTTTTTCTGAAATAAGTCTGACTTAATGGTCGGAGATATGACTGTCTTAAATTATTTCATAACATACCTTGTCTTTTACAATTGCAAATTCAAAGACAAACAATGCACATGATGTTCATGACAATTTATATGATCATCATCAAATCATTACAGTTCACTGAATGATCATCAGAGTCTGACAATCCACACAATGGTCTTCAAATAATGACAATTCACTCGATGGTCTTCAAATAATGACAATTCACATATGATGGTCTTCAAATAATGACAATCCACATGATGGTCTTGAAATAATGACAATTCAAACAATAGTCTTCAAATAATGACAATCCACACGATGGTCTTCAAATAATGACAATTCACAAAGTGTTCCTGATGTTGTAATGTTACTTACTTGCAGTTTGCTATCTTAAATAGCTCCATGGTGTTCCCATTGACCATATACATCTCTTGAATCTTGGGTGGTTCATATACACAATCTTCCTCCTCCAACATGATCTCATTTTGAGCATCTATGATATCTTCAGGAATAACAAATTCTCTGTACCTGGAAAGAGGAAGCAATTGCATTAATTGTAAATTTTCATATTTCATACCATGTATTATTATAAATTGTATGTCTTGCTCAACTCATATTAATTGTTCAACTTTATGATTTTTCCAATTTTTGACAATGCACTGATATACCCCCTATGGGTATCTAGTGCACAAATGTAACACTAGATAATTATATTACATGATTAAATAATAAAAAAATTAATAAAAATGCATATAAAAATGCAGATAATATATCAATATTTTGGGCAAAAGTCATTTCATGAAGCATAGTTTGGATTATGCCATGCATGCATTTATAATTGTTGCTTATAAATAGATGTGTGTGATTAAAAATATTTTTAAAAAGAAATTTCACATATTACATTCTAGGACTGCATCATGAACCAAATAAAAGTGCTTTTTACAAACACATAAAACTTTTTTGCTACTCATCTTATAGCAATACTACCTGCAACAAGTTGTATTCATTTAGGTAATGTACATGTAACTTGTACATTAAGATGAATGGTTGGCAATATTATGTACAGTAATATCTATGAGATTATCTATCACCCCTAGTTGAAGTCATCTTATGATACCAGGATTTGACAATAACAAAGACAATAGCACATATCACTGGACCCTTACTATCCTTCCTGACTATGAGCTAGGAATCTTACCTTGGATGTTGTTTATATATGTCTGTTAAACTGTCCACACCTTTTGATAGCTCCTGCACCTTAATGATACCTTCAGTCTGCATGGACTTCAGGAACTTTGACAGCTTGAATAACATGGAAAACATAAGTTCATATACAAGTAGCATTCAATATAGGAATGTACTAAAAACCCTTCGACCCTTCGACCTACGACTTAAGGGTGTCAAGAATTTTTGGAATATATTTTTATAAAAACCATTCGACCTTCAATTTCTCAGTCCATATGAAGTTGCTGGAAACATTACTATGTATATAGAACTTAAGAATCTGTCCCTAAAGAGTTAAAGATATTTGTTGTATTCAAGCACATAATTTCGAATGTGAACTTTTCTAGAGTTCTCACGATTTCCGCTAAGTCTAATAACCATCATATTTGTAATGTGTGTGGGATTGGTGTAAAAAACGGTAACAAGAGGACTGGGTACCAACTATGTTTCCATTGAAAGAGTAAGTACAAAACATTTTCCCACAATGTAGATTAAATCCTACGGGGAGCTCAAGTTGGAACCATACATAATCATTTAGAAAACTGGACTGGGAAATCAGAGGTCGAAGGGTTTTTCAATAAAATATATTCCAAAAATTCTTGACACCCAGTAAGTCATAGGGTCGTAGGTTGAAGGGTTTTTAGTACATTCCTTCAATATACATGCCTTCTCTTGGTAGAAGGTACCATGAAGCACTAGGTGCATGAAGTAAATAGGAGGTAAAACAATTGAATGTTCACACTTAAGAGTATGTATCTATGATGGTTGCTATGGGTGTTTTACTCAAATTTAAAACCTTACCTTTTTATAACTTGACTTTTTTACATTTATTTCTTTGCCAGGTGGGCTACAAAAATGAAATATTGAAGGATTTATGCACATGACTTATACTTTCAATTCTAGGATTTGTTATATCACAACCAAGTTGTTTGTTGGTAACTAGTCTTTTAAACAAGGCTGTATGTCCAATAAGTATTAGTAAAATAAAGCAGTGTGAATGTTTCCCATTTATCTTAAAACATAGTATTGTATTGATCATGTTATCTGAAGAATTTGATTTCATATAAGTTTTGAAATTCTTCCTATAATCATAACTAAAACCAGAATCAAACAAAACCCTCCAAAATAACCACTGTGCTGAGTACCTTGAACTTTATGGTACAGTAACATGAGCACAAATATGGCACTTTTGTTGTGATGTTGGGTTAATGTGATTTGTGACTTCTGTATGATTACATTCATTTAAATAAACTAACAAAGAAAAAGACAAGAACACTTACCAATATGGCACCATGTATGAGCGGAAGAATTCACTGGTCAACAGTGGGAGATCAGTCTTGGCATTGACCTTGTCCTTTAAGGCACACATAAAGCAGGTGAATAATAACTCATCTTGGATTTCTACAAAAACAGCATATATGTCTCATTTTAATACATCCACCCAAGTAGCAATTTCCAATAATCCTTTGTAAGCAAAGCCATAAGAAGGTCCCTCAAAAACCATCCATTACTGGCAGAAAATTCAAATACCTTTGTGGAATTGACTATGGAAAAACTTGGTGGAGGATTTAAGAAGTCCAAATGTGGAAAACAAATAGGATATACAGTTATAAAATATAAGAAATTCAAATCTTTATATTACATGTATGATTGTGGCAAAATAAGGAAAACCTGGATGAATATGCTTAATTAGATAATTGTAGGTACAAATATCATGTGAACTGTATTAACTGCATTTAATCAAGTTTAGTTTTGGCTGTTACTGATAATAAGGTACTTTTTTGATACACTCTTTAAACAAGAAATAATAAGCTAGCCTTTATTCTATCAGATTTAAGTGTAATGAAGGACCCACGGTCCTGTGCTCACACAGTTTGGAACCTTCAGAGGAATGTATATCCTGACAAAAATATTGATTTGGATTTGAGAAACTTAGATAGCAAAGTTGTGTGACCTAGTTTGATGACCTTTGACCTTGAAAATTTTACTTATTCAGAGCTCAGTAAGGTCTTTTGTGATTAAGCTGACCAAAATTTACATCCATAACGGATGGACCAACGGACGGACGGACGCCTGGTCGATCCCATAGGCTCACTGTGTGAGCCAAAAATGACTAATCAATCAGATTTTGAGATTTTAAGGTCTTTAGATCTTCTCAGCATCAAAAATATAAACTTGTAGCATTCAGAGGGTAGTAAGTCCAATATGTCCATATTTCACACTATTACATTATCAAATCTATGGAATACACTACACACCAGATTCAGATCTTGTATCCTCCACCTCATCTTCTGCATCTTCAACAATGTTCAACTCCTCAATACTTCCTGTAACTTGTTCTACACCATCTTCATTGTCTTGTATATCAGATGATGTAGCATTGCACTTAATGTCTTCACTTTTTGGCTTGTCATCACTTTCTGTGGTTATGTCGTCAACATTGTCTGTTGTAATGTCACCATTATCAGTGACATCAGGATATGGTATATGTGGTGGCATGGACTTGTCTCCAAAAAGCCTGAAAATATGATATACTTGTATGCACATCTGTAATGGAACAGATACATGAACTTTGCATTATGAGTCATGATGTCACAAGAGCACCAAATAATAAACAAGGCGTTAAAACGCAAACTCTCACCACCTGTCATTTGTTACAGATGCCAACCACCGAACACCAACTGCCACATACCAGCCACCGAATACTGTCCACAACAAGTTGGAGACCATAACAATATGTCATCACTTGTGGTAGTGACATAAAAAGAAAAATCATGAAATACCCTATGGAACATTTTTGATGCTTCCTGGTATTGCCAACCACATGAAACTGTTACACAGGGGAGCTTGATTCACAATGTTTACTTTGCTAAATCTTCACCTTGATATTTTTAGCAGGTAACTCCATTGACTAAGTTAACAACAAGTGTTAATGAAGGATTCTTTTAAAGCAAAGATATCATGTTATTAATCCCTATTATGATTATAAAAGACTTACATCAATGCAATAGCTTCTTAAATAAAAATAGAAACCTCATTTAGGGTGTTAAAATTGTCATTTATAAGTGTGATTGGTGGTGAAAGAAATATTGGACACTTTTCGTTGATTTTGGAAAGATCTTGACTCTGGGGAGATATCCAAGATTTCATTATAGCGCATTCTCTTCAAAATGTCTTACCAAAGCTGGTCCCGTAATATACATATATCAAAATGTCTTACCATAGCTGATCCCGTAATACATGCAGAATGATGACTCCCTTGCCTTTCATGTTTACTTCAAACATATCTGACCCTGACATAGCCATCTTCCCCACAGCCACAGGGGCCCTGAAAATAAGAAAGAGGCATTAACATGCAAATTGTTACCACCTGCCACTTGTTACAGACACAACTGCAAATGCCAACCAGCAAACATCAACCTCCAAATGCTGACTGGCAAACACCAACTGCTGAACACCATCCAAAAAAATTGGAGAAAAAAAATGCAAGGGTGTATTTTGCACAAATGTTGTCACAGTTTTATGGTCTCCAATATTTCTTTATATACCAGTGGATAGGGAATTTACTTATCTTTAATTTGGTATATCATTGATAAGTTCAAATTTATTGTGATGTCTGCCAACCAGCGTCGATAATATAAATGATACCATTTTCGTTTCAAGACAGGTTTTCCAAAACTTGCAAAAATCAAGTTTTTTGTCAATTTGATTTACATAAACAGACACTCAGTATGTCCACCATTTTGATCAATCACCCTCAATTTTGCATCATTAATATGCTGTTGAGACAATGAATTTCACTTCTCAATAATTCTGTCCTTAAGTGAATAGATGTAAAGGATTTATAGTACACCAATTCTGTTAGTTCTCACCATATGTGGAAGTTGCAGACATTGGGTGACCGGGTGATCTGAGGGAGGCAGTGATTAAGGGGGGATGATTCTAGACACATTTTCCTTCAAACATTTGACACTCTTGTGGGATCTATTGCTTGGGGCCCCATCTTGTTGGAAAATGTAATGATTTGCAAATGAGCTCATATCATGGTGGTCCAAAAACAACATAATTGGATCATCCGATGTCAACATCTGAAACTACCACCTGTTGGGAGAACGAACAGAATTGGTTTACCATGAACCCCTTACATCTACTCAGTCCCTTATTAAGGATAGAATTGTAAGGAAGTGGAATTGATTGTCTCAACAGCATGTCAATGATGCTATTGACCAGTTTAAGCCAAAATTGGGGGCTATAATTGATCAAAATGGTGAACATATTGAGTGTCTGTTTATGTAAATCAAGTTGACAAAAAACTTGGTATTTGCAAGTTTTGGAAAACCCGTTTATAAACAAAATTTTGAGGTCATTTATATCATGAACGCTGGTTGACAGACATTATAACAAATTTGAACTTATGATATACCAAATTAAGGATTAGTAAATTCCCTAACCACTGGTATATAATATGACATGTTTTCATCAAGAAAAGCAATATTTATTTTTGAAATACGAGTGTCCGATTTTTTTGAACCACCCTGTAGAGCAGTTGCTAGACCCCTCTGGTCCTTTATTTTGAAAAGTAACAAATACATTAAAAATCATGTTCAATAAATAATGCAGATTTTTTATGAGGTTAGACTTCTGCATCGTACATCTATTACATTCATAAATACATGTACCCAACAAGATTTTCTCTGAAGGGGACAATTTAAGCAAATTTTGGCTATCTGCTGTATTCCATGTATAGAATGTCCCATCAACACTGTACTCGTACTGTACTCATCTACCTATTTTTGTCTAATATTTCAATGGGAGTCAGAACTTGTATAGATGACAGTTAACTACTAGGTTGTTCTTCACATCTGGCCTATTGGTTTGTGTGTAAATATTGCTGTTTTAAAACTTAAATTCACTACACATATCAAATAAATATCACATTTTCCTTCATTATTATTTACAAACATGTTTTAAGATTCAAAATCAAAGGGTTTTGGATATTTTCAATCACATTTATCTTGGGAGATTTTTGGAGCAATTTTTACATGTTAAAGTATGCTATTAAACCCACTGAATTTTTCGCCATCTATTGACAGTTCTGAAGGCTATTGTCTACTATTTATAATGATTTCTACTTACATTTTCAAAACTAATGGGCTACATAGGGGCTCTTTAAGTAATGGGTGAGAATGGTAATTTAAAAAGCGATCTGGATGCTTTTTATGGCGAATATGGTATTATAAAAGAATTTAAGAACCAATATTGTGGAATATATCATAAAAGTTAATCGTTGCTTGCCTTTAACCAAAACTGTATAATCAATAAGTGACACAAATTCTAAAAAACGTAATTCAAGTGTAGGCAGGCCATTTTGACATCTAACAAATTTTATTCCAGTTTCTAGATGGCTGTTCTGAAAGTATGCATTCTAATTTGAATTTTGATGTGCCTAGAAGTTCTATTACAGAGACGTTTTCTAAAACTGTAACATATGTTTAATTTAATTTGAACTAGAAAAACACCAACTCCCTGGAGTAGATAAATCCCACCATTTTATATTTACAAATCTCTTGGCATCAATCTCTTTTTTCAATGTCATTTTGAACATTTTGTGAATGAAATATCTAATAGCAGTATTGCCTCCTTTTGGTACAATCTAATAAGCATAAAACATAGCACTTTAGGTATCATTTACTCTACACAGATTCACCATATTTAAAAGAACAATCACACAATCAAGCATCAATAAATCTTCTACCTGTTCCCATATAAGTCAACAGCAACAATCTGACCCTTGCTTAGATGTTTGAATGTATATGGTGTAACTGGCTCCCTCACAATAACACCTGGCAACATCAAATCTGAAACGATATGTGAAATACATTACATGTAATATAGCCATACTTTTAAGAGATCAGAAAATAATTGGGGGTCAGGGTGAAAAACCGGGGATATATGTCAAAAAGATAGATGTTGTTAATATTTTACCAAAATTTCAAATAATAATATTTATTACTTTGGTTTAAAATGAAAAACATAAGATTTTTGCAAAAATTCAAGCCATTTTTAAACTGGCAGCACTATATCCCTACTGAACTTTGTTCGTTTGGATAACTAACCCCAACCCTACACACCATAATAACAAACCATCTAATAGAGAACTTACTCCAACTATGTAGCCTTTGCATTCGTCCGACTTCACTTCTTAAAAGAGAGCTTTGCCTTCACTCTTTCAGTTTACAATAAATTTCTGAACTCACCGAGCCATTCAGAGTTTGTCATTGAAATACGGACGACTTTCTATATATGGTAATTTCCTCTGACATCATTGCATAGTTAATAAGCAAGCATTTAGCATGTGTTCCAACTTCCTTCCAGCTCACTGATTGGTTGAGGAATGATCAGAATAGTAGGTTTGAAATGATTTATGACCTGGGCTGTCACAGGCATAGGTCGTAGAGGCGGGGCTACTAAACTGTAATATAGTCTATACTAGGCAGAAGGTAGTTTATAACTAGACTGCATGCAGGGTACCAACTATGTAGACTTGGGAATGTCTCCCAGGAAGACCTACCTGCACCTCCTACCATCCTATCCAACACTGGGGGTCCAGTAGTCAACACAGGCAGCATATCAGGATACCTCCATAGAGTGTATACTTTATGAAAAACAAAAAAATATATTATCATATTTTACTAATGTATTTTTATATCTACAAAATGTAAACATCTTTAAAAAATCACATATAAATGATGATAGAATATAGTCATTATTTACTAATGGTCGACATTTGCAATGTTTTCTCTATATTGAATTTAAAATTAAGTCTGCTATTTTATATATAAGTTCTATTTCAGTACTGTAAAGTGTTTATGTTGTTTGTGTTAATAGTTAAAACATGCATTTCACAGCTACCTTATTTTTCAGGGAACACACTAATAAGGGTACTGACTAATAAGGATGATAACATGCTGACATCATTTGCAAGAAAAAATAATTAACAGTTGGCTCAGATATTATTATCAAAAGTATTACATGGTGTCTGTACGGTCATACCTGTAGGATGTACAATTTTGTCTTTCTCATATTCAAAGAAGATTGGCATCTTTTGAAGGCTGTACACCAGCATTCCATCACCACTGTGTGTGTAGATCTTAGTCACTGTCATTTCTTCCTTATTTGGTATGATTTCTCTTGCAGCAACTCCAGCTGCATTTGGAAACTGTTTTTCAACATTAGCACGCAGTTTCTTCCTTAAAGGCAAATTAACATGCAAGGGTATATTGGTAGTACATTGCATAATTTGGAACCAACAGTTCCCTTTCAAAATCATCAATGTCAAGATATAGGGGCAGAAAATTCGATATTGGTCTTATGGTATTTGCAGGCATGTCATGTCAACCTGGGAACATCTAAAATGAGTGACTTACAAATGTTGAACACCTTCCTTCAAATTGTGAACACCTTGGTTCAAATTTTGAACATATTGGTTCAAATTTTATTGCATTTATCCAAATTTTGGACACCTCAATTTTTCGCACTCACTTCGCTCGCTTTCACGAACTCTGTCAACGGGGGCTGGGGGGAAAAGAAAATTCGAAGCAAATGCTTTCGTTTTTTTTTGCCGTTCCTTTTTCAGCATTCATTTTTTGATGTTCTTTTCCTGAAATATTTTTGCTTGCCAAAGAAAAATGTGTATATGCATGACATATTCTGTCATGCAAAACAATGGGTGTGACTTTGATTTCTTCAGCAAATGCGTGACAAATATGCAAGTTGCGGGACAGTTTGAGGATTCCCTCTAAGTAGCACAATAAATGAATCCAAAGCTTCATACCTGCAAACGATGGATAAATTCCTACAAAATCGAACGAATGTTTTCATGGATCGCCATGTTTGTGATCCAAGAAGGATTGACTCCAAGAATGCAACATCAGTTAAACATCAGTAACCTTATTTACTTGTAACAGGTTTCAAAATGGCGGAACAGCATTTTGAAAGCTGGCACGTGTCATGTTGCATTCTGGGAGCCAATCTTCCTTGCGGCGTAATCGAGCTCCAAAATCATCTCATTATTGGAAGAGTCGACATTAACATGTGAATATCACTTCAAATTTTTAAGTTCCTATTTGTCATTTATAGACACAAATTCCACTGTATTTGTACGTTCCGGGACAGAGAAAATAGAGCACTCGATTCATTGAGGTAAGAATCTATGACATATGTGACAGAATGTCTTTTCATAGTGTTAGTGTCGTACTTACAAAATAATCCACCGCCTAACTTATGCACCATCGAACTCGGTAATATTGTACACGTAACTATTAATAATGGTTTATTCCCATAGAAAACTGGGCTTGCTTTTCAACATTTCAAGCGAAAATTCTCTACGGAGCTTTTGTTTTTCTGACGTAATTTCTTCTAAGAAATCGGTCACGTGACATGGTTCAGTTCATCTTATTTCGAAATGGGTGTCATCTATTTAGAATATTTATTTTCATCTTGTCTTACTCACTTCGAGAGACATGTTAGATTTTGAAACTTATGGCTCTCCAACGGAAAAATGGAAAGCTGAATAATAGTGACCTTTGAAACATGAATTAAGTTGATCCGCGGCTTACTTTTGTTCTCCAACTATGTCATACATCATTATCATCCTTCCGTGCAAGTATTGGAGCGCTGAAGTACTTCTTTTCCATCAAGACTTGTAATTGTTAGTCGAGTGAATGTTTATTTCTGCCAAATTCCAATATAGCGTTTTCTGCTCAGACATTTTCGTAAATCTCTGGAGGTTGTCCGAACCTAACTCATTCTCAAAATTCATTTCGTTCATTGCGCATCTCGCTCCAAACCGCCATATTGGAAATGGGTCGAAAAAACATTCACTCGATGAACAATTTACAAGTCTTGATCGAAAAACAAGTATTTCAGCGCTCTTATACTTGCACGGATTGATGATACTGATGTAAGACACAGTTAGAGACCAAAAGTAAGCCGCGGATCTCATTATGACAGGTTTCAAAATGGCGGAACAGCATTTTGAAAGCTGGCACGTGTCATGTTGCATTCTGGGAGCCAATCCTCCTTGCGACGTAATCGGGCTCCAAAATCACCTCAACATTTGAAGAGTCGGCATTAACATGTGAATACTGAAATTTTTAAGTTCCTATTTGTCATTATGGACACAAATTCCACTAGATCTATATTTGTACGTCCCGGGACAGAGAAAATAGAGCACTCAATTCACTGAGGTAAGAATTTATGACATATGTGACAGAATGTCTTTTTCATACTCTAGTGTTAGATTCAGGCCTGTCAACTGCCCCGCAATTTGCGTATTTGTCACGCATTTGCTGAAGAATTTGAAGTCACGCCAGTTTTTTTTGCGTGACAGAAAATGTCACGCAAATACGCATTTTACCTGGTAATTGTCACGCAAAAATATTTCTGTAGAAAATTTTTCAAAATATGTTGACGATACGGTAAAAATACGGACGTCGGAAAAAACCGAACGCAATTTGTTCGGATTTGTCACGCGAATCCCGTATGTGTGACGCATGTTAATTGGAAATTTTCGTACCTACCCCCCCCCCCCCCCCCCCGTTGACGATATCGCGAGCGTAGCGAGTGCGAAAAATTGAGGTGTCCAAAATTTGATTAAGGTCAGGGTGCATGATGGGAAATTTTCTGCATTCCTCAATTGAGTCACATGTTATTTTTCAAACAAGAATAACTCCTTCCCCACATTGTCTATATCTTCCAGTTTTGCACAAAGAGTGCACTTATGTGCTTAGAAAAGACTTGTGGGAAGAATGTTTTGATAAAGTGTATAAAAAACAAGAAAAATCAGTAAAAAAAATCAGAAAAATTTCAGAAATTTTTTTCACTGAATTTTCTCATTTTTTATACATTTTACAAAACAAACCTTCCCACACGGCTTTTCTAGGCACATAAGTGCACTCTTTGTGCAAACTTGGAAGATGTAGACAATGTGGGGAAGGAGTTATTCTTGTTTGAAAAATAACATGTGACTCAATTGAGGAATGCAGAAAATTTTCCAACATGCACCCTGTCCTAAATGCAATAAAATTGAAAACAAGGTGCTCAAATTGTGGCCAAGATGTTCAGATTTGGACCAAGGTGTCCAAAATTTGAACAAAGGTGTTCAACATTTGCAAGTCACTCATGTTAGGTGTCCCCAAGTTGACAGGCCTGTAGATTATTTATGTTCACCACCTGCCACTGTACAAAAATAATGAGAATGGTCTGTCAATGTCGTCCAGTGTTTGAACGTGAAGAGCGTTATCATACGAAACGATGAACTTGTAAAATCACTGCAATATACCTGTCTGATCCTTTGATCGCCGTCTGGGAGCGTACTTTGAACGGTTTATGGAACATTTTTGTGAAAATATGAGTTCTTAGTTTTCTGCAAATTTCACAACAGGAAGTAAAATTATAGCGCCCTCTGTATCATGAATCATCGCCCAGTAAATTTTTTCTACAAAAACGATACCTCCTAAATTTTCCAGACTATCTCTTATCACGCTGTCACAATGCATTAAATCTTAATTAGAGCAGGGCTACAATATACGAGGTACTTATTTTTGTTATGTTTAAATTCTATTCCTGAGAGCTAGAGGAACAAATTGAATTAGGAAAAGTAAATATCCATTTCATTTTGTTTCAATTTTTCTCCCATTTCTGGTAAAACTGCCCTAATTCACGTCACCATACTTGTCAATGGCCAAAAGGGCAAACGCCTGACTTTTTATCTCGAATTATGGATTTATGTGGCCTCACTGGCCTATCTGAGGTTCTAAAGCTATGTCTAAGCTGTAAGTTGTCACTAAACTCAATAGGGGCCAAACATCTACTACTTTTTTCAAGGCCTGACTGCGTCGCTAACATGCTAAATATAAGAGTTAGCTGACGTTTGGGAGTCTGACTTACCTTCTAAAGGTTAGAACCCGAATCTTAATGAAACCATATCACCTTTGTTCCGTCAACCATGGAGCATTTGCCACAACATCCAAGAGGTAAATCATGTATCGAGAAAATGAATGATTTCCTTGTAAGTTCCGGAAGTTTCAATACGAAAAATTACCGAACATATGTGAAAACCGAATATTTGTTCGTTGTTTTCACGATTTACAGGTTCGTTTGTTCTTCAATGTTTTGGTCTAAATTATAAAGCATCACCAACAGGTCTTACTCTATTAATCGACTAATACAGCAGACGGCTCATATTTCTACGTAGCATTTCATTCAGACCAATAGTGGGAGTGTAGATCACGCAGTTTCGTTCGTTGCGTACTTCACTTGAAATTGGTAATTTTAAATATTGAATACTTCACTTAGCTTGGCGGATGTAGAACATTGCTTAATATTCTTTTAATTTTCACACCAGACATGCTTGGTTGACACGTCAACAAAGTAAAGTTCAAGGGTCAATGCGTTATTTCGTGATAACTACAACGCCTTCCCGCAAGTCAACATTGATGAAAAATGAAAAAGTCGGAAAAGCATTTACGCTAATTTCTATCAAATGCTATGTTTATGCATCATCATCGACGCAACAAAGGTGATATGGTTTCATTAAGATTCGGGTTCTAACCTTTAGAAGGTAAGTCAGACTCCCAAACGTCAGCTAACTCTTATATTTAGCATGTTAGCGACGCAGTCAGGCCTTGAAAAAAGTAGTACATGTAGTTTTTGAAATAATTGGTCAATTGTGGAGTCCTATATTCTTGTAAGAAATGAATTACAATGTCAAGTGACATTTGAAGATGTTTTGAATGCATTGATTTGCTTTCTATTGATACATGTTTCTAACTTTATGCTGCAAAAAGATAAAATTGACGACGCTCACTTTCTTATATTTTTCCAGGGGTAGGGCACTATAAAGTGTTATTTAAAATATGAAATAGTACTTTATGATCAATTATAGTCATTATAATAGTTGCATTAAAATATCACAAATAGCAACGCGATGACTTTAGATTACTTGTTTGAGCTGTAAAAGCTGTCATCTTTTGCTTGAAGCTACAAATATAAAATAGATGAGACTAAAAAAAGTGTGTCGCGGATCAAAATTAATACAAAAAGTTTGATATCTCTGGATTCAGTTGTCATAAAATGTTGTATAATGGCTCATTACATAAAATACACAAGAAGTCCTTTCTAAAGAGCATTTTTAAAGCGCATTTTTGAGCACTTTTAAAATGTATGAGTGAGCCAATAAAAAAGATTAAATCATATTTTTTCTATTTTTTCGGGGGGGGGTGTCCAAAGGGGGGGGGGTGCCCGAGGGGGAGCTGGGGTGAGGATGCCAGTGTTAGTCCTCCAGAAACATTGACTATATCAAAGAGCTGTTTTATGATGTCTGGGCACTTTAAAAGTGTCTGAGACAATACATAAAATAAATTCAGAACTTTCCAATTGTTTTGTGGGGGTGTGAGGGGTGGCCCGCTCCCCCAAGAAAATTTCACAATTTTAAGATGCTATTTGGTGCTTTCTGGACACTTTCAAAGTGTATGAGTCAATAAAAAAGAGAGGAATTTTATTTTTTATGGGGGGAGGTGTCCGAGGGGGGAGTAGGTTGAGGATGCCAGAGGGGGAGCAAGTGTTAGTCCCCCAGATACATTGACTATATCAATGAGTTATTTGATGATGTATGGGCACTTTAAAAGTGTCTGAGACAATACATAAAATAAATTCAGAACTTTTCAATTGTTTTGTGGGGTGTGGGGGGGTGGCCCAGTCTACATAGAAAATTTTACAATTTTAAGATGCTATTTGGTGCTTTCTGGGCACTTTCAGAGTGTATGAGTCAACGGAAAAATATTTGAAAAAAAAAAATTTTCAAAACAAAATTTCCCCAATTTATTTTTTTTTGGGGGGGGGGTGTCATCTCACCCCCCCCCCCCCCCCATCTGACGGCCATGCAGACTGACTTCTATAGTCAGTCTGTTGGATACATACTAGCACGTGTGTGCTCATGCACAAAAATAAAATGATTTCATTCAAAGATCGCATCTAAATCTAAATGCATGTGAAAATAAAGTTTAAAGTGACTAATTTGTGTGCGTGCGTGCTCAAAATAAAGCGTATCAAAACTTCCAGAATTCATTTTCATTTAGACTGAAGGAGTGATTTGGGTACATTCCAACATCAAATTCATAACATATCCACATTTATCTTCATGTAAATGTTTGAACTATTATTTTTATGTAGACAGGGCTTGTGTCTGAAAGGAGCAACCCTGGATTATATTCGTCTTATATTTTTTGAAATTTGGTTGAAAATATTCAGACTGAGCGACTGATACCCCGTGCACTTGGAAAATCCCCATCACGATTTTATCAATACTTGTTCAATGAGTTAATACAGGGTGACACAAAAAAGTGTCACCCACATCATGTTAAATAACTTTTTCGTCCATATGATTCCTGGTTTTCTTTTTTGCAAAGTAGAACTAAACTTCATTTAGCAACTTCACAAGAAGTTTCAGATGACTAGTTCAACTCGATACACTTTCATGAGTGTTATAAGTTTTTCTCTAAATGTCAGGCACACCTGGATTCTATGGGAAAAGTTATTGACAAACCCTAACACATTCCCCCACATATATATATCTCAAAAGTAAATTTTAAAGACATGACAAATTGTAAATGAATGATAAAAACATATTTTCAAACTTCACAAGTAGTGCACATTGTACATATATTTGCAGAAGTACAATTTAATCAAGATTGCTATAATTGTTAGGGGTCATATATCATTGGAAAGTTAAGAGTTATGCAATTGATGTTTGTACCTTCTCTTGGCTATTAGGCCAAAGTATTGGAAAATATAATATAAATATTATTCTTTTAGATTTGAATGAATAGAGCTTTATTGATTTTCATCTTATGAAACCTATTGACCTAAAGCCTGTAAAGGCACATAGAGTTCACTGCTTTCAAGAGGCTTATTACAAGAAGATGTTAGAAAAATACTTTCTAATAGTTCCATGAAAGAAAGCAGGAAAAACATACATGATAGCACGCATCAATATTAGTATATAGATACATGTAGTAGTGGTCTTAGTTGTGTATACATAGCTGGTTTAGTAGAGGTCATTTAATAACAATTAATCAAACAACATCATAACATCGCTTTGAAATTGCAGGTAAAAGATGGGAGTGAATGCCTCTCTGCTAATGCAAGATCTCAGAAAATACAATGGCAAACGCTGCATGCCGAGTAAGAAGCTAGTGACATTCCCGGAAAGTCGGCTGAAGACAGCTGGCAGCATTGTTACATGCTTCTCTGCTATGCCTTATGTTTCTGGTAAGTCGCTATTTTAGACCATGTTATAACTCCAATAAAGCGCCACACAGTAAAAGATTCTGACAAAAATGTTTGCATTAAGCTTATGAGTTCCAGGAAGAACCCGATCTAGGGAGCAACTTCATATTTCCTTATCATGCATTTTTCTCAAAATCATAGATATTTATATTATTTATAGCTTATTCCTGAAATGTTTCATTATAATTAAAGTACATAATATTATTGCAATTAGTACAATGTATCCATGACCAATCTGTATATGATATTTTCCAGGTATATCAGTTCCAAGTGCTGAAGACAAAAGGTGGATTGTTGACACACATTTCATGCCATATGATGACACACAGTTGATCAGCAGTGTGGGGGTGTTTAGGTTTAGACAGGGAATGACACCTGTCAACATACAACATATGATCAATGGACTTCTCATACAGTGGAACATCACTGATGATCTCAGTAAGAAAATTTATAAAACATACTAACAGAACAACTAGAGTGTTTAAATGGAGTAGAGTGAAATTAACTTTGAACCTGTTTTTGTATAGTGACAGCATGTCAAAATGCAGGTTAATAAATCAGTCTACTCCTATTTGTTTTTTCCATTTTCTTAAAAGGGTAACATTAAACTTCCCCTATACTATGGAAACAATATAGCTGCTCCAGACAAGTCTACTGGATCAAGTCTGGAGTAGTCACAACTTTATGTAACTGAAAAAGTAATTAGTTTTTATGTCTGCCTCGTATAAAGAAACACTACTATTAAGAAAAACACAGTGGACAACAATTGTTCATGACATCAACTGTATGACCGTAACCATATAATACATACACAGGAAAATCAGGAAGTGTAGAAGATGACAGTAATATAACATTTTGTCTTATTATTTTTCAGAGTTCACTCCTGTACGTGGGACCAGTAGTACATCATATCCCCAGATATCACTCCATCCAAATGGAAAGCATATTGGTTACATCAACAGCAACGTAACCATCATAAACCCTAGTTCTAAACATAAACTCCACAGACGCATGGACATCAAACATTTGAATTTCCGGAACATGTCAATATCACCAAATGGTTTCTATATTGCAAGCATTGCGAGGTCATCTTATTATTTTGAGTTGGTAGTTTCACTTGTAGATCCCTCTAGTTTGGTCGATAGGGATCCCTACAGCACGATGGGATATTTAGGGTCTAGCATGTCAGATATCGCCAGTGTGAACTTACACAGGATCTGCCCAGGCTTCATGGGCACAAGATTATATACAGAAAAGGCTGAAGTTGTATGGTCTCCTGATAGCCAATATATAGCTGTCACATCATCCATGGGAATGTTGCTAATTGTAAAAAGATCAGTTAACAATGATGTAACAAAAATAATTCCTGGAATTTTGGATTACAATTGCCAAAAGCTTGCAAATGAAAGGACAGGTGATTTTGATCCACGTTTCGGCCATCAGACATTTACATTTGCACTTAGGGATGACACTATCTGTACATATGATCTAGACACTGATGATTTTACAGAGGTACTTACAGTTGAATGCATTGAAACACTAGAATCAGTCACTAACCTGAAATACAATGTTGCAGGGACTGTTTTAGCCATAGGTACGTCGGAGATGTTGATCCACATTCATGACTCGGACACATTCCAGCTTCTCTACAGCCTTGATGGAAAATCCCAGGGGAGTATGTCGGTTCAGAGACACCCTGACAATAACGAGTATCCTAGTTTGTTGCGTATGTCATTCAGTCATACAGGAAACCAACTATGTACATCTAACACAGATGGCATTGTGAGAATCTGGCAACTGAAGCCATATATTAATTTACAACATATGTGTAGAACTGCTATACAGAAACATGTTAGGGCAGACAGACTAGTGCAACTACCACTGCCACCAAAGTTAATATTTTTTATCTTACAATGGCCATTACCTTAAGTTATGCTGCTAACCATGACAATAGTCACACTATATTGGATTTTCAAGGAATTTTTGAAGAAATTTTAGTTTTTTATGTCCCCACCACATAGTGTGGGGCCATATTGTCGGCCTAGGCGCGTCCGTCTGTCTGTCTGTCCATCTGTCTGTCCGTCCGTATGTACATCTGTACGTCCGGGAGTTTTCTCCAAAACTGCTACAGATATCACCTTCAAATTTTCAGGGATAACTTATGAGTGCATACAGATGTGGATGAAAAAAATTTAACTCGATACCTACTTCCTGTTGGCCATTTTGAAGTCAAATTCTAAAATCCTTGTCTGCAAACTTTAAGAAAAACGGCTTCACAGTTGCTTTTAAAACGTTAACATCTTGTTCAGCTCACTTTATTCTACATCTGATTAGGTTTTGGACCTGTTAGCTCAGTCATGTCAGCCATTTTGAATGTCTTAAGAAAAGTTAGCGCGATAATACTTTGTATCATATTGAATGGTGTAAATGTCAAGGCAGCCATTTCGGATTTTCGATGCTAAAATCTTGTCTGTAAAGTCTTGTCTACGCATTTCCAGGTGAACCGTTCTGTAGATCAATTTCAAATTTTCAGGGATGATTCTTAGTATGAAAATCTAGATCTGATTAGATTTTTGGCATTCTGGGTAAATGTCAAGGCAGCCATTTTGGATTTTCCATCTTAAAATTTGACGGGATCACCCATTGGTGGGGACATTTTGTACACATTTGTGTCCTTGTCTTTTATTTCCTCCCAATTTACAGTAGTTGTCTGGTTGAAAGTAACAAAACATTGGCTTAAGGTATAAACAGAATGTGAATAAGTCACACTACTATACCCCCATACTGTATCCTGTATTCCTTTAAAAGAAATACAGGCTACAGGGAAGTTGCAAATGGAGGACGTTTGTTTATTTCCATAGTTCTGAATGTTTACTAGATTTTACACATATTCTAAGTGTTCTACTTTACATTGTATAGATTCATCGAGCAGTTTGCAACGTATTATTACCAGAAAAGTCCAATGGACAAAGATAGAGAATACCCGCTCCATTTGCAACTTAACCGTACCCTGTATCATTTTTAAATGTGGTCACATGGTAGGGTAGTGTGTAAGTGTGGTAATTGATTGATAGGTAAAATATTACTAAATCCAAAATGCAAAATGGGTATTACTTATTTATACATGTATGTGATGATGATTTGTTGTTCTTATGTAAAACGAACCATGTGTATTTTTGTATATATTTATATATCATGAAGATATTATTGTTACTCTAAATATTTTTTGATGTTTGTTATTTTTACCCAATGGTAATATTGGACATCTGCTTCTCAATACTATTTCTAAGATATTAGAATTTAAACAATGCAATGCAAATTCATGACAATACAGGGGTACTGTTAGTATTTTTCCTTGTACAGGGTGACGTCAAAAATGCAACCCTCTAATTTCGGAATAACTAAATTTTGATGGTCACCCTTTATTTGTATAGTGTGTGCTATTTTAAGTGTGTGTAGTTAGTTGGTAGTATCTACTTAGTCATAGTTAATGTATTAACCCAATGAATGAAGTACAAAGGGGATGTAAAGAAGCCCTTCAGTCCATCTGTTCGTCTGTCTGCCACGTCAACAATTTTTTCAAAATGTTGAACTTATTTGCTCAAAAGAGGATCTTCTTTTTCTGATTTTTATTGCATGAAAAAATTATTCAACAAGGGTTATAAAACATCTTTAAAAGTAGAATGGTATTGAAAGTCTAGTTTTGAAGATATCAATTTCCGATGATGTGGTTTTTAACTTTATCGCATTTCAATACACATCCCCTTTTCAGAAGTTATTAATATAGTGTAGAAGAAACTTTTGATATATTTAAATTGAAAAAAAAACAAGATCCTCTTTTGAGAAAATAAGCCTTACATTTTTTTAAAAGTGACAAGGGGGGGTCCTAATCCATAATTTTTCAGAGTTGGATTGATATTTTACTATCATGGGGACTTCACTTGAAAGAAAACATACAAAAAAACAAACATGTATTTATACCCAGAAAGTACTTATGGTGAAAGATATGACCGTCTAAAATCACTTGCCATACTGCACATGGACCTTTGGTTGTTAGATTCTGGATCCCCCAATGAGTTTGTTATTCTTCTCACAAATATAGTTGAGAAAGTAATTCATTTTAGATATAGAGTGAATAAATTGTAATAATGTTTTGTGCAGAATCTGAGATAGAGAGCAATATTTTCAAAACTTGTCACATTTTTGAGTTGTTTGGCTCATGCTGTTTTTGTCATGTCTTATTTGAAAATTAAAAGCCAATGTTTTTTGTCTGCTTTTAAAGTGTAATTTTAGTTCATTATTTTGAAGAATTTATACATTCTGGATGTTTTAAAGATGTAATAACAGTACAATTTGATAATTATTGTTATATCATGAACCTTTTTTGAGAAAATGAGTGTTAATGAGCCCCAGTTAATGAGCATGATTGTGTTCCATTTATATCAGTCTCTATGACACATTTTACTTTTAAATTAAATTTACACAGTATATGAGTATACTGTACTTTACACAATATATGACTACAGGATGGACAGTACGAGTCCTTAGAAGCAGGGATGACAAAACATTTTGTATTTTTGAGATTGATATAACAGAAGATGATAGATGTGTTTCTCTTACAAAAATGTATTCTAGTCCTTTAAATGTAGTTGAATAAATTGTTAAAACTACATGTAGTCTGGTTTATCTGTGCCTTACTTTGTATACAGCATATTTATACAATACAGTATTATGATATTAAATATGATTGTTATTACATTGATTAATGAATGATGTTTGTAATATTGATAATGAAAATCAAGTAAACTGAAGTCATTTAAGATTAACAGAATAAAAAAAATGAATGAAAAACTTTGTGTCTGTTCAATTTTATTTAGAATGCAAAAGCACTCTACACCTTGCAAAACATCATTTGAGTTGGCCAACTTCCTGCATAGACATTATAAAATGTCACAAGCATTCGCTAGCAAAATATTTTTATGATCCCATGATTTTATTCTGTTTATTTTGTTTATAACAATTTTGGGGTAAAAATATATCTGTGAAGTCACCTGTCAATAATTTGCATACAATAAAGGTTTAAAGAAAAAATTTGAAGAATCAGCAATTTATGAAAATGGAGATACTTCAAACAGGTTAGATTTAATAAACATTGGGAGTAAAGAACTGTTTATACATATCAGGAATTTGAGGTTGATATAGCTATTTTCTCCAAGATTTGTCTATTTCTACTTCTAAAACAGATTTTTTTCATGTGAAGTAGTTTGGACACTATTATTTTGATTATCGATGTAAGGTATGGTTAAATATTAGGACATTTGGTCTGACACTGGACCCATAATTTGGATATTTGTGTGTTATTAATGTGTAATTTCCAATTATAGATTATTATATGAATCACTTGTTACAGGATCATTGAAATTGTAACAGGTTTGCATGAGAACAAATCTGAGTGTTCAGCTCCTGGATATTTTGAAAATTGAAGATATTCCTTAAAAGTGGGAGCATATTTGTTGTATTATGAAGTCAGCATATCTAACAAATGTGAGAAAACTTGTGATTCAAACATTAGTTTTCTGAATGTTATTCCCCGGGTGATTGTGATGTTCGTTTCGTTTAGCGCAATTCAATTAGTGAATACGAAAACACGGATCTGTAAATTTACCACATTGCTAGCTCTGTAAATTAGCATTCATGCTAAAGGCAAATTGAAGAAATTTGGAGTTTACTTTGTCTTGGAATTAAACGATAGTGCTCCACCAAACCACGTAAAATGAAACATCGTTAATTTTTAAAATGTGTGAAGATGTAAGATGACGTCTAATAAGTGCGATCGGACATTAGAATATGGATAAAACGACGAAGAAGAAGGACTAAAAATTTCAAAATGGCGTCCCAAATTTTAATGTTTATCTTTGTGCTTGGGACACTTTCTCAAGGAATCCACCATACAAAGGCTTCATCTAAAAGTAAAACGCAGCCTTACAAGCCTAGTCAAATGGGAATACTGCATTTTAATAATCCCCAACTACTATCTGGTGCTAATGACTTTTTAGATGGAGACAATTATTTCTTTGATCACAGTGAAGATGCAGTGGACCCTTCTCTCGTTGGAGGAATTGTTCTCTCTAGGGAGGCAACCTCTATTGCATCAAGATTGAGGGACCTCAGTAAGAAAGAACTGGGAGTTCCAGCTATGCAGGTACACTCAATTATATGCATGTTCAGGGGTTTGTTTTCCAGCGAGAAATCTAGCCCCATAGATCTACTGGTATTTTTAATGGGGCAATGTCAGACTATCCTCAATTCCTCTATTCAAAGGAAATGACCACTTACATGCCCTAAACTTATGAAAAAAAGTTCAGCTCAATCCGTCAACATTTTGACCCCCCTGCCACATTTTCTCACGCCCATTCGCTACCATGTTAAATTCCTCTGAAAGTCGCAGAAAGTCAATTTCGTCATGTTTGAGACCCATTTTCTATCAAAGGCACTCCAGTGATTTTCATCAAATTTACTTAAATAGTTCACAGCGGGCGAATTGCTGTTCTGACGCGTCAAATTGGTTCATGCTTTTCATTCCTGAGCTCGCCGATAGATGTCTCGCGCTATAAATATATATTATATGACGTCAAATATATATTATATGGGAATGACGTCATACTATATTTTCGTCCAGTGTATAATGAAATAGCGCACCTAGCGGATGGCGCGTAGTTTAAAATTCTCAACGGCTGTGGTTGTTCAATATGTTTTTGATCCATGGTTAAACCTAGAGATGGTATACTTTGCCTTGAAAATAATTGTTTGAGCATTGATTTTTAAGAATGTGCTATAGTAATGCTAACCTGTGTCAGTTTTTAAGCTCAAACAATTATTTTCTCAGAAATGAGGCAGAAACTTTCTATATGTGAGTCTATCAGCCTGTTGATTGGTTGAAAAAAGGTCAACATGGTAGATTTAAAATAATTTATGACCTTGGCTGTCACATGGACTGATCACTGTAACTAAACTGTAATATCATAGATACTAGTATTCCGTAATTCCGCGGCGTGGACAGAATTTGACAAAACTTCAATTTTTTGCAGAATCCCTGATTTTCATGAAAATCCAGCGGGACTACCAGAATTTCCAGAAATTACATATTTTATGATCTCCTACCTTTGCGGGGTATTTGAAGAGTGTCTGTTTATGTCCAACAATCAATCATTATTGAGTACAAGTACGATTCCAACATTCTATCACGTTTAAATTCGCTAAAGCGAGTTCGCTAATGACGCACAGTTCTTACCTAGAAAGTAGCTGACTTCCATTTCCGTTTTCTACGTCAATTTTCATCGTTTTAAAAGATTGCAGAATTTGGACTTTTTTGAAAATTTGTGCAGAATTTCGATTTTCTCCTTGCAGAATTTGCTTTTTTTCTTGCAGAATTTTTTGCAGAATTTTGATTTTTTTCATGCAGAAAACTAGTATCTGTGTAATATTTTCTACTCAAGGGAGAGGGTAGTTTATAACTAAGACTCTGCGTGCAGGGTTTGATTGAAGAAATTGAAGTTTTTGATCAGTCGAGGCCAAATATCATAACATAATAGACTTTGATAAGCAGTTAGGTCAGCAGCATCTTCCTTATGGACTCTAGGTCCTCCCTTTACCTTACCCTGGCTTTGGGTGGCATGACTTTGTCCTGTTATTCTATAATACAAATATTCAGTCGTCAAAAGTTGTTTTTTATCTGAGAGGGTATCTCTGCTTTGTTGTGACATCATCAAACTTTATGTAGGTTAGAGCATCCACTAAAACTGAGAATTCTCCTTGGATATGTAAGGTTTGGGGACATGCCTTCCAAGAAAGATAAGAGAATTGACCCTTGTTTCAATATAACCTGTCTAACTGGTGCGTTGCCTAGCAGCTTTAACAGTGTTAAACATTACACATTTATGAATATAAGTTAATCAGTATTTTTGCATTATATTTCAGACTATATTTGATTCCATGCCCTATGAAGACAAACCACCTGCAGCAAGTGATGCAATAGACACTCTGGCATATAGTCTCCAGAAGAAATTTAACCGTTCTCTCGCAGTTCTACGTACTAACAAAGTAACAGTGGAATATCTCTATAGGTTTCATGTGAAAGTACCAATCACAGCAAGATCGAGTTGTTGTGACCTTGATGCTGAAGTTCTAAAGTAAGTACCAACTAGTGGTGTAACGAGTGACTCGGGTAATCGACTAGAACTCGAATGAGCCTAGAAAAATGATCAATCGATTGAAAATTTGAAATTCGTGACCCTAAAAATTTCTGAGAAAAATCGCGATTTACCCTCCATACTCACGATTTAAGCAAGGATTATAGCTGCCTTTACGTTTTTTTAATAAATTACATATCTTCTGACTATATCCGGCAGATTGTTTTGTTGATTTAATTGTCAGTTGATGAGAAAAAGTATGAGAATCGTATTCATTGCTTTTTATGTTTGTTTATATCCGGTATATCGTATGCGCATGCGCATATGAATTTTGACGGAAGTGGGAATTTTGAAGTCGAAAAAATCCATAAAAGGCTTATATCATTGCTAATATACGGGTAATGTGCGTCTAAAACATCCAAAACGGAACTCAATCCGTTCAGAACTACATCATTGAGTGGTCATCAAACCAAAAGTCGATGTAAGTCAAGACAAATGCCTTGATTTTCCAGGTTCTAATTTTCTCAAAATTTTAAAAAAATAATCGCCAAAATCGTCTACTCGATCGTCAAATTTATCATTCTACTCGAGTAGAGATTTTGGTGGCGAGTCCCACCACTAGTACCAACTATAAGGCTGAGATAAACATATAATAAATTGCAGGGACGATCACAAGACATGGACATATTTTTATTATAATATTATATCTGATTTATTTTACTTTAACTGAGTGGAGGGGGGCGCAGTGCTTGAACTAAGCGTCGGTCCGTCGGTCATGACTGACAGATTCATAGAACGGACCAGCTGAGTTGATGGTCAATTTGACCGGCATGGACACCATATCTCAGATTACCCCAACTTATGAATGTCCGGCACAAAAACGAAGTAGCTTCTTTAAGTACAATTTGCTTACCTTGAATACAATGATTCTGAATCATCAATTTGATGAAAAAGTTTACGAAATTTCATTTTTAGTTTCCTCTCCATTTTCGCTAAAGCGAGTAATTTAACATGATATAATTCGAAGATTTTGATTGGTCTAAAATCAGTTTCTCGAGGAAACAGCTAGGGTATATGACTCCGGGAATTTGATTGGCCGAAATACCGGAAGTATCAAAAATGCCCAAAATTTTTGATATTTTTAATTTTGCTCAAGAACGTGACAAAAACAACACTAAAACAGAAGAGGTCGTCCCCAAAAAGAAGCAGCGGTATGACAAGGAATACGAGGAACAAAAACGCAAGCGTAAATTCTGTCAGCATTGGCAAAAGACCCACGAATGGGAGTCAATATATGAATATATGAATATGTAGAAAGGTGCTATAATATAAGAGTAGATTAAAATTCACGTTTTTATTCTTTTATTTTGATTAACAGTAAAATATATGTATGACCAGTTCAATTTTATACGGACCAGTAACTTTTTGAAAAGTGCTGGTCATTTGACCAGCAAGTTTTTTACGGACGACCTGATACATTAAAAGTGGCAGTCCGTATGACCAGCAGAAAAATGGAGCTTAGCTCAAGCACTGGGGGGGGGGGGCGGGAGTCCCTAATAAGTTAAATGGTTTAAATCAATCTTCTTGAAATATATTTTAGATAAGAAATATTTATTTTATTAAAATGCAAGATGTATATTTTGTTTTTCCAGATCTGAAGATAAATATAGATTTAATAAGGTGACCCATAAGTTAAGTTGTGACCTCATCTCACCAAGTGCCCCCAAAGGAGCCTTCAACCCAGGACGCAATCTCACTGAAGGTATGTTTGTCTCATTAGTAATAAATGCATTTCTCCAAGTGTATTAACATGTCATACATTACACCTGTCAATGTTTTTAGATTCTATAAAATGTTGACAACCATGGAGTATTTTTATCTTTAATTGTATTTTCTTAGAATACTCTCCCCTTGTTGAGTGTTCATGTACATTGTAAATTCAATTGTCCTGCCTTGTTTCATCTAAGGAACCAGGTCAATATTATAACTTTGTCTAAAAATGGTCTAATCACACGGCAGATGGACTCCCTCTTTATATTTCTGTAGTAGAAGAAATCAGTTTTTTTTATTTAAGCATTTGTAAATCTAATGATACTATACTGTGAGTCTGTGACTGACATTATCAGATTGTGAATTTTTGTTTCAGTGTTTCAACATAATGTGCAACTTATACCTAGTTTAGTGTGGCAATATTTTATCTCATCTATGGGAATTCACAATGAGTTTCCAGCCTGTAAGTTCACCAGCACCAACCTTCCATGTGGCAGTTTGCAGGACATTAGACATAGGTTAGCCTTTTCCCCATTTTTATGTCACCATCCTAAGTGGTGACATGTTGTTATAGTCTCAAATTTTTTTGTGGTAGAAATTGTATATCAATATTTTATGATTTTTCGTAACTCTAAAATGTGTGCATTACCTAAATATGCCATTGGCTTACTTCTTCAGAAAGCATCTTAATTCTGAATGAATAATCATATGCAATATAGTGTTCCTTTGACCCAGCTCTTTTTACACTGTGCCCCAGCTATTGAAACTTTCCATGTCCACTTGAGCCAAGTTTTTTCCATTCTATTTTAGTATTCATTGGAATTTTATTATTCCAGAATCATTTGTTTTAACCATGGAAATGATGAAAATAATGTACTCAAGAATTATTGACTTAAAATAAGCTTCTGACTTCATATCACTAATTTTCCTTTATTGCAGAGATGTGTATTTGTCCACAGTTCAGCCTCAGCGCAAAAATGTTGTGATTCTAATGGACCATGGGAACTCATTAAGTCACAATCAGTTGGTCATGTCCAAGGCAGTGGCTGCACATATTATAGAGAGCCTCTCTGAGAATGACAGAGTGGGGATGATTGCCCTCTCAGGGCGGGCTCACTATCCTCGCTATGATAATTGCCTGTCAAAGAAATTGGCCCCATTGTCGTATGAAGCCAAACTCTACTTCAATAAATTCATCCAGAATTTGGAAAAACAAGATAGTAAGTTTTCTTCTTACAATGCATATTGCTGTAATTTATTTTAGAGAACTTTATATTTGATACTCTTGATTTTAGATTATCATTTTGAATAACATGAATTTACTTTATTTGAATAAGAACTAAGCTGCATCACATAATACATTTCAGCTAAAATGCAATTAATTTCCCCAACTTTTTTAAGAACCATATTGTACAATAGAGTCGTACTTGTGTATTAAATAATGACGAGGACATTTTGTTTACTTCAGCCTCAACTAACCATTCACTGGGCTTCAAGGCAGCATTCAACATGATTCGTCATTCGAGACCCAACACAAACTCTACACAAACATCAGGTAAGTAAGGGGTAGAAAATTTCCTGATTGTGCATGATTCCTTTACTGAACATATCAGCAGAGGTCTACATGTGTTGTGTCAAAATCATACCTGATGAGATGGTGGTGTGCAATAACATGATCTGTGCTTTCATTAACGCCGTCCCATAATGGAGAGGACCCGGGTTTTTTACTTTAGGGACCCCAAACAATGAAAATGAGGGGTCACTTGGACACAGTGCAGGTCATATCAAAAAAATCAACTCTGGATGAATGTATTGGTAAAAATCTTACCTTCAGTCTTTTATTTGGTCAAAATCTGCTAAATAAGCGAAGGATATTCTATTTTTAAAAGAAATAAAATTTTCTTTCAGAGTTTCTTTCCCGGAAGTTGATTTCCGATCAAAATAGTATGAGATATGTGATGGGACAATCACTAGTGGTTGATTTCCGAGCGATAATTGGTACGAGTCCTATGATTGGCCGTGATTATTAATCGCGCATGCGTCGTAATAAGTTTAACTAATCAAATTGCTGGATTTGTTGCTCATGGGCAAAAAACTGAACCAAAAAATGGAACCTCACGGAGATTGCTCCTAGTGAAACTTTCTGAGAGATCAAAATCAATAGCAAATTGCTTCGAAATACGCGAAGAAAAATGGTATTTAATGGTTGAATATTAGTTATCTCTTTCAAATGAAGGTATCTGCATCATTTAATGACCTACTAGACGTGTGTAGAACACTGATGTGGGCCAAAAAATGGCAAAGCTGATGCAGTTTTCATCAATTTTTTTCGTTCATTGCAAAAATGTGACTTTGAATTCTCGGGAACCTTTTTTCATGGGGACGCACTTTTTTGAGGGGGGACGCAATTTTGGAAAATCAATCCGTCCCAGGGAAGCACTTTTGGACAAGCCTACTGAAAGCACTGATGATACATAATTTGATGCATAGTCTTGTTAAATAGCTGGGATTGAAATAATGTACCATTTGTTTTATATATAAGTAATTGTCAACTTAATATCCAGGTTTTTTAGTGCCGGTAATGTATTATGATAACTCACTGTATGTCTTGATCACTTTATGGAATTACATGTCAGTAAATGTTTCTGTTGTCAAGAATGTATACAGTACTGTTGTGTCATTCCTTGTATATGGTTGTAACCAATGTGACCTTAGTAAGGGTAAAACATGTTTGGTTAATCTTACAAAGTTAATATAGAATTTTGATATGTACCTCACTTACTGGCCATAAGCATATGCCACTTTCTTATTTTAGACAAATATCTGATTGCCTATGTGAGTCGTGGTCTGTTGTCTCCCCTAACTGAAGCCAAGGCTGTAATGACAACCATAGCACAACAACAAGCAAGAGTTGACAACTCTGTCATTATAAACACCTATATAGTCATAGATGGTAAGACTCGCCTTACATAGTTATAGATGGTAGAACTTGCCTCAAATAGTCATCAATTGTTAAGGCATGTGTAAAATTACCTCACTACCAGAGTGTATTTGCTGGTTACTTTTGAAAATGAAAAAAAACTTTTTACCCTGGTCTGTCAGGATTTATCACATAGAATAGAAAAGATATCATTTCATGCAGTTGCAAAAAATTCAGTGGAGAAGTGTACTCTGCACAGTATATGCATTTTTGCCATGTTTTGTAGAGGGCAAGCCTATAATGTATGAGAGAAGCTTCCTGTCTGCCATAGCTGCCCAGGACTTTGAGAACTACAATATTAAGAGACCTGTAGAACCTCCTGCCATCATGGTAAGTTAACCACATTGCAAAGTGAATGTGGATTTATTAATCAGAGGTACTAGAATTCCGTTTTCTACGCCACAGCAGAAAAATGCAGAATTTTTAGTTTTGCAAAAATTTGCAGAATATTAAATTTTGTTGATTTTCAAGGAATTCATGCTTTGAGAACATAAATTGAACTGAAAGCTTACCTAGCATTGTTTTAGGTGCTTGTAGATCATTTGGATCATTTTTAGCTCACTTTTGTTGCAATTTAAACAGAAAATTGACATAGATAAAACTTCATTTTTTGAGGTTGCTTTGTAAGGAACACCTAATTTGAGTCACAAAATATGACTAGAGAACTGAACTGAACTAACCGATTACCTTGCCATCCTTATTTAAAAATGATTTCTATCAACCTTCACCTATGCATTTTCCATTGCTCCTGGCCAATATATCATATCTATATTGTTACTAAATATATCTGTTGTTCAACATTTATTTTGATTTTCACACTATTTCAACAAAAAATGCCATGAAAAAATGCAGCGATAAAATGCAGAATTTCACACTTTGACTTGCAGAATTTTGAATCTTTTCATAGTTTTTTTTGCAGAATTTTGTTCTAAATAGTTTGAAGATTCAATATCACATAAATTGTCGTTGTGCAAATATAATCTCTCTTGGCTTTAAGGAATATGCAATCTTACCTATTGAATTATATGCTATCTATTGATTGTCTTCAAGGTTATACAAATAGCATAGGCTTAAGTTTTTCAAAACAACAATGAGTTTGGTTCACTTTTGCTGTACCAAGTAATATTTGGTTATTTAAAATTTGCTATTATTATTTGCAGAAGGGAGAGATGGTTGAAGTGAATAGTACAAGAGATCTGAGCCAGTCAGTGGGCAAGTTCTACGAGGCTTTTGATGTCCCTACATCTAACCAGTCTCGTTTTTCCCTGCCTTATGTGGACCTTGCAAAAGAAAGTAAGTAGCAGTGTTCTCATGTGGACCTGCCAAAAGTGTCTCACTTTTCTCTGTCTTATGTAGACCTCCCAAAAGAGAGTCGTGGGTTTCCATGTAATACTTACATAACGAAGTGCTGCTAAAAATGCCACAATATTTAATCAAAATCAATGTCAGATGTCCCATATTTGAATCTAATAGAAATGGTGAGAGTGGTATGAAGTAAAATAAAGTAGATTTACAAGAGGTTCATCTATCCACCTTTTATGATCATTTATTGATGTTATATAGATCTAGAGTTCTTCTTTCATCAAATAATTTTTTGTCAGTAAGTGAAAACAAATTCTGCAATTTTTTAAATAAGCCTAATAGGATTTTGATATTTAGTCATTTTAGATACGATACATGGGATGAGTCTTAATATGACTTTCACCTTCTACTTCTAGGGCTTGTGATGAGTATAACCTGGCCATGTTTCTCAGAGGGGAGACTCTCACCAAAGAAGGTGATAGGAATCATGGGTCTTGATATTGACATGGCAGATATTGTACAGGACATTACTTACTACAATACAGATATGTCTTCCTATGCCTTCCTTCTCAACACTGATGGTATGTACCTCTACAGCTCACGCGATACTTTCCATCATTTTAGGGAATTATAAGAAAAAACACAGAAATTCATGATTTTTCGACAGATTTCTTTCCATTTCAGTTTGTATTATGTTTATGCGCTATCTTTGTACAATAGTTTCTGATGTTGTTTTTTATTTATTTACAGGTATTGCTGTGATGCATCCAGCTATCACCAGGCCCATACAGACCATAGTTCAACCAATGCACACTGACATTCGACACTTTGAGACAAACAGGGGCTTTATTGCTATTAGAGAGAAGATCATCAATACAGCTAGCGGAGTTGAAGTTATGGCTATACATGTGAATGGTTCTGATGTGCACCCCAATGACTCTCCCTTACACCCAGGAGTCTACCAAGCTAAATATTCTTGGAAAAGGGTAAGTGGAAACAGTGCTATGTACATGGTGACCCCAAGAATGCAATCTTTTGATTTTGGAGCCACTTTCTCAATTATGATGGAATCTTTGTAAATCTTCCTAGACAATGTCCAATGAGTGGATTAGTATTGTTTATTTATATCAAAATTTTGGTTTACAGAAACAATGCTTTCTGTCTAAGCGACTCTCGTTTTGTTAGTTGGCATTTGCTACCCCTTGGAATTGCTTTTTTCTAGTTATCCATATTTGCAATTATTTTAGATTGTTGGTACTCCATTGATTGTGGTAATCAAAGATCTGACAAGTAGAGAACGAATGAAGGAACTTGCAGATGTATCAGGTATATACCTTACTTGCCCTCTTAAAGATTTTTATGAACTTACATGATACATTTGTGAAAATTCAGGAATACCAATGCAGGTCGATCCTTATAAATATATAAGAATTTATTGTAAAATCTGTTGACTTGACATTGAAACATTTTTAAACAAGTATTAATGATCCAAAGACTTGTGTACTTCAAGAAACAAATTCTGTCTTATTGTTGATAATACTTTAAGTCTTCTAGGTTTCTTTGATATAAATCAGCATCACTCAGTATATCTTTGTTTATTTCAGCTTCAAACCAATCTCCCACAGATGTGTATCACAGGTTAGACCTTCTCCCCACAGATGGCACTTGTTTGCATATGAAACAAGTGGCCACATTTGATTCTGGGACATTATTTGTTTCTGCCCAGGGATTTAAGAAGCCGTATGACTATCTATCAGATGATGAGACTAAATACATGGTGAAGGGATACATGGCTTATCTCAAGGATAACACAAATTTGATCACTAATCCTGGAATAAAGGTAAGAATATTTTGTATAATCAGTATCTTAAATGGTTTGGTTTTTAATTAAGTTGATCAGCTTGTATAAATGAATTGTCAAAAGTTGCACTATGCAAATAAGAAGATGTGTTCAAATATTTCACTAGAGTGTATAATGTTGTTGTATTTTCTAGGATTCAGTTAAAAATGATGCTGGAGTGTTGGCCAAGATCAACTCGGAGTGGGTCAGGCAGTTCTTCAACAGTTATGAAAATGATTACATCGTGCGAAGGTAGCGAATCTCTTAATAACATTCTTTGTATGAGTATAGTAAACCCTGATAGACTATTGATGGAGAATATCATCCTTTAAAAAAAACATTTCGAAATATGTTCTGTGTCACTGTAAAATGTCACAATTATATGACATCGTGATAATATTTTTTGACCTCTTTTAACTGTTTTAATTTTATTATTCTCATTCATCTTTAGTAAAAACTATTACTGTATTCTTTGATTTTCTGATTTTTGGGATGTCGGCTCCAAAAGGACATGTTGACGTTTATTTGATTTAGCAGTTTTTCAAGTGGATAAATCCCATATCTAATGCAAACCAACCTATCATGTCAGGTGTCCCTTACACTCTCCCGTCTAACTCAGTTTAAGATACCCATTGTCAGTGTTCTTAATTAACTATTTCTGAATATTTGTAAGTTAAAACGGCCCCAGCAATCTTGGTATATTTCTTATGACCAGAAGTATTCCTGGAGAATTTGTTAAGTATTTAATTTGGCAATTTTTTTAATTCACCAAATTAAAGACAAATACAGTTTATGTTACTTGGAACAATCAATCAATCAGTCAATCCACCTTATTATTTCTACAATTTATTTCAGGTATGTTGCAACTCCGAGTGGTGTGATGCGTGTATTTCCTGGTACATTACTGGCCAAATCCATGGACCCAACCAAGCGTCCATGGTTCCGTCGTGCACTAGAATTCCCAAGTAAAGTTGTATTTACTGCACCATATTTGGACATAGGGGGCGCTGGGTACATTGTCACAATGAGTCATACCATATATGAGGGAAAGTAAGTCATGTTTTGCAAATCAAAGAATGATTATTTTGAAATTTTGATTTTTGATATTTACATGTAATGAGTTTGCAATTAATTTCAATGAAATAGCGTAAGTAATGAAATCAGTATATTAAAGTATCTAAGTTTTAATTTTTTACATATATCTGATCAGGTATTATACTACTTTGATTGTTGCTTCAGGCTTTAATACATGATCAATTTGATGGTTGCATGTAATAGCCTTATTCATATTGAAAAATTAAATAAAAAGATTTTTTTAGCCTAATCAAACTGTAATGGTTGTCCTTGCAGGCCTGCTGCCCTACATAAGAAAACTGACAGAGTGGTAGCAGTTATGGGAATAGACTTTACACTTGGCTACTTCTACAAGATGTTAGTACAACAAATCCCCCAGTGTCAATATGATACCATGCGCTGTTTCCTATTTGAAGACAGGGGCTACCTAATTGCCCACCCAGGTGTCATGGAGCCCAATGGGAAAGGCCCTGTGGAACAACAACATATCACCCATAAAGAACCCCTGGTTGCTAATGATATCCTCAACCACAATCAGTTTGTTAAGAAACAGTTGTGCAACAGTTACAATGACCGTACAGTCCAGCGCATGTACACATTTAACACTACAGCATACAGAGTCCTGACTAACTTAGTACATGGGGAACACTGTGCTAGGTATCAGACCACACCTATACCTGGGAGCAATCTCTTTGTGGGTGTCATCAATCAGACATGTAATATGATGACAGCATTCTGTCCCTGTAGCATGGTTGATAGATTGTGTTTGAACTGTCATAGCCTGGAGCAAACACAGTGTGAATGCCCCTGTGAATGTCCTTTGGGTATGGACTTTTGTACAGCAGAGCTTCTGGCTTACAACTCAAGGTAAATAATCTTAAAGATAACTATGACTAACAATATTTTATTTACTTATTTCTCTGTTGGGTGTGAAATATAGCAAACTCGGATGTTATGAAAGCTTTTGGACAAAATGGTATTATTTTGGTAACATATATCAAAATGGAAATGTTCATGAAATAGCTTTATAATAGAAGAAAGTTTAAATGACGTCATTCGGTGTCTATTCACCATTTTGCAACATTTAGCGTTTCATATTGCATACCTTTTTCAAACTAGTATTGTACAAGCAGATTTGGTGTTTTTTAAAAAATGCATACAGACAAACACCGAGACCTAAATGTTCTGCTTGTAGGAACCCTAATTGCCCCAGTTACCCCGAGGAGGAAAAGTTAGCAGTGGCTCCAGAATCTGTCACAGAGAACCTGAAACCTTGCTTCTCTACACGCTGTTCTGACAAATTCACGCAGATGTAAGTTCTGTACCTAAAATCATGCAATAGGCTATATCAGATATTGAACCTCTTGATTTTGCTCTAGAACTAACAAATGTAAAATATCTTTTGGTACCAAAAGTGGCCAAAAATCTATTACCAGCCTTTAGTGTCCTTCTCTTATGGAAATTAATACACGTACTTTTACTTCAGAAATCCATGAAACTCAGATTTCGTAGAATTCAGTTTCTGATACATGTTTACTTTTGTGTACTTGTAGGGAGTGTTTTGGTGTTCTCGACTGTGAGTGGTGCCAGATGGATACAGATGGGCGCACAAAACTGAAGAAGCCATTTTGTGGTAGTCAGCGTGTATGCTTTGGTGGTGTCTTGGGCACACCTACACCCTATGGTGATGAGATTCCTGTACAAGGTATGTCCTTATAAGAAGTTATGCTGCTATGTATGTTTAACATGGTATCCTTGACATTTAATCTTGTCATGTTTAATAATTATTGTAATTAATATGATATATCAGGATATTTATATTAATGTAATGATCACAAAGAACTAAGTTCAGTAAGAATATTGTGAAGCTGTCCGTCAGTCAGACCATACATTCGCCATCTGCCTGTCTATCCAAAACATAACTTAAACGCACACATTCTTTTCATATTTAGTGAAAAGATGTTCAATCAAGGGAAGAGTAGATCTGGTAAATATTATATATACAGGATGGGTCAAAAAATTTGCAACTTTTTTAAAAGGCTTGAAAAGGATCATAACATTAAGGTATTGACATAAAAATTCATATACAAAAACTTTAGGATAGGCATATTTTACCATTCAAATATTTAAGCTAATACTGACTTCAGTTGTTTTCAACAGATCTTTGAATATCAGTGGTAAATTGTTCATGTGTCCAAGATTTACCATTTTTCCTAGAAAAAGTGAATTTCTATGATTTTATGTGATTAACAATAACACATTCATTATGTTCTCTAAATCTGCTACAATCTTTTAATTGTTTAACCAATGGCTAGTACAGTTTTATATTAGTATCTACTATGGTATTATTTTATACTGTATCTATTAAATATTTATTTAAAACATGTTCCATGCATCCGCCTTTTAGCTTCACTATCACACAGACACAAGGGCGTAACTGCAATGGCGCCATCCAGCGATTCTTGTGGTACTTCTTTCCACTTCTCCTAACCTCTTTTAGTTGATCAATAGTGTGTGGGGATTACCATTAACTGCAATAAACTGCTCCAGGTGCCTCCATGTGTGATAGTCACAGGGGTTGGCATTTGGTGTATTGGGCAGCCATTTATAAGGACTAATAAATCTAGAGGTATCATCCTCCAGGTATTCCAAAGTGACCCTTGCCTGATGGCTGGGAGCGATAGTGAAGGTGAAAGGTGGATTTAAGAACATGTGATTAATAAATAATAATAATAGATCAGTATAACATAATACCATAGTAAGTAGATACTGATATAAAACTGTACTATATATTGAATAAACAGTTATCAGAGATTGTAGATTTAGTAAACATAATGGATGTGTTATTGTTAGGGGTGAGACGACAACCCGATGAGTCGAGGACTCGCGGGTTTGGGGCTTCGAGTCGAGTCGAATCGAGTCGAAGTTGATGAATCGAATCATTTTCGAGTTGAGAAAAAAATTCGAAAAAATCAAAAAAATCAGAAAAATACTGTCAATATGCATGTTTTTACTCGATATTGCGTTGAATATATAAGTTTCAATGACTTGGATATGCTTGTATTAAATTATTATATTGTATGTACACATAAATGAAAGAATATATGTAATAAAATCAGAATAAACTTACGACGAATTGTGTTTGTTTATATTTCCGGCTTTCCACCATTGATGCATTAAAAATATGAACGGTCAAAAGCGATGTTGTTCGCACTTCGCGCGACTCGAAACGGATTCGAAACTCGAATCGTCATTTTCTGACTCGAACCGGATTCGACTCGAATCAGATTTTTTTGACTCGTCTCACCCCTAGTTATTGTTGATCACATAAAATCATAAAAAGTCACATTTTCTTGGAAAAACAGTAAATCTCGGACACATGAACAATTTACCATTGATATTCAAAGATCTGTCAAAAAAATTAGAAGTCAGTATTATCTTAGATATTTGAATCGTAAAATATGCCTATCCTAAACTTTGTGTAAATCCATTTTTATGTCAATACCTTCATGTTATGATACTTTTCTAGCCTTTTAAAAAAGTTGCAAAATTGTTTGGCCCACCCTGTATATATGCTTATCTTAAAACATGTCTAAAAATGCATGATGTTCATTCTGAATTTCAGCTTTTGCAGAGAGCCAGGATGTTGTGTCATTCAAGAGTACGCCAGTGGGCCCTGTAGCTGGAGGAATTATGGGATGTTTCCTGGTGCTTGCGCTGGGTGTCTACTGCTACAGACATCATGTACATAGGAACAATCACCAATATGTCACCACTGTGACAGGGGCTGATGGTAGAATGGCACACCTAGACAATGAGCCAGATGAATTGGAAGCACCAGAAGACCTTGGCTCAGGTAAATAATAAAAAAATGAACCAGAATGTTGAAACTAACAGGTGGGCGTAGCTGTTCAAATTGCCCATCTGATGTTAGCCAGACTAAGAAACTGAGCTTTTATTAGTCTCAATATCTGGCAGCGAGGTGTTCAAATTAATTGAGATGATTGACTAAAGCCACTGACAATTGCTGTTCATTAAAACAGTTCAGCTTGATTGTAACAATGGTAAATTCTTTGCTACTTTGTAAACAGATAACTTTATATCACTTATTTTTATTGTACCTAAAATACGACATTGTTGTCAGTTTGGTAAGATCTTTCTGAAGTATCGCTTTATTATACTCAAATGAAAGGTAATTTAGAGTAGATTGCAAATATTGTATCGGTTTTGTAATTTGTGCCTTGTAAAATTTTAAATGGCTGCCGCCTTATGTTGAATCTCGCAATAATTTTCTGATCTCTTCAAAGTATGGCTATATTATTCTCAAATTAAAGGAAATTTAGGGCAGATCACTATTTTGGTATTGTTTTCCTGACTTGTGCCTCAGAAAATTCAAATTGTCTTTATTATTTGTGCCTTTAAAACTCTTAAATTGTCACCCAAATGCTTTTAAAATTTGTAGAAATTCTGATATATCTCTAATGTTTCCAATGTTTATATTTTTTGTGACAAATTCTGATTCATGTATGTTAGAGTGTTCGTTGGGATTTGCTACTCCGTGGAGTTGTTGTGGAACAAAGCCCCTCAGTATCTTAAAGATAGCCAAAGCCTCTCCAGCTTCAAAAATCGTCAAAAGAAACTGCTTCAAAAATTAAAACCTAATTTTGACACTATCACTAGCTTAAAGCTAAATAGGAACTTAGAAATTTTAATGAACAGATTCAGAGATTTGATTTTTAAAGCACAACTATATGCACACAATTTTACAACATTAAATACTCCAAACTGTACATGTGGATTACCTGAGACCCCAAAACATGTTTTTTTCAGGTGCCCTCAAAATACTGCAATCAGAGCAATGCTTTTTAATAAGTTATCAAGATATAAACCGCAAACTATCAAAAACGAAAACCAAATAATGCATTTCTTGAAATATGGAAGTAACGACCTCTCACCCTTACAAAAGAAGGAACACTTTATAAACGTGGCAAGCTTTATTCAAGACCATATAAAATAAGATCCCTTCCATAGTTTTCACTGCTATGCCCCTCCTTTCTGCCCTCGTTGAACCAATGACTTGACACCTCTTCACTCTTCTTTCTTATTCTCAGCCAGAATCCCCCAGATAGCCACATTGTACTTAATGTTGTTCATAATTAGCTCATGCTAGATATATTGTTATCTTTAAGCTTGGCCTATAATGCCTTTTTGGCGATTGGCAAGCCATCTGATGTAAAATAAGATTTATGAAATAAATAGATTACCATATAAAAAATAAAAAAAAAGTTGTTTTCTAGTATTGGAAATGGAATTGCATTGAAATCGCTTGTTAGTGACTATATTGACTTGGAATACTTTTAGTAGATTAACTAGATATAGAAGAATGAATGTATGAGAATAATAGCTTCATGTTTCGATATATATTTGCAGGTCACACCAACATTGTGCTGGCTATGTTTGAGAATCCCGCCACTATTTCACCCTATCGGATGAACACTATGTATAGACGACCCCATGGAGGGGACAGTAGTGACCATGGTTACAGTACCATGACACCCCATGAGGACAGTGAACGGGCAAGCACTACCTGTGCTGAACCTCTCCTGATCAGCAGAGATCGATTAAAGCCACTCCTCCACAGTGGCACTCCAGTGAAAGCTATTCCCCCGCCCCCTCATTCTAATAACAGTCGGCGAAGTCGTAGCCCCACCCCACCTCAAACACGACTTATCGCGTCTCCTTCAAACTACGCAGTTATCCCGGAAGACACACAGACAATAATCCCTCAACAAACCGTGCTGCCCTCTACTGTACAAGAATCAGCACCCCACCATATTTTTGCCAATGTGCAGGTTCATATGGTTGATTCCCATTAGCTGCTGATTCTACCACAACACATAGGCATCTGGATCTAAAATATCAAGGATTATTTTTTGGTTAACTTGTGTGTTTACTGTGAAGAACAGTACAATAAAGTGACTTGCAAGGGTGTAATAGATTTAGATGCCTGTTAAAAGTGGGTAGTGGACAATCATTTTGTGTAAATATTGTGTATATAAATGTACATAATGGATATATACTTAATGATTTAGTTAATGTATTCTAACAAATGTAGATAGTAAACTGTAATATTTAGTTATGTGTCAGAGATGACATGAAGCATTGTTACCACCTTGATGCAGCAGGCCAATAAATGTCCTGGTTCTCATTATTTAAGAAATTGAATTTTCTGTTTTCTTCCAAAAACCTCTATTGAGGGTGAAATGGTCAGTTACTAGTGTATAATTTATGCCAAAAAGTCATAATTGTTTTTATAGTCTAAGATATATGTAATAATACAAATGATGATCATACTGTATGTGAGCAAAACTCTTAAATCAAGAGATTTGATGCATTTTACGAAATCCTTATGACAGTACATTAACAGTGAAATAATGACACTTTCTACAAACTTTATGCAACTGAAACTTTAACAAATGTATGTTATCAGGGTAGGCATTTTACATGGAAGCGCTTCAATTTAAATTATTATTCAAGTTTGAAGAAAGAAATAACAATGTAATAATACTATGCTGTAGATGTCTTATATTCTTTTGTATTTTATATAAATGAGGTCAAACAAATGCCATATGATGTTGTATGAATCCAAAATGATTTAGAATTCTGCAGTGATTATGGAAAGAAAATTTTACTTGTAATCAATGTTGTATGGTGCCAGTATTAGTCAACAAAGTTACAAGTATTTTATAATATGAATTTAAGTTGAATGTTTCTTTTCAGGCAGATTCACTGTATGTAATTTAATAATTGAAATGCCAATGTAATATGTATTTATGCTTTTAGTTCAAAAATCAGTTGTAATATTCATTAATGAGTTTTTAAGACATGTAAGAAACAACAAATTGTTAATATTAGGATATTTGTAGTGAAGATGATCTGTATTTTGATCAACAATATTTAGAATGTTGTTGATCTGTTAAAGGGAGAATCATACCTAGCGAGTGGGCTTAACAAAAAATGTTTCAGTTTAGAATATTTTAGGCTTAGTCATTCCTTTCCATGGTTATTTTCTAAAATCCTCAAAGTGCATACTTATTTCAGGGAAACTAAAGATTTTTACATCAAACTTTGCCCCACATACTAGCTGAACCACATCTCTCCACAAACTGACATACACTCATTCTAGCCTAATGGGGTTTGATGTAGTGATGTAGAGAATTCAGTGGTAACCCATGTTTGATTAGACTGTTCAAAACCATTATATTATAGCCAATTCTATGTATTGTCATTAGTTTATCTACCATGCAATATGAAAATCTAGGTTTTCCATGACAACTTAATAACTGTTTACCTTTCAATCTTTAGTTTTGCTTTTTGGTATGTTGTTAATGAAAGGTCTTAGCCAAGTCCTGATGTTGTACATTGCAATACAATCACTTGTTATGTTCCACACATTGGTAATGTTAAACATGTTAAATATCAGTGGAATTCTTCCTTACTCAACCATGAAATGGCTTATAAATGCAACTGTAACTGTTTTAGAAAACTTTTAATACTTTTTAGAATATTTACAAGTGTAATAGCGGAGTACTACCATTGTAGTAATGAAATATTCATAATAAAGCTGATGAAAAGTTAATCTTGTCTCTATTTTTTGTCACGCAGAGTCATTGTTATTAACAGTCATCCAGGACTATCATGATAAAGTGTGAATCTCAACACATTTCATTGGGTAATGGTGTTATTCATGTTATACTAGGGCATTATTTCATAGTTATTAATTTATACCTTGATTGACCAACAATTACAACATCCAACAATATAGTGTCTAAATTTTGGATTATGTATCAATTTACATTATTAATATCATTTTACACCACATTCAGAATCAGAATTCAGTTTTAAATATGACAACACTCAGACTCAAAGAGATTTCCTAGGTAAGTTGGCCCAAGTTGTTATTGTAGCTTATACAACTTGAGAGTTTTATAATAGGAATATGTATATGATATTCTATGATTCAATATCTGGATGAGTGAGCATAGCAACTTAACCCCCCCCCCTGGATTTCGTCTTGTGGGGCCACCTAAAGACCCAGGTCTTCACAACACTAATGTGAATGAACCTTATCAAAGAATAATTGATAGTCAGTCTGGAACAACAAGAAAGGGAGCTCATCATGCCTGCTTGTAGGAACATATTGTTAAGGCGACTGCATGTTTGCTTGGATAGGCACGGCTGTCATGTCACAAAAGACAGAAAAAAAATTGCAGAATGAATCAGTAAAAAAAATGTTAAAGGAATGCTTCCTTTGTTCTTTTTAACCACTGAGGAGTTGGCGCAAGTCAGATTTCACATGAGTCAATGAATTCTGTCCTGACTCCTGTGTAGTCAACCATTGAAGGATTTTAAACCTGCTGGTGTCAAATTAATTGAGAGAGCTTGCACTTTAAGTATTCTATTATGTTTTAGGGTAAATGCCAAAATCATAAAAGATATTGACCATTTTGTACTAATAACATTTTTATTGAGACACTCTATAGATCTGATACAACATTTAAGTTTAATGTTTCGATTATTTTTAAGCTTGAAGACAAGTGGCATAATGTCTGCCAAAAACATAATACCTGGTTGTAAATTGAAATTGTGGGATATCCTCATCATGTATACATTGAGTAATAAATAAAGGGCCAAGTATATAAGTATCCAACAATTCTACAGCAACAAATACACAATGACATTGTATAAATAGGTAATAAATATATTTCATGAAATGAATTGAATGTCCAAATTGTTAACAGAATATCAAGGTTCTCTCCTCTACATGTTGAGGTAACAAAGTATTAATTTTACTAAACAGTATATTTAATATTTTACAGCCACCTTTTGGGAAAATTTGTTTTTGTATTAAAGTAAATCTCTTCAACAGAGGAAAAGTAGAAGCTGGGATCAATAGTAAGTGGATCCCATAAAATGAATACGAGCACTGGCACAGACCAATGAAAGTTTTCAATTGTTCTAAATTTGGTATGGAAAACATGGCAGATTGAAGGCTGGACATATGGAATGGATGGATGGACGGACACGTCGGACAGACAGATGAGTGTTTCCATAGGCTCAGAATGTGAGCTCAAAAATATACAAGTAATCCATGTTGATGGGAAATCTAGTTTCCAACTTCTAGATTTAGTTGTATACTGTATTTGTCTTTAATTTGGCGAGCGTTTTAAATTGGCGAATTAAAAAAATCGCCAAATCCAAAATCCCCGGGAATATGACATATTTTTCATTTGTTGCACTTCCGGTTATAAGAAAGATACCAAGATGGCTGGGCTGCTTAAATTTATAGAAATAACAAAAAATAAGAAATTGTTCATCAACAACACCAGTGCTCTACCCAGGATCATTTTTTGTGGAGGATTTTGTTATTTCTTAAGTGCAACATTTCAGCATTTTGTAACTTTTCGTGCTACATTTTAAGATTTTGTAATTTTTTGTGCTACATTTTAGAATTTCTTTATTTTTTATTGTAACATTTTAGGATCTAGGCACATCTAATTGCATTGAGGAGCATTTTGGTTTTATAAAATACATGGAGGTGCTGCGCCTCAGAGATTTCAATGTGGGGAGAGCACTGAACAGTACTAACAATGAGTATATTGAATTGGGTTGGATGAGAGAATGTCTGGAAACAACAAGAACAAGTTTATATTGAAAAGTACATTAAAGTAAGGTTAAAACATAAACAAATGAATGTACTGACTGACCCCAAAAATACAACCCTCTATTTTAGAAAAACTAATTGATTTTTTGTGTGGGTACGTGTACTTGGGAAGATTGAATAAACGCAAGAAGCTCACACGTCTCAAAGTCATGACCTCATGATTACAGCGACAGTGCCTAACTAAGTGTGTTCAGTACTCTAGAATGCTCAGCCAACTCGATAACCCCTTGGCTCCCTGTAATGCAATGCACCATTCAAAGGTTTACACAAGATTTTGACATAATAAAAATTTGGATGTCAAAGTCCTTACCCTGGGCAAACTAGTCAATCAATTTCCGACCATGGGAACAATAATTTAACAGCTAGTCAAATACTAGTTATTCCTTATTACAGCAAATAAACATTTGAAATTACATCCCTTGGGATAATACTGAGTGAGTGACACGAGTGTCAAATTCCTGATCTTCCCCATATTTGGGGATCTCAAAGAAGTTTGCATATAATTTACTCTAGGCTAATGTTTCTGTCAACAGGCCCGTAGCCAGGATTTGCCAAGGGGGGGTTCACTTTATGGAAAATTCCAGGGGGGTTCACTTTTGACAATTTGGGTCCAAAAAGGGCCAAAATCACTTAAAAAGTGCTCAGAATGGTGAAAAACTGCATGATTTTGAAAGAATTTTTGGCCAGGGGGGGGTTCGCCCGAACCATGCGAACCCCCCCTGGCTACGGGCCTGGTCAACATTAGTTTCCCCAAGCAAGCTATACAAACATTTCTCCTAAACAAACACTGACTGTATGGAGGTTTTATGTTTTTAGTCTGAAATTGCTTATTTAATGTTTAAGCTTAGGAATTCCTTCGTCTATCAACACTTGGGGTAGACAGTAGATTATCTATTGCAAATTGCCGCTGCATATCATCAACTGATGATCTTTGCCGTGAGATTAAAGGGGTACTCCTTGGTTGTAGAACAAAGTCCATCTCTGGTGGAGACATGATGGAATACCTTCTATTAGTTTGTCTTGTAAAGGCATCCCCACCAGAACCAATCATGGCTATATTGAATGACCGTTCACTTCTTGTATCATTAGAGTTCATATTAATCTGCGTCTGGTTTTCAAAATCAGATGGATTGATACTTTTCCTACGCAAGGCATCATAGAGGGCTTGTAGCTTCTGATACTGTCGTGACTTTTCCATGAATTTCTCAGAGGCTGTGTTGTATTGTGTGTTCTTTGAATCAAGTTCCTTTCGAACGCTTGATATCTGAAGCTTCAATGCTTGGATTTCAGCTGATGACTTCTTTGCGAGTGTTTCATAGCATTGCTCCAATTGAGAGATACGATCTTTTGACTTTTTAGCCACATATTCCTGATAGGCTCTCTCCTGATGGGACTGGTACGTCCAGAATGCCATTGATCTGGTGCAGATCTCCATAATGGTTTCAGGCTTTAATCCAGACAGCACCATTGACTTGTATTGCTCAGTAGGTTGTAGGTCAATCCTTATAATATCCAATTTCCCTGAAAAACAATGCAGACAGTGGTTCTTATTAGATAAGAATATTTAGTGTAAAGCATTTGTAAACATTTAAACAAACAGGCACATGACTTGAATGAAATCATCAAACAGACACGAGGAATAAACATGGTTTTCCTGGATGACAAGAAACTTAAAAAATTAGATTTGACCTAGATTTTGACCTTGACCTAGATAAAAATTCTTTTCCTGTAAAGTTCAGTCCAGGTCCTACTATAGCTAGTTGGAAGTATCATAAAAAGAGTGAAAGTTTTTAAAACAATTTAAAATCTAAAAACCTGCCATGACTTATAGATGAGAAAGTTCCCTGAAAATGATAAAGTCCTACTTTTTGTCAAATGTACTGGGTAAACACTGAAAAATATCATTTCAAGATCAAGAGCTTTGAAATCTTCAGAGGACATTATGTTGCACATACAGCAACTACTTATATTTATTTGAAAGCTCGACTTTAACAAAGTGTCTGATTTTTAAAGAAAAGTCAAAATTGGCAATTTCTCAGAAACTGGGCAAACTTGGGAAATGGCGATGACAGGTCATAGGTACTATATCTAGTATGGATATACATAAAATGAATTTGGATATGACTTAAAGTCAGGTTGCATGTTCGGAATTTGCTGCACATGTTATTTCTCAAAGGAATGGTATCGATATGGAGAACTTTTTGAACACACGTTTCTCTTCAACCAGTCATAAAAAAAAATCTAAAAATTAAACACATCGTCAATGTAATGGTCATCTTTTGAATGGTAACAATATAATTTGAAAAATATATATATACTTTCACCTATATTGTTTTAGAAAACACATCAAACACTTGTTTTGTTCTTGGTATCATGTTTCCAGAGTGAAATGAAACATCTTTCCGAACCTCATTGGAACAAAATGACATAAACACATAACATGTTTAGGTCTCTCAATATTGTAAATGTACAAAGGAAATTTTGGTTGATTTTTAAAAAGTATCTTGTTAATGAAATAAAAGGTTTATCTTGATTTTTATCTATTTTGGAGGGATTTTGTTTTAATTTTTTGAATACTTTTTTAAAATCAACCAAAAATTCCTTTGTATAACTATAATATTGAGAGGTCTAATTGTATATGCTATTTTGTTCCAACAAGGTTCGGAAAGACATTCTATTACATTCTCAAGAATTGGTAGAAAGGAGCAAAAACAATTGCACTAAAAAAAACAAAAATGTTAACAAAAACAGTTATATAAAATATTTCTAAATGATTTTCGCATTAAAATACCGTGTTTTTACAGAATGTTTTCAATGATTGGTTTAAGAGAAAAACATTGATGAATTCAGTTCTCCATATCGATACCAATCCTTTGTATCACTCCTTCACCACAATGTCTACATCTCTCACTTTTGCACAACGAGCGCACTAAATGTACCTAGAAAAGAATGTGAAGAAGAATGTTTTGATGAAATGAAAAATTAGTACCGTGGGTACCGGGCTCACATGGTGACAGAAAAACGGATATAATTTTTTGCTGATTTTTTGTTACAAAATTATTTCAAGCCATCTGTCTCGCAGTCAATTAAAATGGCTGAAAAAAAAACGGATATAATTTTTTGCCAATAATTTGTAACAAAATTATTTCATACAACTACTCTTTACAGTGACATGGCTTTTTGCAATGCAAGACACCTGAAATTATTTGTAAAGCTAGGAAATGGGGCAAAATTGTATTTCACGAGACAAAAATGGCGACCATTTTGAAATCAGACAAGCTTTTGAACCAGGAGTCATAGGGGAGTTTTTAGTATTGATGTTGAACAAAAATAACTTGAAACTGGAATCCTATCGACAGAGGTTTTAAGCAAATGGTCCAAAAGAGGATTTCGCGAGACAGATGGACAAATCAATGTTAACTGGCTGAAAATAAAAAAAACAGATATAATATTTTGCCGATTTTTTGTAACAAAATTATTTCATACAACTACCTTTTACAGTGACATGGCTTTTTACAATGCAGGACAGCTGAAATTATTTGTAAAGCTAGGAAATGGGCAAAAAGTGAATTTCGCGAAACAAGAATGGCAACCATTTTGAAAATAGGCGAGCTTTTGAACCAAGAGTCATAGGAGAGTTTTTGTATTGATGTTGAACAAAATTAACTTAAAATGGGAATCCTATTGACAGAGGGTTTAAGGTAAATGGTCCAAAAGTGGATTTTGCGAGACAGATGGACAAATCAATGTTAAATAAAATGGCTGAAAATAAATAAATGGATATAATTTTTCGCTGATTTTTCGTAACAAAATTATTTCATACATCTACTCTTTACATTGACATGGATTTTTACAATGTAGGACACTTGAAATTATTTGTTAAGCTAGGAAATGGGTCAAAAGTGAATTTCGCGAGACAAAAATGGCGGCCATTTTGAAAATAGGTGAGCTTTTGAACCAGGAGTCATAGGAGAGTTTTTTGTATTGATGTTGAACAAAAATAACTTAAAATGGGAATCCTATCGACAGAGGGTTTAAGGTAAATGGTCCAAAAGTGAATTTTGCGAGACAGATGGACAAATCAATGTTAACTAAAATGGCTGAAAATAAATAAATGGATATAATTTTTCACTGAATTTCGTAACAAAATTATTTCATACATCTACTCTTTACTTTGGAATGGATTTCTACAATGTAGGACACTTGAAATTATTTGTAAAGCTAGGAAATGGGTCAAAAGTGAATTTCGCGAGACAAAAATGGCGGCCATTTTGAAAATAGGCAAGCTTTTGAACCAGGAGTCATAGGGGAGTTTTCTGAATTCATGTTGGACAGAAATAACTTAAAACAGGAATCCTATCGACAGAGGTTTTAAAACGTGCCACTGTTATTGACAGAAAGTGGATTTCGCGAGTCAGATAGACAAATCAATGTTAAGTAAAATTGCTGAAAATAAAAAAATGGATACAATTTTTCGATGATTTTTTGTAACAAAATTATTTCATATATCTAATCTTTACATTGACATGGATTTCTACAATGTAGGACACTTGAAATTATTTGTAAAGCTAGGAAATGGGCCAAAAGTGAATTTCACAAACAAAAGTGACGGCCATTTTGAAAATAGGCGAGCTTTTGAACCAGGAGTCATAGGGAGGTTTTCTGTATTGATGTTGAACAGAACTAACTTAAAACAGGAATCCTATCGACAGAGGTTAGCTAGGAAATGGGCTAAAAGTGAATTTCGCGAGACAAAAGTGACGGCCATTTTGAAAATAGGCGAGCTTTTGAACCAGGAGTCATAGGGGGGTTTTCTGTATTGATGTTGAACAGAAATAACTTAAAACAGGAATCCTATCGACAGAGGTTTTAAAACGTGCCACTATTGTTGACGGACGGACAGACGGACGGACGGACGGACGGACAGACAGACGGACAAGTGAGTGATTGCAAAAGCTCACCATGTGAGCTAATAAAAAACATGAAAATCCAGTGAAAAAATTGTTTTTTATACATTTTACAAAAAAATCTTCTCACCAGTCTTTTCTAGGCACATAAGTGCACTCTTTGTGCAAAACTGGAAGATGTAGACATTAGACAAAGTGGGGAAGGAGTGATTCCTGTTTGAAAAATAACATGTGACTCAATTGAGGAATGCAGAAAAATTCTGAACATGCATCCTGGCCTTAAAGGGGCAACAAGGACTGTAGAGAGAAAATTCGAAATTTTTTCTTTTTTCTGAACATCTTCTTTGACATACCTATTTTCTTAAAATGTATGGATAAACTCTGAATTTCAGCATTAAGAAGTGTAAATTCAGTTCAAAGCTCCTATAAAGGGAGTCCCACTTATTGAATATAATACCTGAGAGACTGGTTTGACATGCAGGGCAAGTGAATGCTTCGTTAAACTCCCTTGTTCCATCTTCGTCACAGAATATGTGTGAACAGGATGTCACCCAAGCAAAGGTACTCAACCTTTTCCGGCATCTTTTAAAGTTACAGCACAAGTCTGCCTCCATGCTACACTGCCTCTGTAAATCAAATCAACAGTACCATTGGTGCTAGGCAATTATGGTGTCATGGTTTCATGCATAAATTACTATCCTAACGATTGTGAGTCACTAGTTTACTGACCTGATTTAACTAGAAAGAACAATTAAGAGCAATTATTATTTTGCTTTAATAACTCACGATCAATTGACATTGTGCTGTTTCGACTAGAATGAACAATTCAGAGCAATTTGTGTGATTCTGTTTTTTGTTAAGAGATACAGTCTCTAGAAGTAGAACCATTGTTTAAATGACAAAGCATTCTTGAGCATCTATTATTCCCTTTTTTACTCGTATTTGATATATGGCAATCTTATCTTGGGTGAAGCAGGTAGTGGTTTGTTAAACTCCCTTCATATTTTGCAGAAAAAAATGTACATATATGTACAGGTGACCCAAAATGAATGCAACCCATAAATGTGCTTGTAATTTCTATAACCAATAAAATAAATGCTTCATTTTTCATTCATGTCAAGCTAAGGTAATAAAAAATAATTCCTAAAAGTGTAGCTTCTGCCTTTCTGTCTGTCTTTTTAAGGCCTTCAAAAAACGTGATAAGATCATCTCGAAGTCGTAGGGACTCCTGGATGAAGTGGGCGAAGTTGTCAATTTCGCATACACACTACTCTTTTGGGATAGCTCTGATCTTTGCAGTGCTATCTGTTTTCAGGTGTCTGATTGTCTTTGCATGGTTTTCATAAACAACCGTGAAGGTAGAAATCTGGTGCTTTTAAGTCGTGTGAGTTTGGGGCCCAGAGTACAGTCACATCTATTGATCAGTCCATCAAATCTTGTGTGGTAATGAGGAAGTTTTGGATAGCTTTAGGGAAACCTTGGGGCATCACCAATGAAGAACAATGGTTCCAACAGAACAAGGCCATTGGCCACCCAATACATTACAAACCAATAGTTGGAGTGGCTACAGCAACTGTTTGAGAATCGACTGATGAGATGTGACCGCTTGTAGGCCCAAATTTAATGCCCCAGATTTCTATCTGTGGGCTTACTTGAAGAACCATTGTTTTTGATAATCTCCCCCAGAAAATCAGACAACCCACAACAGAAATCAATCAAATTGCAAAGATCAGAACTATCCTAAGAGAGTAGTGTGTCCGTGAAGTTGACAACAATTCGTGCACCGCATTCAGGAATGCCTGCGAGTACGATGTCGAAGTGGTCAAACAGGCCATATTAAGACTGACAGACCATTTGATTGGCAGGACCCAAACTTATGGGACTTATTTGTTTTCACCTCAGCTTGATCGGAGTGATAAATGAAGCATTTACTGTATTTTATTGAATCTGATCATATTGGTTATAGAAATTAAAAGCACATTTATGGGTTGCATTTATTTTGGGTCACCCAAAAGTGACCCAATATTTAGAGATATATATTTTTATTGATCCGAATCACAAATGGTCTGAATTCCAATGGTTCAAAATGGTCCAGATCCTAATCATCCAAATCCAAATCGTCTGAATCTAATTGGTCGGAATCACAATAGTCAGAATCCCATTGGCTTGAATCCAAATTGCCCGAATCCCAATGGTCCGAATCCCAATTGTTTGAAAACCAATGGTCCAAATTCCAATCGTCAGAATCCAATTGGTTCGAATCCCAATGGTCCAATCGTGTCGTCCACATCAAAATCGTCGGAATCCCATTGGTCGGAATCCCAATAGCCTAGTCCGAATCCTATTCAGTTTGGATCCCAATTGCATGAATCCCACCCAAGTAAAAAAGAAATCTAATATACTACTTAGACTAATACATCACCAATACACCATGAAAAGTGATTTAGTCAAGTGGTTCATAAGATATGTATTAAAACTGGCAATACTCAACTAATAAACCACTGTAAGGTCTTTTAGGTGGAGTGGTTTCTTAGTTGTGTATTAAACTGATCCTTGATTTAGAATGAGAAACCCCTTTTAAAAGGCGGAAATAGTTAAAATGTGAGTGAATTAATTCTCCAGTGAAATGTAGCATTACAACCAGAGAGGTGACTGGACTTTATTGAATCTTGCTCAGCATATTTATACATTTAACGCCTACATTTAAAGGTATGTAGAAGATGGACATGTTGAATCTTATTCATAATTTCTTACTGAATTTAGCACTATTGAGATTTTGTACCTTATGGAATTCCGAGATTTCAGGAGTGATTTGTTAGTAGTCTATTAGACTAGTAGTGGTGTATTAGTGGTGTATTAGAGTTCAGGAAGTGATGTATTAGTGGTCTATTAGTAATACTTGAGACTTCAGGAGTGATCTATTAGAAGTGTATTACATGCTCTCTGATTGGTCAATAATTTTTATCTCATTTGCATGGTAATTTTTTCAACTAGGTAATAAACCACCTGTTAAGTCAACATGGTCAATGGCAAAAAGTGATCTGTTAACGAAAATGACCACTAACAAATCACTAATAGATCCCCGAATAGATCATGTTCTACTAGTTGAGTATTAGTAGTCTATTAGTGGTTTATTAGACTAGAGTGGTATGGCAAGCTGTTTTTTCCACTTGGGCAATGGTCCGAATCCATTTTCAGTTTCAAATCAACGAAATTGAGACCATTGTAACGTTATTCTGAACAATGGCCCGCACAGAGTTATTAAGGGTTGATTGAGTCGAGGTTTGCTTTAATGACTTCTTTTTAATCTAGACGACTTCATGTGATGCGCCGACACCCAAATGGAGCCCAATGGTGTGTCCTGCTCACCGTGACTGTGTGCTCGCTGAGTTCGAAATGTCAGTGAAATTCAAAGCAATGTCCCATTGCGCAGCGTCGATGTATACATTCTAGAGTGGGAAAATAAAATGCTAGATCTAAATGACAAAAAAATATTCAGAAATCGACATACCTATTAACAGTTGGTAATTGGTATATGAATAAATGATGCTGTTAGACTAATTTATTTCATCTACTTATTGGAATTCAAAAATGGCGCAATGGCAGACGACCCATGACAAGGCTAATATCTTGTAATATTTCTGTGTGACATTTCTATTTCTATAGCCTGACAACTGCACAGTGAATTTTTATACAATCATATAGTTCTTTGCAATTTTGAATTCTAAAAGGGGAAAGAATTTAATTCTTTGATTCAATATATATTAGTATTTTTCGAGGGGGTGTTTGATTTGTGTCATGTTGCACATAATACTTCCGGTTGAATATTTTCGATTTGTATCACTGTTTTTCGCAAATTGAACGCAACATCAAGGTAAGCTGTGATGTGTACATTTCATATCTTGTAGAAACATCATATGTGGTAATTTAGTTAAAATATATCATTTGTACCATAGGAGAATCAGCTTGGGAACACCTAAATAGGAGTGACTTATATAGACAAATGTTGAACACCTTCCTTCAAATGTGGACACCTTGGTCCAAAACTGAACACCTTGGTCAAAATATCGGACACCTCAATTTTTTCCCCCTCACTAACGTTCGCATTTAAAACTCCGTAAAGGGGGGTAGGTACAAAAGAATTGAAGCAAATGTGTGACATATACGGAGCAGGCCTGTCAACTGTCCCGTGACTATTTGTCACGCATTTGCTGAAGAATTTGAAGTCACGCCAATTATGTTTGCGTGACAGAAAATGTCACGCAAATACGCATTTTACCTGGTAATTGTCAAGCAAAAATATTTCTGTAGAAAAATTTCTAAAAAAGTTTGTCGACACAGCAAAAATACGAACGCCGAAAAAAAACGTACGCATTCCGTTCGGAATTTTCACGCGAATTACATATATGTCACGCATTCCGTTCGAAATTTTCAAGTATGCTGTATTTTATTTCATCGATCAAAAAGTGTTCATCAAAATAAATGAGCAATTACGAGCCTCGTTACAAGACCCATACATACAGGCAAGTACATTGCTCGAAAGTTACGAGCCATTACGTCCTTGTTACAGGCATCGCACAGGCAGGCTGTCCAACTGTCCCGCAATTTGCGTATTTGTCACGCATTTGCTGGAAAATTTGAAGTCACGCCAGTTTTTTTTGCATGACAGAGTATGTCACGCAAATACGCATTTTACCTGATTATTGTCCAGCAAAAACATTCCTGTAGGAAAAATTTTCTAAAATGATCGGCAATACACCAAAAAACCGAACGACGAAAAAAACGAACACATTTCATATGTTACGAGGCTCGAAAATTACAAGCTATTACGACACTCATAACAAGGCCCGTGCGAGGTTGTACAGGGCTTTTTGACTCAATGAGCTCCGTTCCGTACAGGCTTGTACAAGGTCTGATGTAATTTGCCTGTGTACAGAAATATTTTTGCTTGCCAATTATAAGGTAAAATGCATATTTGTGTGACATATTCTGTCACACAAAAAAATCTGGCGTGACTGTAATATCTTCAGCAAATGAGTGACAAATACGCAAATTGCGGGACAGTTGGACGGCCTGCTAAAGCCTATACATGTATGTTATTATACAGATCACTTATTATGTTCTTCATTCAGGATCTTAAATTGCAGTACTGGATATTCAAAATACTTTTCAGGAGAAAAATGGTACTGTTACAAGGTGTGCCAGGACCATAGTGCAAGTGACGGTGTACAAGAGTACAATGTTGTGCCCAGACATTCAGGATTTCAGGAGCCTTTTTGATGTTTGACATGGCTCATAAAATGGCTGAAAGGTAATTGAGGTTCCTCAATAATCCTTCCTCTCAGGGTTAGATGATGAAACATAAATGTAATGTTACTAAAATTCCGGAAAACAATGAACAACGCTCCTTGGTAGCAATTTTGAAAAATAATATTTCACTATTTATATAACTTATAAACTAAATATGAAATAAAGGGATTTAACTTAATACGAATATCTTTATGTAGCTTATTCATATTGTTACATGTGTAGAACCAACAATGGGCCAGGCCAGTCAAACCTGTAAAGTGGAACACCTCCCTGGTAGATACTCTTTTGGAGGAACCAAATGTGTTCCACTTAGACAGGTTTTACTGGACTCCATTCTGAAAAGTTTACTGCAAATAAATTATTCCGTTATATTATTTTATAATATTCTTCAATGTAATTCTACTTTTATTTTATAATTGTGATGATGATTTCTTTAAACAATATTTTATCATATACAGGTGCCAATGGTATCCTGCCACCAAGACAAAATCATGAAGTGATTTGGAACTGAACTGCTAATCTCTCTGGGAAAGAGGATTCCAACCTGGCCTTAGACCATGTGTGTGAGTTTCAAGTTGCTATTACAAAAGGTAATTGTTGGTTCCATTTATAGAAATAAGTTTCAGTAGTATCATTGCCTCTTGTTTGCCATTTTGAATTCAGTGGCAATCTTCCTTCTTGAAAATTCCTGCGGGATGAACATATAAAGTATTTGAGCTATCAAAGATTACATTTTTAAACAACAAATGGCGGCCGTTTTAAGGACAGCCATCTTAAAAATTCATTCTTGAGCACAGCTTTTTCTGCCTAAGGCATCAAGTATATAAAATTTGAACCAAATCCAATGATATTTGCTCAATTCCAGAAGTTTCTCTATGTACAAAAGAAAAATCAACAAAAAGATTCCTCCATTATTAGGACATACTGAAATTCAAAATTATGCATGTTCATTTCCTGGTCACTTTATGAATACATCAATGATGATATCAGTGTCATGTAACAATGTTTTTTCTACTTTAGAAGGTCCAAAGTGGGGTCATTGTCTGCTGAGCCACCAGGTTGATCGCGTTTACCACCTAGTTGGGTTAACTGGTCAATGGGTAAACAACTTGACAAGAGCAGCTGCAAGGTTTACACTCATCAAAGTCAAACAAACAGAAAACTGAGAAAGATGTTTTAACATTTATAACAACATTCAAGCCTGACAAACTGTTCGATAAGGTACCAGGACCTGTACATCCTTCATTCAGAACATTGAAACATGAACTTAAACTGAAGGCACATACACACTGAAATACAGATGTAATTTGGACGCTGAGGTTATGAGAGCTTTGTACCTATTTCGGTGAAAAAGTTACTTGATACAAGGCCATGTGTCAATGGATCCTACACAATAAATAACTCTCAATACTCCCCAATATCATTTGCATGATAGAAAAACCGGGGAAAGAACCCTACCAGGCCTCGGTGTATTCATCTGCCATTCATAAGTTGATTGAACCACACTTTTTTGATGTTTACTATTTCATAAATAAGTTTTTCATGTTTTTAAGTTTGTGAGATTTTCACACTCATATATTGCTGGAGCAGATCAATGAATTGATATCAAAATTTAAAATATACAACATAAGTTTGAAATATATCTTTATCGAGAGAGAGTTCCCTTTTCGGGAATGGAACTGGGATGAATACAGCCATCTTTTTATGGCCTCTTCACATTAATGGTTGTACAACTAAGTAAGCCTCCTAGTGTTTCAGATCTCTCTGCCCTTCCTACTTCTGGCAAATAGTCTATGGCTATTGGCTAGTTTTGGAAGGTTCCACTGACAAAATGTCACCACCTTTCGAAGGTCATTGAAGGTCAAAGCTCATTTCTAAAGTCAAATTTGAATTTTCGAGAACTTTTAGATGATTTAAAAAAATAATTTGATTGATTCGAAGCAAGTTGCAAAAATACCTTTTTGACCTTTTTTGACCTTGAGAAGGACATTGAAGGTCAAATCTTATGTCAGATTTGAACTTCTGAGAACTTGTAGACATTTTGCATGTTAATGTCTTGTTCAATTATTTTATGAGTACAAGTTGAAAAAGGTTCAATTCAATATTATGCATCAATTTGTATTGCTTCCTATGGATAGTCAACCTTATCCTATTGTAATTGTTTGATGTATTGACCTTTTATTGAAATTGTAACTTTTCGGCTTTGTATTAAAAACCTCCTACCTCATACCCACCTACCCACGTACGTGGGACATGATACAGTCTTTGAAGGGTTCAATTTTAAAGATCTTAGTTTATTAAATCTTATTTTATGATGAATTATAGATGCATTTGTAACGACCCTTGATAGCAATTGTTGCTACTACATCCCAGCTGGGTTCGATTCCCATTCAGGGCATCGAATTTAGCACACTTTCTTTCAATCTGGCTTGTTGGACCTATGCTCGCGGTTGTTAGTTATTTATTCCCCTGGGGCGCCCCCGGGTCATTACACATTAAAATGCATCCATATGCCTTTATTTGTGGATCTGTCATCTGTCTAGTCATAAAATAAAGACAGAATTGCAGAAATGGTAATAATTTGAGATTTAATAATCTTTAAAATTGAACCCTCAATGACTGTATCATGTTCCACGTAGGTGGGTATGAGGTAGGAGGTTTTTTATACAAAGTCTGACTTTTCACTAAAATAGACATTTTGAAATCAAAATAGACAAGTCTAGAGGTTTTACTGTGTATGAATATATATGTGAGTAATTCCCATTCATTTATCAGGAACAACTGGCACTTTCATTGGTCATAGTTGCTGACAATACAAGCAAACAGGCCTTGGTTAGAAATTTTTAAGATTTCCAATGTCCCTGTATGTTGATCGGAATGTGCTTCCCTTGTCATGTGTAAAATAAACTTGAATTACATATGTGAATCATTTAATGTGGTAGGAAAAATATGATTGTGTACAGTAAATCCTATCTATTGGATAGTGCCTATGTTATTTGTTTCTATGAGTTTAATATATTTAAAATAAAACTTTGAAATTAAAAATATGTTCAGTTTTTGTTAACAAGAAGAATTTAAAACATCTTTTATCATATCGAGTCTTTTGATTTATGCATCGATCCTTCTTAAGATGGGCTTCCAAGAGAAGGGTATCTCACCAATGAAGCTCATTGGCAATTATTCCCTGTACTAACCAAGTCTCAGTTACATGGGCCTAACATCAACATGAACACACACTGCTTCCTGGTAGGTGTCAGATTTCTGAATAAATTCTGAGGTCCCTCTCTAAACTCTCATCCTGCTGCTGCATCAAGGATTTCAATGGTGAGAGTGATGTGTTTAATTCCATGGTAGAATATGTTAAGTGGTAATGATGGTATGATGAATGGTAATATTTCCTATATTCTGTTGGTAATACTCCTATTGTTGATTGTTTATTTATGTTCACCAGAACCAGAAGTGGTGACATAGTCTCAAACCTTTTTGTGTGAAGGTGTTTGTGATGTTAATGCCTTTTTATATTGGTAAAATGGATTTCATATTGTTTACATTTCAAATAATAATTTTAGAGCATAATTATCATTACTTATTGGACACCCTGTAGCAGTAGTTCAAGGTCACATGTCTAAGCAAGTGGTAATTTATACATTTTCCCCTTTCTGGACAAAGATCTGCAAAGATGAGGTAATTGTATGTTGCACTAATTTTGAACTTGGAAAGTCCTTCAAATGAATGTAATATATTGATTCTTCAGAAGGATATTCCTTGCGAGTCCATTTCTCTCAATATGGTTCCTATAACCATTTTTATACTCTCCATATTTAGCAAAACATGGGGAAAAGTATTGATATTGTCAAAATTGATCATTTAAAATCAAGTGATCATTCGAAGTGGGCTGCCATCTGAACAAGTATTAAGTTTGCATATAGCAATAAGGTTAGAAGATATATATGAAGCACATCTTAAAATATAGCAGCCTATTGTAATGATCAACTTTGACCATATTCAAACATTTCCCTATGTTTTGCTAAATATGGATAGTACATAGAGGTTATTTAATGGGAGGCATGGAATATGAATTTTATTTTTGAGAGAAAATATGATATTGGCCGAGAGTAATATCATATTGACTGAGGGTAACAGCTGGATTGTCAATATATCTTCTGATATTTATTTCCATCTCCTCTGTTGTGTACCGAGACTTGCTTAACGAAAACCATGAACATCGAGAGAAATCCCTAGGAATAGTTTTAATACGGGATCTGATTCAGGATTTTTTGAATATCAGTTGTATTCCCTATTTATTTCAAGGAAAACATGTTATGGAATAAAAATGGTTATACATGTAGCTACCATATCAAGAGTGAAATGGGCTTACAAGGAATATCACTTTAATTCAAGAGTTACAGGTATATACTTAGTAGACCTGTGCCACCTTTTCACCTTCAACAATGAGCACAGGTTTCAAAACTTGTATGACTGCTCTCCTGTCTGATGACTTCTCCTTTTCAGAATATTGATTGACATGGCTGGAGATGGGATCATCTTGTGTAGAATGTGTACAAAATCAGCTATTTACTTCAAATTTTTCAATTAATGTATCAAAGAGGAGTTACTTATTTGTCTGCTTATTGTGAAAAATGTTTAATAGAGGGTGTTATGTCTATTGTCATGAATAGGGATATACATCTGATTTTTGTCCTCAGTAATAAGGGGATGTTCCATCTGATTTTTTTTATCTTCCATAATAAAGGAATGTTACATCTGATTTTTATCCTTGATAATAAAGGGATGTTCCATCTGATTTTTGTCTTTCATAATAAAGGGATGTTACATCTGATTTTTGTCCTCGATATTAAAGGGATGTTCCATCTGATTTTTGTCTTTCATAATAAAGGGATGTTACATCAGATTTTTGTCCTTGATAATATAGGGATGTTACATCTGTTTTTGTCTGAGATAATCAAGCGATTTGAATTTTGACATTTGAATTTTGTGAAAAGTATTACATATAATTTGTGTCATTGATAAGAGAGGGGTGTTACATCAGATTTTCTCATTGATTATAAAGGGTTGTTATACCTGCCATAGAGAATAGAGGGGTGTTACATCTGATTTTCCCATCAATAATAGAGGGATATCATATGCCATAGATTAAAGAGGGGTGTTACCTCCAATTTTAAGAGGTTTTCTTTATCTGACCTTTTCATAGAAAATAGGTGTTACATGATCTGACTATCTCATAAATAAGAGGGGTTACATCTGATTTTGTCAGAGATAATAGAGGGGTGTTACACAGTTTCATGCAACACTCAAGTATCTTAATGATTGAACTTGTCTCAAGGCCAGAGGAAATGAATGAAAAAGAGTATTTTGTTTTCATTAAGAGCTATTCATTTCTTTGATAATGTGATTGTTTTTGCTTTGTTGAGATAAATCAAAACATACCACAATGTAGTATGTACCTTGAAACACTAAGCAAATTAACAATATTGAGGCTTTTACTCTGGCATTGAGACACTGATGTAGTCAGAGGAGGTTATGAACATCCAGCAAATTGCTACGTCAAAGGATCATGGGCTTGCGAACCCTCTGTGTAGCTCTATCTGTTGGATTTTCATCTCCCTGGAGTTCTAGATGTAGTGGATGGAAAAGCAATACGGTCTACTCTACAGCACCATGCCCCTGTAGTATGGGATATACAGTATAAGACAGTAAAACAGACTAGTGCGTGAAATAAAGCAGAGAACAATAGCAGTAGTATACAGTTCCATTCATATGCATGTTTAATATCATAGTTTATACATTACACATTGATTAGTTAGTACGAGTAGTATAAGTATAGTATTGGAGTAAATAAAGTGTATAGAGAACTGAAGAATGGTGTCTAACAGTACATAGAACAGTAGTACACAGGTTGACACTAGATATAATAGAACTAATCCAACACACACTGTGTACCACCAGACTCAATAGTGCTAGAAATACTCATGTGCTTTGAGTATAGATACTCAATGTAAGACTCGAGCATTCTAGAAATGATCGTGTGGCTCGGGTATGATACTCAAACTTTGACTCAAAGTGATCAAAGTTGTATGTGTAATCAAACAAGACAACTCAAAGAAAATGAGTTGATATCCTCGAAAAAGTACTCAAGAGAGTTAAGTGAGTCTATTGGTACTCAAGATGCACAGATTGGGTTCTTGTACTGAAAACTAAACCAATAAGGCAGCAGTGGTTATGAGTGTGCAAAGATATGGAGAATACAATATCTACAGTATATGGCCAGATGTATATGTAGTCTGCTGTGCTTATATACCACCCTGTGGTCTATACACGCACAGCCACGCCCATATATGTCATATTAATAAGCATAACAACCAATTCATACCATATAAGGGAGAACATAAGTTTCAACTTGTAAAAACTGTATTAAAATCAATCAATCTAAAATCAAAATCATAATCATGAACTTTTGGCATCAATCACTAAATTGTATATGTGAGAAGTTTCTCTTCATTCAGCATGTATTTCTGCTAATGGAATAGGATTTTACTGTAGAATCCTATGTTCTCTCTTTGTTGGCTTCTAAACACACAAAAAGGTAGTTATAGTACAGTATAATAATGGTCAAGTAGTTGCCATGGTATATATGAAAATAAAGATTTGCAGATATACTTTATCTAACTATACAGAATAGTTTTCTTATATATATAGTATATTACAGATTTTAGATCAGATATGAAAAGCTGTCAAGATTGTGTTTTCCTTCCCGTTTTTGTTCAAACACCAAGACTAAGACAATTAATCTCATTTTATTACAAAAATGGTTTTAATAATATCTCTGTTTTTCTGCTGATTACAGCTTATAAATCACCATTTCTCTTAAAAATGACATCTCTTTTATACCAGTCAGTGTCTTATAATAACAATAATAACAACACTCTGCTGTAGCTTTGGGATACAATAACTGCGAATCCTCAAAAGAGGATAGATATACAGTTCTTTGAATAAATAAAAATGAGTATACGCTGTATTCTTCTTTATATCAATAAAAAGCTACAAAATTTGTTGCTTTGTTCCCTTTTAATGAACTAGGCACATGATGTCCCCCAATAGGTGGCTGTATACATAGTGTACAAACCACCAAACAGGGGGCTCTCAGATCTGGGATACCGGGTAAATAACATGACAGTCCAGATTTCAGCTAGCTCGCTGAACAATGGGATATCTAACACATACAATGTCTAATCAGTTGAAATAACACAACTGGAATGGAGAAAAAAAAATATGATCTATATAACAGTATATATGCACAGTGGATGGTCTAGTAACCAAAAACACAAGTTTGCTCTCAGTATATCTATTATATCAGAGCACTATGTACAAAAGGGTGTGGCAGGTGGTACTGCAACAAGGGAACAACAGTATGCAGGAGACTATATAGATTTATATCAGAATATACACATACATATGCATTCTATTATACCCTTGTGTTGTAGAACCACCTCAAATTAATTTGGGAAAATACATTTAAATTTGGTACTTGCTGAATTCATTAAAACAATTAATTTGAAAACAACCCAATTGAATGAACTTTAAAATGCAACAAAGTATAACAAGGTAAATCACTGAGTAATATAACAAAGATCACCTAAAGGGTGACAAATGCCAAACCACTGCACTCTTGGATTGATTAATCTTGGATTTCAATACTAATAATTACAAAGTACCATATCTCTAGTACAAAGCGCTTCTTCTCTTCCATTTAGAACATTCCACCATAAAATAGCATTGTTTAGTCCAATCCACTCACACCATCTGCTCAGAAAATCATTTATAAATTTAATAAAATCATATCTTGGTATCTGTTTACATATCTTTATAGTTGATCTGTATTCAAAGTCACATTTCATGAAACAAGTCACATGAAACAGGTGGTGTATTTGTAGTGGCCTAGACTAAACTGGGCAAATCTAATTGATGATTGACTTTTTGCGAGTTTTAGTTTCAGATCAATTTGTCCTGTCATGGAAAATAACATCAAATTACCTGAATAAAGAAAACATATACAGTACATGATTTATGAGACAATACAAATTTTAAAAATCATTCTTACTTTGGCATAAGCGCAAGACAAGACACTTGTTACTTCACTAACCTTCAAGTTCAACATACCGAACGAGAAACTCAACTATTTTATCTAATAGTAGATCAGATATAAAGTATTGTATACTAATAAACTTGCAATTGTTTATGTTATAAAGACACTCTACTCAAAGCACATGATTTCATGTTCAGAGTTCATTTTAAGAAAGTTCTCTAAATTTTTCAAAAAATCCATGTACTCTACAATATTGGAAACATTTACAGATGACCTAAATTTAATTACACTTATTGGAAAAATGACTCTAAATTTTGACATATTTTCCAACTTTACATAATACATAATGTAAAAATATATATCCAAATTACCTCAATATAATAACCCCGTATAATATATTGAACACCCAAATGCAAAAATAGGAATTATAAAAAGGTTCACTATTCTAAATTGCAGAATGATGGTGTATTACATTCTTGTAACACGTGGCTACAAAAGCTATGAAAATAACATTAGGTTAAGTCCACTGATGTATGAAATAACAGACGATCATGTGACTCTCCTGAAATATTTGGTCAGGACAAGTCCCATGACCAACTGTGATTCACAATACATCCAATGGAGCAGCTTTTGCTGTGCCACAAACCCCATGTGACTGACCACTTCTCAAACCTGTTAATTCTCCAGGCTTGATTCTTTCACTGTGCAGCCTGGTAGAGTTGATATGTTGTCACTGGATTTCCATGTCACAATCAGGTCCTACACCAATACACTGTCCAGCTACAGGGCCTCCCTGCCCCAACACTATTCGCATTGGTAAGCCACATTGGAATTGTCTGTTCTTTTGTAACTTGATCTCCCTCCTACTTTAATATATTTCTATAAACTCTACAGTGTACTATTTACTTTGTATCACATTTAGACAAATGTCGCATGATTTGCCAATAGTTGCCATCTATCTAAAGTGCAAATATGTATATACCCCAGCACTATGGGCAAACTAGGCGACATTTCCTGACCATATATGGTAAGGTCACATGAGGCTGAGATCGTGTGCTGTGATTGGTCTATACACCACAGGTCACTCACATAAATTAGCTGAGAAATGTGTTTGGAATTTTGTACATGTTAAGGCCAGACTTTCCGTACACCATTGTGATGTCACTGATGATGTCACTGATGGCTAGATCATATCGTGGATTTAGAGAAGGATACTCTGAGATGTACGGAGTCCCCAAGTTGATAATTGTGCATTGCCATTAGAGCCGTCACTGCCTCATCCACAGACCCTAGCTGTATCAGTGCCATCTTTCTGTCTTTTCTGAAAACATCCCATTTCAATATACATGTACATTTCTAACAGAAAATATGAAAAAAATATATACATTTCTATAACAATTGCTCACTCAACAATCACTAAATTTTGTAAAAGAAGATTTTGCCTAAAACAATAGTTGTCCTAACATTGTCCATACTAAACAATGTGCATGTCGTTAAAAGAAACACAGAAACAATATCATATTTAATAAATATGAGTTAAAAATAGAATATTTTTATCTATGGATGCAGGTTGAGTGCTTGAGTTACTGAGCATATTTGTAGATTGGAAACAAAAGTTGAAACCCTTCGGGGTCATTTAGATTCATAATTCATAAACCATCGGCCGATGCAAGGCCTTTAGATTGCCATATAGCATGCCTAAGTTTCATAAATATTGGAAAAGTTGAGTTAGATGTAGGTAATAAACCATTAACTACAAACATCATGATCTGATGTAACATATTAATTATTTACAACTACAATAGACTTCTGATTAGAAGGTCAAAAATGAGTAAGACTAGCAAATATAACATGGATATTGATTGGAAAATTGAACTATTTATAAATATAAATTGTGCATGCCAGAGCTGATGAAAGGTATTGACTTGCCAGCTAGGAATAAATTCTAAATGTGGCAAAGCACTTCAGAATAGAACATGCAATTTCCCACCCACAATTTTATGAGTATATTTTTTTATTTATTCATTTTTAAGTTGCTTTTACAGAAATAACTTTGCAAGTTGATTTAAGGCTCTCAAAAGAAAATAGAATGACCAACTAGAGTGTTTAAAACAATACACTGTACTTACTGGAAAAATTTAAAGGCGGTGACTTGTGCCCCTGCATTTTCAAAAGCTTCCTTGATTTCTTCCTCAGATACTGTGGGTCTATAAACAAAGGAAATATGTTCTGATTAAATATTTAAACAAGTCTACTTTCAGCTTGAAATGTGGTGGTCATTGGCTATGTCTATGTTAAGGCAACTATTATTGCATCATCAATGTGCTTTACAAATTTAAAAGTAGTAAAAACATGTATCAGTGAGATACTATAACAGGTCTACTTACGGAATGTTGGATAGATGTAGGGTACTGGAGGGTGGGAATATGTTGTGATGATTCTTGGAATTGGGTTTTTTAAATCTGTGTAGTGGAGAATTCACATAGTCTTTGGTCAATCCTGCATCCTGAAATACAACATATCCAGATCTAATATGCATGAAGTCGTAGGGCTACTTCATAGTGGTACTTCCCCCACACATATAACCCCAAAGAAAGATGAAAACTAGACATTTCATGCCAAACAGAGGCACTCAGTATCTATATAAATATTATATTTGGAGGTAATGTAACAATTTATAATCAAACATAATCACTCGAGCTATTATATACTCAATACTTGTCATTTATGATGGGTAGATCTCGCAAGGCCACCTTAAGTTTGACTACATTTTGCGCTGTGCACATTTTCCAATGAGTTTACTTACAGGCTGTCCCTCCTTAGGCATAGAGACTACTGCATGTTTAGATGGTGCCACCTTGATCTGTTTGCCCCACACTTTTACCTTGTCTAAATGTGTCATTGCTGGAGATAAGAAACATCATAACGAATAAATAATAAATGCTTATGTGTTAGAATGAACAAAACAAAATGAAGATTCACCCACCTCTCATTTTTGTCAATTATATGAAAAGAAAATTAGATAAAAATACAAATTAATTAATGAACAAAGACACTCAAAATGATGTTTTCTATAGCTATATAAGCAATCTACTGCAAGATAAACTGGAAAATAAAGAATAAAATATATCAGATGTTACCTTGCTGAGCCTGGTTGGGATCAGCGAACTGCACCAGCGCATTGTCCTTCTTATTGAACATTATCTTCACCCTATGTACATCCCCGTATACACCTACACACAAATCAAACATGTTACTCCTAGCAACAAATACACTAGTCACTATAGCAACCAATGGGCAGCCATAGCAACCATTTATTAACATACCAATTGACAACACAGAGAGTTTGATTTAGTGACGCTACATAAAGATCAGATCAGATATAATAAAATAAAAAATGAGAATACTGTAAATTGTTGTTTTAGTATGAAAGGAACTGAGGCGAGATGAGATGATGAAACGACATGCCTTCTACTGTTATATCAAGGTAGTTTAGTGGTCAGAACTAACAAGACCACATATCTCCATTGGGAATTACAAAGAGTGCATGAATAGCGGCTATATCACACTACGGCTTATTAATATATACATTATTTATGTACAAACACATGTATGCCTGAATCTGCGGCTACATTAGACAAGAAAATAAATAGTGCTTACAAACGTACCAAAAAGGGTAAAGAGAGCATCGGGCGTGACCTTCTATAGTTGTAGAGCCAGAGTATGGATAGCATAGTGGAGAAAGTGTCCAGAGAGAGTCCACATGTAGGTAGATGACACCCAGCGAGGGACGGGAACAAAAGAAAAAGGGAATAAATCATTGTAGTCAAATCACAATGTGAAAAAATTATATGCGACTGCATGATTATTACAGGGTTGATTTGTGTTGGTTGTTGGTTGGTACATGTATGGCTTTAATTAAGTTGTAAACAGCGGAACAGCATTTCTTTGATTAGTTGCTGTAAATGCTTTATCAACTGACTGCCCAATACAGAGTAATTCTACTGCATTGACCGATCTATGGCATGCAGTCAGATATATAGAGCATGGGCATGCAGATGAGACTTATTAAGATCATTTTGTTGTCTTATAATATACATTAAAACATGAAGCTGCCAATTCTGCAAATTGGTTTTAAAGCTGCAAGCAAGCCAATTTTCTCAAAATGTAAGCTATTTTCCCCCTACCTCCCCATCATTCACAATTTCTACAAATATATTTCTTGTGCTTTCAGATTCTATATTCCCAGTGAAAGTATAAGGTAGGGAAGAATTTAAATCATTCTTGTTTATTCATGTTGTTTATTTTGCACCATTTGCAAGTATTTACACATCCATGTACTTCTTGAGGAATCTCAGATCTCTAAAATGCCCCTAATCCCAATGAATGCTTTTATCTCCAAGTACAGCATCTAACAATGGTCTAATTCAGCGATCAAATGACAAAATGAATGATATTCTGCAATGATATTGTTCAGCTTGTTTGTTTAAACCATTTTAGAGAGCAATCAAAAACAAGTTTACAGCTTTGTAACTATTTCTTTATGGGGAAATAATCGTTTAAATATTGAATTCTACAAGGCAATGGACAGTTTTCATGCTCAAAAAAATTGTAACATCAAAATAAGCCTAAAGGATCCAGCTACACTCTGTTAAGCATGATAAAAGGCAAGAAGTTTAGTTAGAAATAAAAGAGTTATCTCATGAATGGGACCCTTACATAGCTCCTAAAAGGTAGAAGACACTAAATGGTGTAACACTATAAGGTGAATTTTGTCCACATAGAGCATGTGCACAATACTAAAGACATGTAAAATTGAACTGTCAAAAGAACTGAAATATACTTACCAGCTCGCCTCTACCGGAAGTTATGATACGTTATGGTGTAACTATGGTAATTAATTTTAAAATATTGAAAAAATCACAAAATACAAGTTCTGAGGTATATATCATTCTTAAGAGAATTAGCCCATACTATGACTATATATTCGCACCCCCATATACAGATATATATATAAACTTCATATTCACAATAAATTGAGCTTCTTTCAAATTTCCATTTTTTGAGATAAGTGCCATTTTCTTACAATTCAAGCCATAAAAATAGTTGGAAAGTGCTTCCCAGTTGAGGTTAATGGCTTTTATTTACTTCGGTCCAAAGCCTTCTCTATATTCCGGCTTTGAGGAGGAAGATTGAGCTGCCTTAGTATTATAAATATTGTAAATCATTGTGTCACACGCACAGTAAATATGGCATAATAATATGAAATATACCTTTATGTATAGATTTGAAGAACATCAGCTCACATCCCCGTCTGAATCTATTGTTATATTTGATTTCTTTAAGCGAGAATAATTTCAAATGTTATTCACGTCCAGAACCGGAAGCCATTTTTAGCTACAGCGAGAAAATTTCACCATGTGTCAAACTCCGAAATGAAATTTTGAAATATCTAAATCCAGACAAGCAACACTTCATCCTAAATATGATTAATATTCTTAAAAATATTTATAAAATTTATTAAAAATGAGTTCTAGGTGCGTGTAGGTGCGTGTAGCACAGTACATACGAAATCAATGAAGTTTCGTCTAGCTGTAAGCTAGAGACTCGAGTAAGCTTTTATACTTACATTAATGTATGGAGCACTTAAAATGTACTTAGAATCGTATAAATAGCTCTATTCTGTGAGATTTATTTTTGTTTTTATTTTTACATTTTTCTCACCTCATAATTGAAGAGCTCCGCTGTTGATTTACATTCAGTTACACGTATTTCCTTGAAAATTCGCCATGATTGGAACAAATGATGGTTGGTTTATGTTTTATTCATTTAGTTTGTATTTGAATCTAGCTACTTAAACACAAAACATGTCTTCGTGTTATGCTAAAGAGCAAAGATCGCGAATTCTAGGTGAAGCCAATTATTTTGCACAAGTCATATCCTGATTGCATCATAGTTACTTTGTACTAGTCACATCCTGATTGCATCAGCCAATTCACGTGATTTACAGGTTACACATGGTTCAAGGAGGATTGGCTCCCAGAGTGCAACATCGATATTCTGTCCCATATACAAGGGGCGATCCATATATTCTGATAAAAATGCTCTCATTTTGTGATTCTTTCACATATCCCTCTCATTTTTTCAGAAAATGTGGATTATGTAATTACACATACAATGCTAAAATATTATAGCTATATCTTAAATTATCAATGAGATAAGGCTGCCATGGTAACCTGTATTAAGGGTAGGCAGGTCAATTTAATTATTATAACATATAAATATCAAAATAACTTGTTATTTTAATTATTTTAAAGCATGTGGAAATCATGCATTTTTTCTAAAAAAGTTTGGTATTGTTACTCGTTGTTTGTTGCTAAACAAATGTTTATATGTGCTCACTATAACATCACAACAAATCACAATAGCATTGTAGGACAGAATGGGCCAATTGACATTACATGTTATGAGACACACCAAAAATCAAATTGTCAGATTAGGTTAATGTGGCTGATGCAGAGTGTCACATTAACTGATATATTAGGGAATACCATTAGATTTTCCATTATTCTTTCAAGAATAAGTAAGAGGACACTGTCAGAGACATACATGGACTCATAAAGTGCATGGGCAAGGTGTTATATCTGCATAAAGAATATATAGGTAGTATTGTAAAGAGGAAAGCATGGTCACTGTTGAAGATCATCCGCAATCTGATTGCAAGAAGAGCTTGCGGACAGAGAATAACACTACGATAAATTGAGATGTTACTTATGAAAAGATAGCTATCCCACTGGATAAATTATCAAACAAGGGCAACAGGGGTATGGAACAGATAAATGAATAGTTGGCAATGACTGGAAGATACGTTTGATCTGCTTAAAATAGGTACCGAGGAATGATTAAATTAACATATTTATCTATTTTAGACGTTATAATTTAACTGACCTGCCTACCCTAAATACAGGTTACCATGGCAACCTTATTTCAAAATTAATTTAAGATACAGCTAAAATATTTTAGCATCGTATGTGTAATTACATAATCTACATGTTCTGAAAAAATGAAAGGGATATGTGAAAAAATCACAAAATGAGAGCATTTTTATCAGAATATATGGATCGCCCCTTGTATAGGCATGTCGTGCTACAAAATTTGAATTCCAACAGCCGCCATTTTGTTCACTTCAACATTTGAATCGTGAATTTTGGTCTTATTTCCTAACGAAAAATTCCAAAACTCACAGGAAATGATCGAGATATTGGTTCCAATCTTTTGAACTGTTTATTTTGAATTTATAATCGGTTATAATTTCAGAAAATAACGACATCTCGGCGTTTTCATTGTTGGAAAATATCGACTTCGATTCTGGGAGCCAATCCTCCTTGACATGGTTTCAATATACATGTTATACTACTTCCGGGTAGGGTAGTGTTTTTTATACTTTAAAAACGAAGCCATTTCGATCAGTTTTTATAATCTTTGGTAGAACTGAGAGGTATTACAATACATATTTAAATTAATACACATGAGTGTATTTGATGAACTCTCAAAAAATAAAACCCACAATAATATCTTTTTTATTCACAATTTCATGTCATTGTTTCTAACAAGTCGCCTCTTTCTCTCTTTTCTTTATTTTTGTCAACAGTCAAAATCGGAATTTAAAACTTGGTTTCTTTACAAGCTCTGCTTCTGTAAATACTAAATAACATGAAAAATGTTAAACCTTACATCCTACACTTATTTGATATGAAATAGGCGATCATTGATATCATTTTGTGCTGTTAAGTGTGGATCTTTTAATTTTTTAGTCAAACTTGATCGTTGATCTCTGTCGATGTGACGTCACGCATTAAGTATGCACGCATGGGCAGTACAATACATAAGGCAATATGGCGTCTTAGGCCTATACATGAGCCAGAATGGAGGTCTGCAAGTTGAAATGAATATGTTTGTTTATGCATCAATCGATCACACATATAATCCAGACAATCTTTCAAATCATATACTTAACATTGTAATGGATTTATTTATTTTGTGAGCTAACGTTCCCTTTAATTTTCATTGGTGAAGCAATGATTTTACCTAAAATGAGTCCCTGTCTTTGCATAGTGATATTTAAAAATCGAGAAGCAAAACCTATGTTGAATATACTTGATGAAGTTTATATAGCCTAGGGGAACTCAAAAATATTGTTATTATATCGGCAAATTCGCTCGAAAATGGTTGTACACCCTAGAAATTGAATGTTGTTCATTTTTTCAATATTTTAAAATTAATTACCGTAGTTACACCATAACGTATCATAACTTCCGGTAGAGGCGAGCTGGTGAGTAATTTCTATTATTTTGACAGTTCAATTTTACATGTCTTTAGTATTGTGCACATGCTCTATGTGGACAAAATTCAGCTTATAGTGTTACACCATTTAGTGTATTCTACCTTTTAGGAGCCATGTAAGGGTCCCATTCATTAGATAACTCTTTTATTTCTAACTAAACTTCTTGCCTTTTATCATGCTTAACAGAGTTTAGTAATGTTAACTTAACTATACATATGCATGTAAAGTAAACAGGTGACAGCTTATCTAAGGAGACCAGGAATATAGTCATTGTAAGAAAAGTGCCCACATTGAAAAGAAGGCATTGTGGACTTCGAAAAATTCATAACTTAGGCATCCCAAGTCTTTATCAAAATAAATAACTTTCTATGGGATTCTGAAATATGAAGTTTTCTAAAGTCCACCTCCGTAGTTTAACAGATAGCTTGTCTGGGATTAAAAGTGAGATGGTAGCATGGTTGGAGCGTGATCCCTGCCCAATGCCCTGTTTAGAATGGAAATATACAAATATATCAACAAAAAATTTGCAAATGCAAAATTGAATATTCAAATCAATGCATGAGCGAGAGTGAATATTTACACTGCATTGCAGTAGCTGCTGAACAAACTAAATATATACAGTTATGAATCGGCTACAACAATATTTGAAAACTTGTAATATAAATGCAGAAATATGGAAGAAAACCACAGGAACAGCACATTCTCAGTTTTATGGTTCTAAAAGGTTGGAGAAATCAAGATTTTTCAAATGCAGAGAAACTTAAGCCCAGTATACACAATGAAATGCATTTTATGATCATTTCAATATTTTGCTTATTTCAATTTCAATCATTTGAAATGGTTTGATCATTTCCAATTTTATTTGCTTCACATGAGAGAAGAAAACCCTAGAATAGCTGCTTTTAGGCATTTTCCCATTTGAAGACCCAGATGTGTTAAATGGTTGAAATGAAAGTAGGACAGTTCCTTGTTTCAAACATTTTGTTGAGTGTTCTGCCTGAGGTAAAAAGATCACTGTTTATTTTTTGTACTGTTCCACTGTTTCAAGCAATCCACTTGCATTTCAAGCATTTTGCCTGCCAGTGTATACAGGGCTTTAGGCCCTCAAGCTTAGGGAGTTTCCATGCTCCCTTCAACATGATTCCCCTTTACTGTGATATTGGTTGGCTATGTGCTAGTGAGGGGTCTGTTGAAGAATACAGAAGGATAGCCAGCTAGCCTGTCATAAGAGGGTCTATCAGGGCATAAAACAGTATCTTCACAGACCCCCTCCTACATTGAGGGTATACTGGATGACAGGGAGTGTTAGAAACATGTATTTATATACTGCACCTGTTCGTTCAGGTTTGATACAAGGAGCACAGTTCCGGCACCCATCCCCACCTGTCCTGGCATTCGAAGTCCCATGGTGGCTGCTGCATGAGGCATCCCTGGGTAGCCCATAGGTAAGGCCGCTATAACAAAACACAAGGGCAATGTTAGTACACATGCATATACATATATTCAGTAGTCCCTTCACTTCCTTTCCAGGGCTCATCAGCTGGATTACTGGACCTCACTCACTTGTGTTATATTAATTACTTATTTATTAAAAGCATAATTGATTCCTTATGAAAATTAATATATTAAAACGTAAAGTTAAGCTGCTTAAATATATGGTTGGACTTGCTGCGTTAAGTAATATAAAAGCGCAGGACAACATAATTTACTGGTCTAGGGGTAACTTAGTGAACAATTGTTAGTGATCAGCGGCCATTGTGAAGCTAAGCCATACACAGACATGCTATCACCCCTAGCACTACATCTTTAATGGAGCAGCCCACATTGAGGGACTAAAGTGATTCATTCACTCTGAGCTAGTAATGAGGGGTGATAGGATGAATCACGTGTAGGTGGGATGACTACACAATAACATGCTGACAGCTATACATGGCGCAGAAACAAAACTTCCTATAAACCAACCACTAAAACAGCCCATAAATCCACTATACCCCCTCTATCTAAGCCCCTGCTCCCATGTATAGCTATCAGTGGTGGTGGTGAGCCATGCGTACCTTGCATACCAGGAAGACCCTGCATTTGAGTGGGGCTGGGGATCATCCCCTGTAAGCCCTGCATGCCTGCCATTCCTGCTGGCATACCTGGGACAAACCCATGAATACCCATTCCCTGGGATGTCGGTGGAGCTACAAAATAAACACAGAACTGCCCTTAACCAACTCTCCTCTAGGACATACATCACTAGGCACTGTATCCATCCCATTATTCAAAGTCTAATCAGTGAATCTGATTGGTTATTAGCAAAACCACATCAAGACTGAACCTGTGAATTATGGGACAGGATCTAGTCTACTACTTCGGTACCCTATTAGTTAAACCCCTGGGTCATCTTTGGGATAAGACTTAAGCCTTGATGGGTTTGTGGATGGGACTGAATTCCACATGGTACCAACAGGTGAATAATTAGGACGGATTGCTTGTCCATGTACTACAGGTAGTCATGTGACAATTAATATGAGATCTTGGCATTTGTACTTATTGTTTGTGGTCTTTTAATAATAACCAGCACCAGCTACCAAGAGTTATGTATTATCATGATATAGTACCTAGTTACTCAGTAATGCATTTAATACAGAACTATTTCTCTGTCTTAAATTAGTCAGTTGTTGAACAGATCATCAGTAAAACCAACTAAAAGCCAGCTTCATGCACTGAGATCTAATGGCCTATTATATATTTCAATGCCATATTAAAATTCAGTGGATGTAACCCCAACTATATCATACACATCCCTTTGTGTGCAGGCAGAAGCAGCATACTCCTCAATGGGAATAATCATTCAACTTTAATGACTCTGAATGAGAGGTAATATTCAAGCATGCACACAAAGGGAAGTATATCTCTGTGCCACTTTCTAGTTCCAAGCTGTAGGTAGGAGGAGATTAGTTATTACGTGGTTTAATGGCATAAATATTCGATCCTTGTTTATCCTTGGCAGCTGGTTTAATGGAAATAAAAATTGCTAATGTTGAAAAGCCTTGGGTAGCCTACAAACTTAATAGGTTTCTATGGAAACATGACAACATCACAATAAACTACAGGATGGAGCGATGAAATGAAATCATCAATTTCTACTTGATGGTTGGTAATACATAAAGCTCACAGTACAATAAAAGCACATTATACAACTTATTGCGATAAGATTAATCTAGAACTTTCAGCAATACTTACATAGATATACTGCCCTCATACAGGCAGGTAAAGAACTATTTGATTACAGTAGTCTGGTAGCATCTTATTACTATTGCATGCCTCGTAGAAGCAAGAGTTGACTTGGAACGTAATAGTAACATTATAGTAGCTTTTGATGAAGAGACAAGGGTTCAACCAGGCCATCAAAGTGAATCAATCATGATTTTACCTCCTTTATATGCTATTCAGTCAAAGTTTTTCCCTTAATACCTAGACACCAAGGTTGATTTATGGCTTTCTGCCTTGCGTCTCGGCCATTCCCCTCCCAGAGATGTGAAGCCTCCCAAGAAATAGTAATAAGTATGGAAGTTTTGACAGAAATTGATGAACCAAGATTAAGAGAGGTATAAGCATATTAAAAAGTTTGAATGCAAATTTGATTTGAAACTGTGTTTATTCTGGGTAGCTTTATCAGTACAAAATCTGGTCCATTAAGAGCTTCAGTAGGGTAAAGGTGGAATAGCAACCCACATTCCTACTCCCAGTTCAAATTCACTGCATTTTTGTTTTTTAACTTGAGGATATATATGCTCAACTGTTTCTTTGTGACAAAAAATGATGTTTTTATAGATATCTTATGTTTTACATTGTCTTTCGAATGCAGATTGAAATGAAAAGGACCTTCTGATTAGCACAGAGTGTGCTGATACATTTGAAGATTAAAAATCATTTAGGAATTCACAAGTGGCTGATTTCTGCATTCCGTTTAAGGCTTCATGATTCTGTGGGAGGGAAATGACGAGGCATAAAGATGAAAATCCAAAGAGAAAACAGCCTTGGCATAAGGTAAGTCCTACTGGGGTCACTTAAGCAATGGAGTAAGGGATCACTGAGCACCTGGGGAATATTTCCTTAATGCTTTGATCAAGTAAGAAAGTAATCAGATTCAACCTTGAAGACCCTTTATACTGATTAGAGATTTACTCATGCCATATTTCTTCTCTGTCACATATTTAGGACATGTTGGATTCAAGATATGTATCACAATAGCTTATAATTAAAAGATGCTCTATTTGAGCATGTTCTAGTTGTTGGGGTCATTTCAACCCAACAAATACAAACACAATTCAGTAAAACCTGTGAAGGTGGAACACCTCTGGTACCTCATTTGAAAGTGTTCCACTAACAGAGGTATTCCCATGAGCATCAAACATGTAACAGAGTAGTTCTGTGATAATAAGCATAATGTCAGAAATCATTTGTTTTAATACATTCCAAGTCAACTCTAACTTTTAAAGCACACCTTCAATGTAGACACTGGTGATCCGCTCGATTACGCAGGTTACCGAAATGGTTCGTTTCGGTAACAAAATGTCAGAACGTCGAAGGTACGATTTTTCTTTTTTTATGGGTTAAAAGTTCAGATCTTAAATGTTTTCGAAATACCATTTATGTAACTTAAGTGAGGAATTAAATCAACGATTCTGTTGTCTTCTTCTTCTGAACTATTTGTTTGCAAATATGTATATTTTTCTAAACATATGCTACTGATACACATTTGTGATAAAAATGTCGTGGGAATTCTGCTTATCAGGTGTGAAATAAGGAAAAAGAAAAATCGTACCTTCGATGTTCTGACATTTTGTTTCCGAAACCAGCGTAATCGAGTGGATCACCAGTGGTAGATATGTACAGCCAATTCAAGCATTACACATTAACTCAGTCTCTCACACAGGCACAGGAACTTGACTCATGGGAAGATACTTTGAAGAGACTGACAATAATGAGTCAAGTTCTTGCTACTTGATGCCAGACTGATTCTAAGTGAATGGTGAGTGCATATGTGATGTAAGAGCATTATTAGTGAGTAGCTAAAAAGCTGTGTGTACCTGCGGTGAGTGGGCTGATTGCTGTTAATTGTCCCGTACTGAGCCCAGGCATACTAGTGGCGAATGGGGAGGCCAGAACGCCAGCCGCACCTTAACACGCAGAAATAATCAGCATGCGATTAATCCAAACACAAATTGAGGCAAAATCAGGTGGTTCTATGGTAGATGTTGGGAGAGACAGAGCGGTAAAGAGGCATGTGCTGTATATGTATATACAGGGCATGCTTAGATAAAGCATAAAGGTCAAGACAAGACCACAAATGTAGCACAAAATACAAATCATGTATCATATTGTTAAAACCAAATTTGATTCATGGGTATAACAAATAAAATATATTATACTCAATATAATATAAAATATGGCCCAAACCACTGCTAACACACTTTCTATATTAGCATTTCAATATATCGCGCTACATCTATGAGGGTTCAGAGACTATGAAGAATGAAGAACAAATGACAAGATAGATGGAGCATGTATAGTTCACAGGCAGACATAGAGGGCACCAACATCTACGTTTAGACATCACATGGTTCAGTGCTCTAAAACCTCAGCAGAGTGGATGTATCATCTTCAGGTAACTCAAAAAATGAGAAAAATCGGGATAATTGTATTTTCGAGAGATTCACTCTGCTGAAGATTTAGGTAATCTAAAAACCTCGCCACAAAATAAATAATAAAAAAATAATACAAAACAACCTCTATTATCTAAAAGTTGCGGTTAGATATATCAAAAGCAACTGGCAACATAACAAATAGTTTATATGATTAGTATCCAACATTAACATGAAAATCAACCTAACACTTCTCCTTTAGTTGCTATGGTTACGGACTAAAATGTGACAAGAAAGTTGAGAACCAGATTCAAAAGTAGAGTTTTCAGAACTTAAATGCTTTTAGAGCACTAATAAGATATTATTTCACAGCCTCTCAACTTTCCATAAGTGAACAAGTGATATGTGGCTACACACGATGTAAGCTAAAACTAATAATACCAAGCCATGTTTCATAATTCTCACAACATGATAAACTAACAAAACCTGTTTTATTCAACAAGACTATTTGAAAAAATCTATTAAGTCAACAAACACTGCATGCCATTAGTTTTCCTGGCAGAGTGTTAAATTGCTTTCCTAGAGACAGAACTAGGCTTGGTGTTATTAACACAATTATATGCATTAAACAACCCTATCCCCTATTAAAAATTAATGATAGGTCTATATAATACAAAAAGGTTTTAATGCAGACTGATTTGGCAAACGACAAAAATGTTTTCATCGATATCTGGATATATTTTTCATGAAATATTCATGTCAGTTGGTAGTTGTCATGGTAACAAAAGTGGATAGTTGTTGTTATAGCAGAAGCTTTTGTTTTGTAATGACAATTATTCTATAGTTTATATGCATCTTTAGTAGCATTGCTCATACTACCCTACTGGTTGAATTGAAGCTTTTGTTTCTCTTGCAAATATTCAACTTTAAAATTAATTATCAGATATTCTAGTAAGTCAAATACATTGATCAGGCTATCATTGTATTATATGTATGTACTGAATTTGCAATTTGCAACTTTTAAAATGATGAGGAAAAATGAATTAACTTTTTCTGAGATTTTCAGCATCCAGATAACTTTATATTCAGTGTGAATAAAGTGCATCAGAATTCAAACAGCAAATAGATTTTGTGAATTAGTGAATAGATTGTGTCAATTAGCCATGTCTGACTTCACAGTATGTTCCCAGATTATTACTGTTTGGCTTTCTCACATTGCTCAATGAGTCCCTAATAGAACCACACTAGAAATGAAATTGTGATGGAATCTAAATATTTGCATATGAATAAAGCAAAGTTGGGTGTTTTGTTTTCAGCTTTTATTAATGGTTTACAACAACTGGAGCCTAGGAATCAAGTAAACCAACATGCATGAGGTGGAGTATAAATCAATCATTTCCTCTTTGCCAAGTATCGAGTCACATTAAAACCTTAGGCTAGAAATGAAATAAAAGCGCTATTAAATAATACAATCCACAGGTATGAAAGGCTATTGCTCTGGGAAATAGGGAACCATTAGCATTATGACACACAAGGCGTCAATGTTTCTAGATAATATCTGTCGCAATAAGACATCCTGAACATCCTAGTAATCTGTGGCATGATGGCTCCATATAATAAAGCCAACAAAGACATGGAATCAATTAAAGGTTAAGATCTTGTCTCAAGTTTTTAATTTCCTCCGCAGATATTTTCTGATTAAAAACTACAATTTTCTGCATCAGAAAAACGATGTAATCAGGAAAATAAATATCCAATCATAAAATGAAAATGATCATGCTATTGGCTTATATTCCCAAAGCAAGCCTAGGATGGGCAGTGAAGGTATGTGCCTGTGAGCACTAGGGCATTCAGGGTAATATAGCAGGTGCTTCTGGGTACTTACCTCCTCCTATACAAGCTGCTGTCTGTGCATCAAATTGCATTCCCTCTCCTGTGGGAAGGTTTGGATTAGTATAATCCCGACTTTTGTCATTATTATATTTAACATTGAGGCTTGGCAGCTTTGAGAAGTCTATCTTCAACTGACAGCAACCATTGTATATATTTTGGCCATTCAAAGACTGCAAAAATATACACATACGGAACATATAATATTTGTCAAGGCAACTTTTGCTCATACAAGATATAATTTTGCTGCAATATTCATTGCATGAGATGAAATAAGTTTCATTTTTCTCTGGTAGCTTGCATACCACAGATAATCATACTCTACATAAATCATTTACTTTTAGACCAGTTATTTTCAAAGTAATTTTAACGATAATGAAACTCTCCTGATCTAACATGCTATGGGCAGCTTTAAGAACACAGATTTAATCCATGTATGTGTGTTTCAGGCATATTCCAATAATTAATTGCTTTTACCTAGTTACAACTTCAGGTATTCTGATATAGCAATGATCACGGGAATTCTTTTATCGAACAAAAACTGATTATTTCATGTTTGCGACAAATTATTTTGAATCAATCATAAACTGCAGTTCTTGAGTAATTACACATGAATCAAATAGCAGAAATTAATAAAATTAATGAAATAAAAGTATAATGTATGTAATAAATGCATATGAACAGAAAACAGATGAGGTCATTTGAGTTTTTCTCATTGCTTGATGAAAAACTGATATGAGTCAACAGTACATTGTGAAATCAAATGCAAATAAATTGTTGACTGAATAAAGAAATAAATTTCTTGACACCTTACATCCCAGATGATTATACTGATCTTATGATAAAGCTGGTGCATGCATAAAACGTGACATTAGGCTTTATTTCTCATATTTACCAACCTTTCTAGATAAATAATGTCAGGTTCCTCTAAGCTATTTAACATACAGTCATAGAGCGACAAGGCACATGTACACATATATCATTATGATATAATTTCATGAGGTGTTCAAGAAAATATTGTTCCTATACCAATTAGAGAATATATAGACAGTCTCGTAACATAAAAACATAAATAAATTAGTCAATGCATATTGTATGAACCTTAACATCAAAGATTAAACAATACCCAAAACAAATAACTTTCATTAAATTCCATTCCTCCTGATATTATTCCTTTAACAACATTTACCATCCATGTAACAAAAAGGAACTCCACTTTATTGTGATTTATATTAATAACTTTTTCCAGTTCTGTATAATGTCTACAATAGGAGACTTTGGTAAACATAGCAAGATAGTGTATACAAGCAGTTGATTAAGGTGTGAATGCACTGGAATAGTTCCTAACGATAATGAAGTGATCTTGAACAGTGTAAGTGTGTGATAACGCTAAGAGGCTGACCAATGAGTTTCCTTGAGCAACAAATTACCATCCCAGGTACAGTTTAACAAAACAATGCTTTCTGTTCATGGAAAGGAATTAAACACTTTGGTCATATTTGCATCTTAAATAACTTTTACAGCCATTTTAAGATCAGTTTACCTGTAATTGAGCTTATTTTTAATATTAAGGTAGGAATAGCAAGTGGAATTGCTTCTTTAATCCAGATCATTCTTTTTTCAACCAGTTTTTCACAAATGAATTCAAGACAGATTCATGGCAAGAGCCTGATTTATATCTGGTATGTTCTAGGCAGTCACTGCCATAATTCATTTAAAAACTGTGGTTAGTGAAAGAAACAACTCCAAAGGGTACATTATTTCTGATATACAACAATACAGAGACCTGTTGACAGTTCCCTAATGTACCCATATGACAGGTTATTTAGTAATATTGGATGAAATTTGAACTGTCGTGTCATACAGTAAAAACATTCAACTGTTACTCCATGAAAGCAATTCCATGAAAAAATAAAAGTTGCCAATTAAAATAAAAAATGATTGTTTTCATTTTAAGCCATCAATTCAACATTTGGCAAGGCCTGTTTTCTATAAATGATTAGAGTTTCTCTGATGCGTGATATCCCACAGTCTTACTGCACTTTACTGTCCATATTGTTTCCAATATGTAATGAGGAATCTAATGCCTGAAGCCTGCCGGGAAATCAATCAGCTTACAATGTGATGAAATCCTATTGAGAAATCATTACTTTACTGTAGGGTTATCTAAAACGCCATTTATTAGATGAACATATTTATTTCATTTCATCGTCATTGTTTTTTTCCTCAGGTCTGCTTTTATAATATTTATCTATGGAATATGGATGGTGGTTTTTATTAGAGAACTATTATGCAGTATTTGTTTATTTTCCTTATTATTGCTGTCATGATTTCACTATAAAATGATACTAATCGAGAAAAGTGGTTTTCATAGTGGTAAATCAATGATTTCTTAGCATTTATCTTGGACCAATTAGGAACTTAAATTAGCATGACTGAATGTAAACTGATCTCATGGTTATCAGCATCAGATATGACGCAATTATTTTCTGTTACACAAAGGACAAGTTGTGATGTTGCAATGTAGGAAAACATGAAATTATGAAAAGATTCTGTGAAGTACAAAACTTACTTAAACCATACTTCTTGTCAAATATGCAACCTAGCTATATTTTTTGGTTAAACCAGAACAGTTTAACTTTTGTGGGCCAAGACATTTAATTTATCTAATATTCCTTCAAAAATCATTGCTTAAAATTACAATAAACATGCAACTCGAGTCCCTACAAGTAATTTGTGTTGTCGTAAATATCATCAAATTCTGAAGCATTACTAAAAATAGCTAACAAGCACTTCTACATGAGTTGAAAAATCAACTCTCATGATATCTAGTGCAATAACCCAGATGCGAGTAGAAATAATCTTGATTTACGTCATTAAAAATTCAAAATTAAAATCAAAAGTAATATCATATTTGAAATCTACATGTAAAATTACATCTAGAAATGTGGTTTTAAAAAGTGTTTATCAACTTTGAAAATTTAATTTTCTTTGAAAATGTGACTTCTAGCTCGGGGAGATTCCCCATAGACCCCATGCTATAAAATCACAAAAAATGAAATAACTTTTCTTTTAGTGGACAGATGATATTTTGCTTTACTGGACATATTTTCATTAGTATAAGTATCAGACACATAAGGGTTATATGAAAATTGAGCCACTTAAATTGATAATATTCAAGTTTAAGGGAACTTTCTTATATACCTGCCATGTTAATTGACCCGAATCAGCCACCTGGTTGTGAAACTGGTAACTACCTACTCGCATTTGGGTAATTGTATAAGACAATGTAAATTCATTTTTGAAATTCTGATCCCCTTACAGTACATGTACTTTACCATCTCTGGGGGAAACTTAAAGAGTACAGGGTGTCCCGACAGGAAACGGGATATAAAGTATGGAGTACATATCGAATCAGACTTTTGTTCCGGAAAAGTGGCATTCTTTAACTTCTCAGCTTAGTAGTTTAGGAATTAAGGATGAACTTATTATTATTCATTTTCCTAGAAAATACAGCTAACACTAATGGCCAATCAATTAGGATGATTTTCTATGGCTTGCTTGGATTTCACGTTACAATGTCAAGTTGTACTTTTTAACTTTATAAAAGAATGATAAATCAATTGTTTATTGTCAGTTTCTATTTTGATGTTTACCTTTCATTATCATGAACATACTTGAACTAGGCGTAGAAACACAATATAACAGAGTAATGCTATCAAATAAAAACCAACGTAGGATACTTAGTATCATATTGTTCACTTTCACAAAATAGATTCAACATGACGACGTTTTTTGGTAGTAATGTTGAATGAATATATGAGTTGAGGTTTCAGTCTTTACATATTCAAAAGAAATAAAAACAACATCTATCCTTCATCAAACTCTTGGGAAAATGACAATTCTGTTTATGAAAATGTTTAATTAGACCAGGTAAGATGAGACTGTAACCCCTAGTTGCGACAACACCTATGAGCAGGGGAGAACTCTTTTCTACTCTAATCTTCACTGTTATTTACCCTGCGTGCAGAGTCTAGTTAAACTACAGTCTGCCTAGTAGAGACCATATTACAGTTTAGTAGCCCCGCCCCCACGACGGGTACCGGTGACAGTTTGGGTAATAATATAAATCACTTCTGACCTATGCGCTGACCTTTCTTCCACCATTCAGCGAGCCTGAACAAACATACGCCAAATGCGTTCTAATTAAATATGCGCATGTCATTGGTCAATTCCGGGCTCAACGATGACGTCAGAAGGAATGACCATATATAGAACGTCTGTCAAATTTGGCCGACGAACACTGATTGGCGCGTTGAGTTCACAGGTTTATTTTAGTTTGAAAGAGTGAAGACGAAGCTCTCTTTTAAGAAGTGAAGTCAAAAGAATGCAAAGGGTAACTGTTATTACTCACCACTTTAGAAGTCTGTGCTGCAATAGCATCTGCCATCTGAATCAAAGCTTGGAATGTATCTGAAACACACAGATGATGATCATATTAGAACTACAATAAGGCACGCACATGCAATGGTTGTATCAAACATATCATAAAATTCAGGGTAATAAATACAGGCAGAAGCAGCATTTAAAACCTCCATGTAGAAGTTGATCACCTAGATACATTCACCTTATGCGAATTGACACGATTTATAGGTGCACGCAGATTGAACATGTTTCACAGTATTCATTTCAATGATCTGTCACCATTACTCAGACAGTGACATCTTGTATCAAATAATGCCTCGACTAATGGAAATGAAATGAGAACAATAGATGAGGCTGGGTACAGTTAACCATCCAGTTTACATGACATCAAACTGGATTTTTTATCCTCCCTAGAACCCTGGATAATTATTCAAAAAGACATTGTCAGCCGAAAGGGGAATCTGATTAAACAATGCAGTGATGTCAAAACCATGTGATTTCAATCATCATATAGGGCCTAGGGATTAATTTTCAAGGTTTGTAATTTGTAATAGGAAACTGAGTAAAGACAGAGTTATATACAAAGGTACGTATGAATGACTAGTGTGAACTATCTAGAAGTGCATTGTCACTTCTGATAATAGGCAACACCAAAACAGTACTTTCCAATCTAAAAAAGAGCGTTATCCTGTTTTTATTGCATCACATTGTCAGATATACTTTATGTACTGCATAACAAAAAGAACCCTCCCAGATGTATCCAAATCAAGTAATAATGCACAAGTCATGAGTTTGTACCTACATTAACATAAATGTCATTGATGAAAAATACAATGTTTTCAGAGGTTGAATCACAGGGGAATGATTTTGACAGATTAACATATACCACCACTCTTAGCTAAGATTAATAAAGATGATAATAATGCAACTAATAGCCACCAGGTAATGGTTCAAACACAATGGGGCATTGTTTCTCTTATAGAGAATAATAATTCAGGATGAAACTACATGGGGAATTGAGAACCATTGAACACTAAAACCTTCTCGAATAATTTGACACATTTCATATTGGACGAGATGAAACCTTTTAGCAAGCAGTCCCCTAAGTGCTGTAATGCTACATATGAAGGATCAAATCATGATTTACTGGGTGCATTATGTCTATTATGAACATTGCACTACTTAACATACAATTAATTCTGGCCAAGCCTAGGATAATAACAACAATACATATGAAAGTACAAACATTGTACATACGGAAGTAACATTCATTATACAATCAAATAAATGTCTCAAGGCAGGAAATCAACACCTTGGCTGAATAATTCCAATTTTTATTACGTATGGTTTTCCAAGCTATAATGTATTTCTAGAAGAACAAATGACATTAATGTCAAATGGACAGAACATCTAATAATGGCTGTGTGGCCAAGTGGAATCATATGCTCGGTTGAACTGACATAATTGGGAACTGATTTGATCGTCTTTTATGCAGTATCTTAATATTTTACATGCTATTCTACACACAGTAGACAAGACAATTTGTTAATATCAAATGAAAACTACATGCAAGTCCCAACAAATAAGATAAATCATGATTACATTATATGAAGAAGCAATTAACAATTAGATTCTCAATATCCACATACTAACCATTAACAGCAATTAGTAGATAATGGAAGAATCAGTTATTCAATTGATCAACTAGAGCTAGTGCTAATGGCTTTATATAACATCAATCTATTGATTACGCTATGTGTTATATTAACCCCGGGAGTGTTAGCGCCACATTGATGTTCAAACTCTGATTAATAGAAACAAATAAAACACACAATGTACAAAGACTTGGGATTGCCTCTACCTGTTCTTAAATTAACGTGCTGTTGAGTTATTCAAGGCAATTTGCATGTCCAGTGTGAAATGTTTACTAAGTGGGGATGACGATGGCGTGATTGCAATAAGAACCTAGTGATAAATTATTATAAATATTGTAACAATACAGAGGCAATCTTGCTAATGGGCCTATTTAAAAACACCATTGTGGCCTGCCATATATTTGTTGACGAAATATCACCTAACATTTTCCACATCCAGGACTTAATGGATTAAATGTCCTTTAGTCATTCACAATTTGCTTGCGCAATACAATTATCTACATTTAGTAATAACAGAAATTATTCTCAGAATCCAATATGTTATTCCATAGATAATAATCTAAATGATTATCTTAAAGGTTATGCATTTACAAGATTATTCTTAAGGTTATGAAAACTAAAAAAAAATAATAAAACTAAATAACATGTACTTACTATTTTTTGTAAATGTAATTATTTTCTGACATTGTCCATAGCGAGAAAATATCTGAAAAAACATAAAGCAATGTTGATTTCATGGAAGTTACCAGAGGTATAGTAGTCACTTATAAGGACAACTAGGACTATAATATTACTGACAGATTGCATTTTAAAAACACTTCTATGTGAGTGGATATTAAACTCGTAAGTCCTCTAGTCTGTCATGCTGTACTTCTACTCCTCAAGTACTCTGTGATGATAGCATAATGTACTTTTTACAACTAGTTTTATCTTAGATAAAATACCATTAATATGATAAATTACTAAATTAATTATTTTGACACTATACTTCAACTTAATTGTTTCAACAAGAAATAATTGTTCTAAACAAAAATATACAAACAGACAAATGTAGACATAAAAGAATGTATAAAGCTTAATGAGATGAGCAGTAATATAATACTGCTAGAGCAATTAAATTATATGTTTAGCATTATTTCATTTTGTCGAAGAATGAGGGAAGGTTTTTCATACTAAACATATTATTTATTTCCCCTAAGCAGGCAAATGTAAATATAGTAAATGACAGCAACAGCAGCAAGGCAAGACAGGGGCACTGTGGAGCTGTAAGAAACAGGAAGCAAGTATTCAGAGATTAACAGGTCATATCATTGAAATGGCAACATACCTTCAACAATGGTTCACTAGTGGAAGAAGGTTATGTTGCGATTTAGAGATATGACAAGCATTTAATCAGGCCTTAGTAGAGAGACCTGCACAAGGAGAGACTGTAGGAATTTGGACCATTGGTAATCACATTCTTGTCATTAGATCTGAACAGGGCAGGAGGTCTTGTTCAAGAAAAGAATGATTCATAAATATAAAATACATGGCCAGCCAATAGTGAAGCACAGAGACTAGATAATCTAGGGCCTGCTATCATAACTCAATTTTTCAGAAGTTGTGTTCTACTTCTATTCGGCCTTGTGACAATATTACAGAACATCTACATTGAATCTGTATTACATATGGTAAAACTACAATATTTTCCAAGGGGTCATTTAAAGACCGCCATTTCCCCATTCAGGTCTTAGTTACCAAAGAAATTAGTGTCAAGGACATTGAAATACAATGTACAAATTAACATACATGTACATAAAGGAAGTAAAATGAGGTATCTGGTCGGTATCTAAACTTCATATACCACTTGGCCTTAATAACATACAACGTAGCTTACAAACAGTAAACCTACAAACAGATTCAACTTTGGGAATCTTTGAATATGAGGCCCCAGATGTTTAAAAGAGGCAAAGAGGCAAGCTATAGCCTCTAATAGTAAGTACAGTGTTCACATTCTGATACATCTAGCTGCTAGAGTTAACTGCAAACCAATCTATTAGCACTAACTCAATGAACTAATTGGGTTAAATCTGGACTGCAACTAAAGTCCAACCAATGTCATGCTTGGCAGGCTTCATTCACTTGATTATCAGTAACATACAGATGTGACGTTGTTACAAAATTACACTGGTGCAAATAAAACTGAATGAGATTCAGTGTTATATGTATGTAAGCTCAAAATACAATATTAGCAATAATTGCAAAACAGGGGGTTCATTACTGCATAAGTGCATTGCAAAAAGGGTGGATTATGAGTATATTACGAGAAAGAATATATTAACATTATCAAAATGATGTTTTAAAGCTTTCTGACTCATAATATAAACATTTGTATGATTGTTAAGTTCTGCGTTTGACTTCTGCAATATTAATCATTTGACTATCTTTGTGGTTCTATATGCGAGGAACTAAGGGAGTGGTTAAGTAATATTACAAAAATGATGGGCCAGCAAGAAATACAACATATTAGTCTTGACTCAGGTTAAGAGATTAAAAAGCAAAAACTGAGTGACTGAGTGATTAGATTAAAAGAAAAATAATCTAGAAAGATAGCAGTAGTATATAGTCATGCATTTTAAATATAGCCATGCACGAAGACTCCATATATGATCACTGCACCATGTGGCATAGTGGTGTTTATGGGGGAAAGGTGCAATCTATATACGAGTAGGACTAAAACAGATTTATATTGTTTGAAATAATAGAACACATCAGTATAGTCCACCAGTACATAAGATTTCACAGATATAAAAATGTTAGTCCATCTGAGTTAAAGGAACTACTACAACACTACGTTCAAGCAAACCAACAAGGTAGATCAGAATGTGAACACAAGGACATCCACAATCAACTGTGGCTGTTACCTGTTTTAATACGTCTACTGTGACAGGGTATAACATATTTTCTATGATAACTCTCAGTACAGTCTTTGGCTGTTCCCCTGCCTGGCCCATTAGAGCCTCTGCTGCCTGAAGCGCTGCCTGGGCGGCTGCATTTTGCTGTAAACAAATGCAAGATTAGAGCTACTGGTATATGTTAGCAGACACGAGCTGGTAGATGTGTACAGGTTGGGGAGGGAGGGGAAAAGCTATTCCATAAATGTACTAACATGCAACATAGTGAAACATGTGTACATATGAACAGTATTGTTTTTATATCCATTATGACAGACCACCATACAGATGCAACAATACTCTCTGTTCATGCAAAACAATGTTTCACCAAAATGGAAATTGCATGAACTGTTGAATTTCCAATAATACACTTAACCTAATCTAATTCTAATCATATTAACTCAGATGTCAACTCAACAGTTCTTCATAACCCTGTACACATGACCAGCTCGTGGAATGTCCATCTAGGACAGTTACCTGTTTCAAAACATCAACTGTGATAGGATAGAGCAGATTCTCCACAATTACCCTCAGAACTGTCCGTGGTTGATCCTCTCCTTGTACCAGCATCTGATTGGCTGCCTGTAGAGCAGCCTGGGCACCAGCGTTTTGCTACCATGACAACAACGAACATTAATATACATGAAATAATGATCAAATTGCAAAATATTTCTAATTAAAATACTAGATACTGTAATATGGAATACAGTTATGGCAAATATGTTCATTGTCTCACAACATCAAATATTAATACCTAATATCAGGGTGTTCTATAACACGTTAACTAATGCATTAATATGCTGCAGTTTCATTTAGAATTCTGTTTAACATATGTTAACATCAGGAAAACTAGATTTAATCAAGTAATGATAAAGATCTGGGGGATAACCCCATATTAATCATATCACTTTGATAACAGTGGGGACATTTCCATTAAAACGTTCTAACATTTTCTGTCATTCCAAGAAATATTCTTTATTTTTACTATACATTATTCTATTCAAACAGTATACATGTATATGATATTCAGGGGCTTCATTATACCATTAAGTAATTGAACATAAGTTTTGTGAGAGCTGGCAACTTCTCCTTGGCACAACCCAATTATATATTCTCTCTGGAGATTCCTAGAATCCATAGATCCTATCTAATCAAGTAAAAGCTGAGTAATCTCTTTCATAACACACAAAAGCACCATTCATCCGCTTATTTCAACAGGAGAGGAGTATTATTTAATTATTTACACCCTGTGTTAAATTGTCATTTGAGCCTTCATGCGATATTTCAAACAAGCAATTCAAATGGCATTACAGCAGAAAATATTTGCAGTTAACTCTTAATCTCAGAGAAACAATGGCAAAAGACAGTTATCCAGTGAAATATCATTAAGCGTAATAAGGGAGTTTGTGTAACGCAGAAAATTGAGTCAAAATAAAATTGCAATAAATGTGAATCGCTGTTTTCGAATGAGTGAACATCAGTGATTCCTTATTGATCACATCAGCCTGAGACGTTATGGCTACTTTGTCAAACATATATCACCAACCTTTCAAGATATTGTTCCAGATTTTACAGAAAATCAATTTTTTGTCAAAAACTGGACCATCTATCTTAATATTGGGCCATAAAGGGTTCATGAATTTCAATCTGAATTGAAATATTTCATGTTCTGGTGATTAGACATGCGATACCAAGTTGCCTCCAGACATGGGTACTGGTCTTAAAAGAGAGAATTGTTGTCTAGAGGGACATTATATTCAATTACACACCCCAATGACAAGAAATATCATGTTGCTCACTTAGCTCCAACAATGATTTACACGGATCACAGAGACATGTTGGAAATGACTTATAATATTTCATGGACAAGCAATTCCTTGGTAAAACAACCAAATAATTTCTGCATTACAAAATGCAATTAATTCCATTAGCAAAAAATCATTTCTGTAAATGAAAAATAAGAAACTCTGTATTCATGATAGTTCTGTGTATTGTACTTACTTGGCTACCTGCCTCTGTTTTAAGCTCCTGATGTGTAGAGTATTGAACATAGACTGTCCTGCCCCGTATCGTTAGTGGTTTTGGGTTAAGTTGATTGTGAAAGTTCACCATAGATGTAGCTGCATTGATATCTGCCATTTCTAATAGTGCCTGAAAGCAGATAGGCAAAATACATTAAAACATGGTAGAATATATTAAAACAAAGTACTGCATGGTTTTAGCCAGTATTTTTGGATCCTTTGGATTTTTGGAATAAACACAGACGAAGAATGGCATTTTCACCTGTAATATGAAAACTATGATATAGACGGGGACTCAGATGGCAAAGCAAGTTAGATTAGTAACTGGACTCTTGCCTTTTGGTTTATTCCAAGACCTGAAGACAAAGATGAATCGAATCCACACAAATCCTACCACTTGCTTAACAGTCAATGTTCTCCTTATCATCTCTTTTACACTCTCAATATCTTGTGCTCTCCCTGACTTAGTTATCAAAATAATGGCTATTATTACCTGTTAATTTATGTAGCAAAACAGCAAACTAGAATTCTGTTTATTTTCCTATTGAACCACAACCAGGCTAGTTACCAGAGATAGGGTTGCTGATTGCTTTCACAAGATACACCCTGTGAAAGTTTGTACACAAGATACAGTCTAATAGTCCCCTATTGAACATTACAAGAGAGCTTATATGGTTCTAGTCATAAAACAGTCAGATCTGGTTACAAATTTGATCACAAATCCAGTTCTGACTGTCATGTTTTAAGCCATATAGACAGCTTAAAAGCTGTTGTAAATAATGGATTTATAGTAATATTCTACTATTATTGGTTGTTCCCTCTATAGTGTCAATGCATTGCATTACAATATCATCCTCTGAACATCTCATAAACTCTGAATATATATATCTTACTCTAAAGATCTATACTCTGAAGAATAGATCCAAGTACATTGAAAATATCATGAACTCTGAAGATTAAGAACTCTCAAACAAACTCTAAGAGCAACAATATCTTATAGAGAAATGTTCAAGTAACCAAAAACATCTGTAGAGATAACCCTGCTCTCAGATATACCTAGGTAAATGTCACTAATACAATCTAAGTTGAGATGTTTAGTATAGTTTAACACTATGATACAGCTTTTTCACCTGTAGAGGTGGCCTCTCACAACAACATGATAGAGCAAATTGCCATGTTGAAAACTGGAGTGAAGTTAATTGAGAAATCAGCTTGCTGCCAAACATGCTGTAATCAAACACCCAAACATTTGACATTCCTGCAATAAGAGTTAGGAGAGAGTCTATCAGTATCAAGCCATGTACTTATTAACCTGAAGCCTAATGACTTGGTTGCTATCTAAAATAGGTTAGCTTGGAAGATAGGAAAATTCAGTGCCAGATTTCAGAGACAAACACAAACATTTGTCTTGGTTTATCTGATCAATTCCACACTGTCTGGGTATGGGTGGCCAATTCTCAAAATCAGGGTTTTATACTAGAGATACTCTACAAAACACAAAATGTTGTTGGTGATATGAGAGGATTCATATATATGAAAAATATAGCAACTGATATAGCAACAAATCTGTGTGAGTGAGTATGATGTACCAAATCAATTAGATATGAACAGATCAATGGCCTTTCAGTCACAGATAAAGGGTCTACGATTCACAAAACGATTCTTCTATGTGGAACCTATACCAGAACTCCAAATCCACTTCATGGAAAAGTACCCTATTCACAGATTATAATGAATCTGAAGCTGTTGAAAAAGAGTCATCGAAGTGAACAATGCTTGATTTCAAAAACAAGCTTCTCTTTGTGAGTCGGCTGTAACATTTAACAAATCAACATAAGAGAATGAAAGGTTTTAGATGCAGTTCTATTGGCAAAGATTGGAGAATATTTGTAGAAGCACTGAATCAATACATTTATTTCGAGTTACATTAATGGAACCTGATCAGTTGACAGACAATATAATCTGTTTCCAGAAACTTCAATAATTTCATAGTAATCAGCATTGGCAATTTAGACCCTTTTCAATTATTCTTGTATTTATAAAGAATTTCCTATGCGGCCACTGCTGGCGTTTAAAAGGTTGTGTACACATTCCCAATGTTATTAATATTATTATTGACGATCATAACACATTTCTGAATCAATTACTTGTAATCTGAGAAGAATAACCCCTTAATATTGAATAAATATCATAGTTTATGGTAAAATTGACATTTTCGTAAAAACAACAAGTTCAAAGTTAAACTCACACCAAGAAAAATATTCCAACATTTATAAATATCAATTTTTTACAATACTATATATAATTTGTGTAGGACTTGGATGTAGAATGCTAAATAAGATATTTCCATGTTCCAAGGGCAGTAACAATACAACTATTGTCCTCTATAACAGTAACCATTGTCATTTCTGTAAACATGTGCTTTATTTAACCAAACAAAAGGTATTAGACATTAATCTATGAAATGCTGTTCATCTTGAGGCAAGGATCAATATAGTGTAATAATCGCCTTTAAAAGTAAAATGAATCCCTCCAGACTGTATTGATATTGTATCAAGATGTGAAATTAAAGTGGCATTTTAAAGAGCATCCTAATTTACAAGCAGATTTACCCTATTTTGCACGTTTGCATTCAATATGAACTAAGTGCTGAATGAAGAATGTTATAAAAATACTGATGTTTAAAATCAAACACATATTTTAAGTGAATTAATACGATGCAAAACCAGCAAATTAAAGGATCAATGGGTTACATTTATACAAAGTCTGAAAAATATCCTAAAGTTATCTAATCGTAAAATTTTAATGTTGATACTGGCACCAAAGATATTGGCAAGCTATTAGTTGATTAGAAACTACAAATCATGCCAAAGTTGCAGGCCCAGAGGGCAATGTGAGGAGATGTGATGCACATTGTAATACACCAGTGGCCAAACTGACTATTATCTTCAATTGCATTTATCCCCAAGATGTATATAACCCAAGGGTTATAACATGTTGGTCACGCTATATGTGTAGATATACACCCTTACATTCTCCTTGATGCTATTCACATAAGGAAATAAGTAAATTATACATTCAACTGATCAAATTTCAGAAGATTCCTACAGGGAAATATTTTAGAATGTCAGATATGTTTTTCAGTGATATGAAGCAAACACAGGGGATGACATCACATGACAATTTCCCTATGGTTACTTGCCTAATTAGTGAAAGGGTTTATATTAATAGATCACAAACACACATCCAGTTGAGAATGAGAAAATCAGAACAGGTAGGGTTAAAAATAGAAATATAATAGCATTGGAAATTGTTAATAATGAATGTAAATATTGTGAGCAAGTGCTTAATGAGAGGTGCATACAACTTTCTATTTCCATATTTCAATGCTACATTTCAATGTGTTGGTTCATTTCATTTGCTATCAATCTATACATGCCTGTGTTTAACACCCAAATTGTAGATAATTCTTTCAAATTGGCACCTATTTGCTAAATTGCAACCTATTTGCCAAATTGCAGCCTTATTCACCAAAGTGTGAAGTATTGCACTCTCCAATCGTGACAAAGGCATTCTATACTTGCCCATAATTGCAATAATTGTTTCAAAATCATCGACTTACACGAGAACATGTATCACCTGCCAATTAGCAAATTAAGAGTTACACATGTAATGATGGTAAGAGGAGACAGATAACTATGCTGTATAGAAACAGGCAAGTATATAATTGAAGCTTATCTTCCATAATGACATAGATTACCAAGTCTGGGAGTGCAGTTATGGAACTTATTAGTCATCATATTGACACCATTAAAGCTATGAATAGCATTGATCTCTTTATATCTGTGTGCTATTCATAAAATACAAGGTCTAACTAATGTATATTAGCTTTCAACCCAGTTTAGAGAATTTACATCAAGGCACATATTGCTATTAAAGCTAAGGCCAGGGCTAGTTGGGAGACAACCTCTACAGAAATATCAACTCCAGATTAAAACTTCTAATGTTGAATGATTTGTTATAATCTACTATACGTCCATTTTGAACCAAGTGTCTTTCCTTGGAAAGATCATTTATGACGATCATTTCCCATATATTCATAACTTTATAATAACAATAGCACAAAAGATGTTCAGCTTCAAGGTACTCACCTGATTTTTCTTTTTTGCAAGTACGAGGTTTGTCATTCTGCCGAACATTAAGCCCATTTGTACAATTTCCCCCTCTGTAGCATCCTGGGGTACCCCCCGGAAATGTAGCACCCTTGATGGGACACCATTCTGGTTCTTGTCTAGCTTTGCCTGCAAACACATAAAGGAAAGAACATTAAAACATGTGGTAGAGGTCACTGACTCCAAATGATACATTTAATGCTATATTATGATCAAAAGGTAGGTAAATCACTCCCACATATTGAAAATATTAAAGCTAGAAAGCACTGTTTAGCAAGAAAGAAGCATGGTCCAAAATCACTGGGGATGAACTGGAAACGAGGGAGGTTTTGCCTCGTATCAAAATGGCGGCGCGTGAAAAAATTTCATTCGGTAAGCTTTTTGTTTTTTACAATTTTCGTGCTTTTATCCTTCAAATTAAAACTTAATATTTGGAAAGTAAATAGTTCATAAGTTCCGGTTTTATAATATGATTACAAATTAGAAATCAATACTGGCATTACTGAGATATTTACATATCAATTCTCTCACTTAGGAAACGAGGCATGTTTCTCAAGGAAACGAGGCAGCTATATAGCATTCTTAAGAATGAAACGAGGCAACCATATTTAATTAAAAATGTTTTGTTTTTATTACAGAACGGGGCCTACAAAAAGAAGCGTCCCTGTTCAAATGCTATTTCTGTAACACAGGAAACGACAACGTTGCTGATATTGTATTCCATATGATGCAACAGCATGATGGCAATCTCTCTGTACGAAAACGAACGTTAAATGAGAAAACAGTTTCATTTGTATACACGTCTCATCATTTTGGCGTTGCCATTGAACGTGTAACATACAGACATTAAAGAATACAAACAGTAAAATCCAATGTACACCAATGAGACAATGTCAGTGTGCTCCTTGACTCTGCTATTTTTGTAATATAGGCGAGTCATTTAATTATTACCATGGTCATTCGTTTTTTATCGTATCTGGAATTATATTCTATCAAATATATCCATCTCGAGCAACAACAATGCCCCATTTGCGTACGATTAGTAGGGAGGTTTAACGACACATGTTTTAAAGAGAAGTGTACGTAAACGTGTAAAATTGCAATCTTCAGAGAACTTGTTCTTGTCTTCAACGTCTTTATTTGCATGAATGATTACAAAGGTATCAGTTAAACTGTTTTAATTGGGTCTTTGTATAAGTCAATCCAGAACGGAACTATAGTTCCCAGGGGTCATTTCACGTTTACGTTCGCCATTTCTAAAATACGTGTAGCTTAAGCTCCCTATTAAAATAGCACTTCTTTGAACCACCCTTGGTATACGCAGCTAACGAAAATTGACCGGTACGGGTCAAAAGCTGGACCGGTACGGGTTAACGGTTTTATTTGAATTTAAAACAGCCATAACTTGCTCAATATTGACTTCCTCGTGTCTAATTTGAAATATATGATGCCTCCCGATGCTTTTAAGTACCCCAATTTTTTACAGATTTTTAAACGGACCAAAACTCTCTAAATGCGCATTTATGCTCTTTTCTCTCGAGATCGACTGTCTCATTTTCACGATAACTTTTATTTAGTACTTCTAACATATAAGATCTATTTTTCCCCATCAAGGTATGATGTAAATGACATGCTGTTTACATCTTGTGAGTTTCAATGACGCGCGTTTGATTTTATAAAAAATGCCAAACTTTGTGACAAAGAATTTCCTCCTGCTTGCAGCGAGAAGACGAACCGGTTCGGGGCAATCTGCTTGCAGCGAGAAGACGGACCGGTTCGGGGCAATAGCTGATGAAATTCTTTGTTCGTATACCAAGGGTGTGAACGAGATTTTCTTATTTGAGAGAACATTTTGACGATATATGCGCTACCATTGATAGCTCGGATAGCTGGCTCGTTTATTGGAATTGACACTCAAAGCAATGCTATTTAACGTTTTCGAAATATTTAAAAAATAAAACAGTATAACTCCTTAGCATAACTTTTAAGCTGCAGCAAAGAATGAATCATCGAGTGAAGTGCATTGACATTTTCTGTACTTAAAGATGAACCTAAACAACATGTAGCTTAACTAAATTGGTACAGTTAGACTTTTCTTTGCTGCAACTTTAATCATTCCATACCTTCGGCTGTATCATCAAGTTCCTTTATCAAACATTCAGATTGTACAGGTTATCAGATACATAGGCTTACATGCTTATCAGACATTCTTATTATATTATAATATATATAATTATTAGCTCATCATGTCATAGCCTAATATGTATAACTAGATTTGGAATGTGTACACATGTACCATCATTGTACCTGTATATGATGTGATTGCTTTTGCCTGTATTGGTACTTTAAACAATATGGTTATTCTTTTTAACTCTTACATATATAATCATGTATATCGTGTAAAACGTAATCGGTCGTATGTGACCAGAACGGTGGAAATAAGATCATTAAATGTAGACACTATCACAGAAAGAATAGTTGCCTCGTTGCAACTCAAACATTGCCTCGTTTCATTGTTACAAAATGTAGACAGGTGCCTCGTTTCCTAAGTGAGAGAATTGAAATGTAAATATCTCAGCAATGTCTGTATTGATTTCTAATTTGCAATCATATTATAAAACCGGAACTTATAAACTATTTACTTGCCAAATATTAAGTTTTAATTTGAAGGATAAAAGCACGAAAATTGTAAAAAACAAAAATCTTACCGAATGAATTTTTTTCACGCGCCGCCATTTTGATACGAGGCAAAACCTCCCTCGTTTCCAGTTCATCCCCAGTGAAAATATCTGAGGAAAGAGTTTCATGGGCATTTCAAAAGAAATGTTAAGCTTCTTTTAACTACTAAATTACTTTTAACTACTAAAAAGAAGCACATTTTTAGATGGAAATTTAAGAAATGATAAAATGATGTATTTTACATGAAAAATGATAAAATGATGTATTTTACATGGAAAATGAAGAAATGATAAAATGATGTATTTTACATGGAAAATGAAGAAATGATAAAATGATGTATTTTACTGAATAAGGCATAACCTTAATATAAAACTTGCAACATGAAACATCATCATTCACACCATGTAGACATGGCAACAGCAAATAAATCAAAAATCAGCACCAATATATTCAATTAATCAGCAAGTTCACAATGGCATTTAATCATATAAGTACATTATATACATTTATGAGTTCCAAACAGCATGGAAAGCACTCTTGTCTATCATTCTTAGTTAATTAAACTACTTTTCCAAACAGTTCAACTTGATATGGTGTGGGCAGACTGATACATACAAACTGAATTAATACAATCGTATTATATTTTCAATACTCAAGAAATTTTTTTGCGCAAGGAATATATTGTGAAACCAAGATAACTTGCCAGTCATATAACTACATTTATTTAAGCAATGCGTGAACATCACTGAACTTTCCCAAGATCGAGTAGGTTCCATTTCCTTCAATAGAAATATATGCTGGGAGAGACAAAAGCAATTTGATGAAAGGTGTGTGCTTTCAATAAGTATTTCAAACTAATGTATTAAATTGAAAATATTGATAGTATTGATTGTAAAGTAGGGCATACTTTACGTAATTAAGCAGTAATTATATATTGTTTGTTTGGTATTGTGTCAACATCATACCTGCATATTACATAACTTAAAGTTTGATCTAGGATTTAAACAAATTGCATTAAACAAAGAAATTAATCTTCATATGATATTATTACGACATACATATATTATAATTATATAGAGGTAGCTTTAAATTATTAAAAATCTAATAGATGACAGCTACAAGCAAATAAATGATAAAAACCTCTTATCTTTACTTCACTTTGTGTTCATATAACATTGATCTTATAGTCCCCATAAAATAAAACAAAACATAGTATGTTCTATATCATACAAAATTAGAAAACAGCAATGAATAATTGATAGTACAACATTTTATGAACAGAACTAAAAGTTTTCATTGTTTTACTAAGTGGAACAGTATTGTCAATAGTTTATAATGAGGATTGAGGCAGACAATAATTGCTCTGAGTTGATGTATGCTCTCCTATTTTACCTTCCTGATGGACTCATGAATGGAATTTACCTTCATTGAATTCTTGAAATATGAGCTAAAATCATTATGAATCCCATATCTCTCCATGCCTACTTTTATGAATTCCTTTTAATGACAAACACTACTTTATAAGAGTACACTTTCTCTAATCGTTTGATTTTGCTTCTTTGATAAAAGACCGCTTTTGCCTCTTGATACCATATTTGGAAGAATCTGATATCAATTATTTTGTAACTTTAACTATATAACCCATCCTTATTACAGGTTACCTGGTTATATATCTCAATCTCATGAAATGGTTGTAGAATTCAAACATGAGATCAATTATATAGAATCACTTAATCCCGTTTTTCTGACTGAAACATCAAGAAAATAAATCTTTTCTAACAACCAGAAAACATAACATCAGGTCAGGAGATGCACATGTTCTGCATAACTGGTAGCCATGACAGTGAAACAAATGTCTTTTTTATCACTCAGTGTAACAGGTGAAAGTACTGATTAATTAACACAGGGTTAGAACCAGCAAATGCTGGCAAGATGTTCCAGCAATGAACCATTCACTCTGTGGAATATGTGAGGTGTTGGGAACCTGTTATTATATCACAACAGTATCAGAGTGAACCTGCATAACACATAATTATAGCAGATAATAATAGCAAAGACGAACCTCTGATAATGAAACCAAGAGAAGATCATGATGTATGAGCTATATCATAATTAGGCAAGATGATATTCAGGTAAAATTACACCCCAACCACGACATCACACATCTTAATATTATGAATCAATCATGAGACTTCCATTTTCAATAGTTTCATTTGCTTAATAAAAAAGAGAGCCACTAGCCACTGGACTTCAAGGTACTACAAACAAGCAAATATTAGAAGACTAATATTACGAATCTAATGCAACAGAATCCTAAAACAAATATAGAAAACATGTTTTGATGCATATATTTAAGGACAATTTTGTGAATGAACTTAACTTTTGGTTATAAGTAGTAATAAGGTTAGCCCTGAATTGCCAATTCCTGTTTGTCTCAATCATGTCTAAACATCATATTGAGCATATTTCACAAGAACAAAATACCATGAAGATAAAAAGCTTGTGAAAATGACACCATACAAAACATGTAGGAAATAAAATGTAAAATTAATAGACAATGACATTGTTCACATTTCTTTGGATTTAAAAATTCAATAATGAAAGTATGCTTACGTTAATATGAGCCAAGGATTTAATAAGATTCTAATTACTGAAGAACTGGCAGGGCATGATGCTGATAAAACATAATCTCTACATCTGTTTTAGCAGTTTACAAGATTATCCTGTCATCAGCTCTCTAATATTAAACCTTTAGTTACATGATAACCCTCTTTTAAAAATGTATCTTCTCAAAGAATCAACAAAAATATTAAGCTCTACAATGTTTCTAATATTCTTATATATATTTATACTACATGTATGTCCCTATCGATAAAAAGATGTTTTTTTTAATTGGCAATATCCTGGACTCTCGAGAACTATATAGAATTACGCGTCATTATATTACATTCTCAGAATGAAACTAGGGACTCAGGTGTGTCATTAGTATTTCAACATTTTCTACAATCTCTTATATTTCACTGAATCTCTCAGTTGCAAATCTATAGGTGTACTTTATCAGGGCTGTTTCTCTGATTCGACCAAGCACAAGGTAAGAAATTCAAAACTGCCACTGTTGACTGATTTGGTGTTCTACATAGTATGAGTATAGCTAATCAGAGTAATGTAAGGTAGTTCAGGAAGTTATATCATATTGTTTCTATGAAATGAAATTGGCCATATTTTCTTGTGAATGTGCAAGATATGAATGCTGTAGAATATCACTATTTATCCCATACTTGGACGTGTTATAGGTACATAAAGCCGGTTTGTAAAAACTTATATTTTCATCAGCGGGCAGATATAGCTATACGTCCCGCTCCGAGCAGGCAGATATACTATATCTGCCCGCTACGTCATAATCGCCGCTCGCATATTTTTTCATAATTTGTAACGTTCGCGTAATGACTGTACACGACAATGGAGAAAACACAGACAATCGGGATCTGTTTGATGGTTTAAAAAATTGAAGGAGCATCCACCTAATCAATCAAAAATTCGAGAAAATAAATGTGGGAATATTTGAGGGAACAGGAGAACCCACCCACGGCCAAGAAAACAAAACTGGGCATGAATATTCTAAAATATTGGCCTCGGGATAATCCCAATATCTTGAACCTCATATAGGATAATCTCTATTTATCCCATACTTGGACGTGTTACAGGTACATAAAGCCGGTTTGTAAAAACTTATATTTTCATCAGCGGGCAGATATAGCAGATATAGTATATCTGCCCGCTACGTCATAATCGCCGTTCGCATATTGGTTCATTTATTGCAATGTTCGCATAATAACTGTAAATGACAGCGGAGAAAAACGCAGACAATTGCGATCTGTTTGATGGTTTTAAGAAGGGAAGGAGCATCTGTATCCTCGGGACCTATATTATATTAGCCTCGGGATATATCCTGAACCTCATATAGGATACTCTCTATTTACTTGTGGCATTAAACAAAGTGAATATTATAATAGAATGCATGAACATTTATGTCAAATTGAAAGCAGTTCTTAGTGATACTATATAGTAGTATACTGTTAAGAGACGAGCTGTGTATACTTTACCTATAGCGACAATAATGAGTTTTATTCCAGATCAATATTAACACAGGAACCCTATTATCTGGCATTAATTCATAGATTGAAATTATGATTGAATAATACAGAGAAGTAATGCTGACTGCAGTTATCATAATTGGTATGTGTATGAATGACATTTTTCATGAAATTACACAAATGTTTCATGAGAGAATATGTGTAATAGCTATTTATTTCTTGTCCCATATAAGATAGACTTACAACCAAAAGTCAAGTTTTTCACAAATCACATACTGGACACATACATCAAGTTAACCTCCTAACATATCAGATATATGGGTTTGGCAGATTTATGGATGACATTTAGAAAAAAATACATGTTCTTTAAGTAATCTTTGAACTCAATAACATTATGTTATTGCACTATATCATGGTGTGCAAATGGTGCTTTACTAGACATATATTTACACTTATATATCATGAAGATAGGATCCAAACCCCACATGTAATTTCAATCATCATAGCGTTTTTTTTTTTTTTTTTTTTTTTTTTTTTTTTTATTTATTAAAATCATATAAACATATATACATATAAGTGATAATGACACCCTAGTGGGTGTATGTCTTATCACAAGCTAAAATATTTAAAAATGGCATATTGTTAGTTACATTTATTATTGATGTTACAAAGTGTCTCAAAGTATAAATTATGTAAGCCAAACTGGGAAACAAATAAAAATAAAAATGATGTACATTATAAAAGATGTAATAAAACATTTTAATGATGTAGAATAGCTAAATGGAAAAAGGTGCATCTGTTAAAAATTTGTACAGGGTACTAATCATAGAGACTAATTACATGTCTTTTGAAGGCTCGCTTAAAAATAAAAATGGTTTTTGAATTTTTGATAACATCTGGAGTTGAATTCCAGATTATTCCCCCTTGAGTTTTAATACTTCGTTTGCCATAGTTGGTTCTAAATTTGGAAATATGAAGATTGTCAGTCTGTCTTGTATTGTGGTCGTGTACCTGCTGATTTGCTTGAAAATAATTGCAAAATAAGTCATTCGGAAAATTGTATGGACGTTTGATGCATTTGTAAGTAAAGATAAGAACATTGAGTTTATAAATATCATTTATTTTCAGTATATTTAGTTGTTGAAATAAAGGTGATGATGGTGCTTTATTATATTCACTATTAGTAACTAAGCGGGCAAATCTTTTCTGCAGCTTTAATAAGATATCAATATGTGTTTTTCCTGTCCCACCCCAAGCTGGGATGCAATATTGTAAGTGTGAATAAATAAGTGAGTAATAGATATTCAATAATGATTTGATACTGAGTTTGTGTTTTATTCGAAATAGAGTACCTATGGTTTTTGAAATTTTTAGTGCAATTTTACGAATATGTTCTTTCCAATTTAAATTTTGGTCAATTATAACGCCAAGAAAATTTGTTGAAAAAACACGAATAATGTAAGAGTCTCTAATTTTGATTGAAATATTATCTGGTACCCTATTTTGTGAAGTTGTAAAGACCATAAAGTTGGTTTTATCAATGTTCAATGAGAGTTTGTTAGCACAGAACCAATCATCTACAGTTTTTAATTCATTATTCACTATATCAATTAAGGAATAAATATTTTTGTCAGAGCAAAGAATATTTGTATCATCAGCAAAAATTACATATTTGAATAAATTGCTAGTAAAGATTAGGTCATTTATGTAAAGGATGAAAAGTACGGGGCCTAAAATGGATCCCTGAGGGACACCACATTGTATTGTTTTCATATCCGAGTATTCATGTTCAAAAAAAGTAGTTTGCTTTCTGTTACTAAGATAACTTTTGAACCAATCCAAGGATTTACCCTGGAAGCCGTAAAAATTCAATTTAGTAAGTAGAATATCATGGTTAACCGTATCAAAGGCTTTACTTAAATCCAAAAAGATCCCTAAACTGTAATGTTTATTCTCCATAGCTTTCCTTAGGTTTTCTAGGAAAGTTAAAATAGCTAAACAAGTAGATCGATTCCTTCGAAATCCGAATTGATTGATACAGATTATTTTGAATTTTTCAACGAACTCAACAACTCTATTATACATAATTTTCTCAAATATTTTAGAAAAAACTGATAAAAGTGATATCGGCCTATAATTACTAAAGTATCTTTGATCATTCTTTTTGAAGATTGGAATAATTTTGGTTAAACCTTTATACAAGTCAAGTTTGACTTATTTTCACTACGACCTTGAATATGGTGTCATCTATCATTTGGAAATTTAAGGGCTTATAATGAGATCATGAATGCCTAGCAAGGTTGAATAGTAAGATTTTTCTGACTGATCATTAGGAAACTTACTTTTTTGGCATCATGGTTTATTTCCAGATTGGAGGCCTGTCCATTGCCATTCATCATCATTGGGGAGCTATTGATTCCTAACAACTCGTCTGATCCACGCTGCAAGTAGATAATAAAACACTTGCTCAAACAATTGGAAATATATACAATTACAAAACATTACAGTAAAATAGGTATATATTGTGAATGTGAACACCTCCTTAAGCGAACAAACACCTCAAATTGTAAACACTTTTCTCGCCCATTTTTATCGGAATATCTTACATAAACACAACTCAGTATGAACTCCTATTTTGTCAAACAGTGTATATTATGGAGGTATATTAAAATCACTAACATGTCTCTAATATTGACCACAGGTGTAATGTATATGATTCAACAATATAAAACAAAGCATCAAAGATAAATAAACTAAATCTTAGATGACACAATCATGGTATCCAATTACCAATACGTATATTAATTCTCTTTTTCGACTCATCATATCTTGCAACATGCTCTGATGCTAGGACATTTTGAGTTCATCTGATGGGGGGCGAGGGTCACAACTGTCATACTATGATCATATCACATAATCAAAACAATACCATGGCATCTCATGACTGCGTAGAAATGGATCTTGGGGACAACTTCCTCTTCAAGAGTTAACTTTTATCAATATGTTTATTACTGGAGGGCAGAAAGGTATTTAAAATCCATACACACTGCATTAAGTATATAAGGCTCTATTGACCTTCTGATTCTTTATATTTAGAGGGCGAACTATTCCATATACCTACAGGATTAATAAATGCTCAATAGAAGTACCACAAAATAATATGTTTAATCAATACAACATACTCCAGCATTCACCTTGTACACATGGAGCCTAGCTTTGCTTGTGTACTCAGTAGAAATATATATTTGCAGTAACTATATTATTAATGTTTGATGAAAGAGTGTTTTCGAGAATACTTGTACATACACTCCTTTAAATACCAGTTCTCACCCTTATTCAACCTTATATATTACATAACAATATTCCAGAAATAACAAATTATTTCCTTCAGGAACCATTTTGAATACATACATGCATGCAAATTTTATAAAGAACCCATATTAATGAATCCAGAATATTGTGTTATTAGGGTTGTTAAGTTAGTAATTATAAAGCTAACAGTCTGGTTGGCATCTACTATTCTGAATCTGGGACTGTTATATGATGGTTTATTAAATATAGCATGGATCTGACATGTTGGTAAGGACATTTACCAACATATGTGCAGATGAACTATCTATTATTTTTCCTCTTGCAATAAGTACCAGCATATTTAGGCGAGTGAGTAAGTTAGTAACATATATATGAATTGCTAAATAATTACAAATCTATATTTACAAAGAAAACAACCTGAAATAGTTTTAAATGCTTTGTAAATAACAGTAACCATCCCAAAGGTTATATGTATACTGCAGCTATGTTCTTTTAATTTATTGGAAACTTCACTGGATTCTGTGTATTTACATTGTTCACTTGTTCTGGGTTAGACTGCCCTATCGTAAGATGATACCAACTTGCCACTAGAACCAATTCATCATTCTGCAATGGTGATCACCCAATGGGCAACAAGAGTGCTCTAATTACACTTGCTAAATTACTAATACATCATTTTTCTGAATAAAAACATCCACTCATGGTTGGCTGACATACCGACAATCAAAGAAGTAAACATGAACAAGTAATCCTGAACCCAGACTATGACCAAAAATGAAAATGAAATTGTCCAAGCAGATAACAACGTAACAACAAAAACAGAGGAACATATTTTACATCCTATGAAATGAACTATACATAACAATTATGTTATGGATAAACAATAAGTCTATTGAAAAAGATACGTCTCTGTACAATCCCCCTCAGCAGACTATGTTGTCTAAATATTCATCTATACTTTGGCCCCTGAAACAAGTTGTGCTATAAATCTTCATTTGCCTTCCTATAAACTACCAATCTTGTGTCTAACAGTTAACATAAAAAAGACTTGTCTGTAAGTAGAGATAAACAGAATGTGTCTTACCTTTAGATATGTCATATATTCAGTGAGCTGGATGACAGAAAATACAAGTTGAACACCTGATCTCCAGATTATTAATCTAGTATTGTCGTTCAGATCAACTGACTACCCTATAGCTTCTATATGCACTTGCCACGCCAACCAATCCAATACACAGCAAAATCTAATTATGTAGCAAGCCCTTGCCTCGTAAAATATTCATAAACTGAATATTTGATGAATTCCTATATCAGTATATTAGCAAGACATTGTTATTTCTACCATGCTATTAGCAGACTATACAAATTAGCACATTTGTAATATATGTGTATTGTTTTGGGAGACAAGCTATAGCACTTTGTATATAACAGATAAATGGATAGATCAATTCAATCTATCATCTATCTATTAAATTATAACATACTGTAGTCCTCCAATTATTTCAATGACTTAAAACCTACCTTAACTCCCTGTTGTAGCAAATATTCCTGTGGTTGAGGCTGTGCTTGAACTTGTGCAATCTCACCATTAGGTAGTTGAAGTTGTACAAACTCTCCTGTAGGAGCCTGCACAAACTCTCCTTGAGGAGGAGCTTGCATCCGAGGAAGATATGTTAATAACATACTGAATAATGTCCTATGAAGAAAGCCAACTAGGCAGAGGGCAGAAACCTGTTTCAAATGACCAATTTAAGTGCTCCCTGAACTAGCTATGTTCCAAGTGCAATGTCAACAGAAACCACCATGTCAATGCATTCCCATTTCAGCTTTACTTTCAGCTTATATGACCTAACCTAACACAAACCATGGGCTAGAATCCAAACAGGTTTTAATTAAAAATCTTTTATGCAAACTGTGACTGGGGTTGAGTGGAGAAATTTGTGCAGTTTCAACAAGGCAGGTTTAAAAGTAATCCACTAAAGCTGCTGTTAAAACATTGGGCTATAGACACAGGTGCGTCACCACAGACACCATGGCCAACCTAAGCCCCAATGTAAACTCTCCGTACCTATGTACAGCCTATATTCAATAAGAAATAGGATAGGATATAAAAATGATCAAGTCTAAAAATAATTGAAAATCAGACTTATATTTTAAAAATGTTACCTTCATTTGCTCTGATGTATGTGTGGTGGTCTCACCCTGTAATTCACAATCCTGTGGCTCATCCTGTATAACATTCTCCATAATTTCACTAACTTCAACTTCTGACATTTTCTACGAACTTTTGATTACAAGGTTATGTATGCTCTAGGCTTGTTAGATTGCTAAACTACCAAAGCAATTTTCTGATTACCGGCCACCTAACTATGATGACAAGCTAGGCTAACGCTACAATACAGCACTTCAGTTCAACCAGAATTCTGCCAGTTCTGTTGTATCAAACAACTGGAAGATGACTTTGTATCAGATATAAAGCTTATTTTAGCTTTATAATGAAGCAGACCAATAGAGATCGGTTATATAAGCTCATCAAAGATGTTCTCTGCGAGATTAGCTTGGTATGAAACACTCCCTTGTGTCTATTATCTCCTACTCTAACTAACCTAGAGATTAAGCAAATATGAAATTTCCTCTGGCACGATTAAACAACACTAGGCCACTGACTCCAATCTGCTACTATGGGGGATCAGGTTCAATCTAATTAGCAAAAGATTTTGAAAAACTTGGGACCCCTGTGTATGTAAGTAAAAAAATATAACAGAATTCTGTTTCTGAAGATGCATACATCAACAACTATGCCAGTTAATTGCAGCAACCATCTCATAAAACACATCCTTAATAGTGAAATAATGGAGGGGAAATGCTAAATTTTTGACCTCCAAGTATCTTGGCAAACAAAGTTCATAGAGATAAGACCATACCATTACTGAACATAGAGAGTGAAATGATGGTCTGGGTCAGACGAATGGCAAAGCTCAGATACAAGCTCTATCAAACTAAAATACAAGGCTATCTGTCTTTTAATAATTGAAGGTAAGAGCAAGTTAATCCTAGATAAATCCCCACCATTTCCCACACCAGTTAAAATGGTATTTCTACTGGGGTCCAAGTCTATGTAATATCAGAGATTTACATTATCAATATTCACAGCATGTAAAAGTAGCTCATGTAACACTATTCTGTTCTACTTCAGAAAATCTAAGGATGACTACATGTTAACAACAAGGACAAATTCATCAAACAAACATCTAAGAGAGTAAACTGAGAGGCGAAATTATTATAATCATGAAGGGACAAATTAAAGCCTATGAGATAGATGTTACATAGTCTTTAATGAACTGATGAAGAAAGACTTTTCAGCCTGTCAGCTTGACATTCAATATTTTGTTAATGCAACAGTATCGTCATTTAACAGTTCTAATATATCAATTCACCTAGAATAAGCCAACTTCCTCTGTCTGATCCCATCATCAAATAATCAACAAAATTCAATAAAACTCCCAGTCAGAATTTCCAAGCGATTTGCAAAGGAAATGAGGTTTACAACCTGTGAAATGTGAAGGCAAACGACTGGTATGTAATGTAAAAAAGCTATCTATTATCACTGTATTTGACAGCACTCGAACCAATGAGTTAGAAATCTTGAACAATCATCAAGCAGGTCTCTTATCTAGAGAGGTATTACTTATTAGTGTATTAGTAATCTTAATTAGATGATAGTCCAATGATTGGCAACATTTATCGCTTATCAAGCGTTTCTATAAATCAGCTGCTTGAATTCAATAATGCTATATTGTACGAGGGATATGATTTAGAGGCCCCATGGGTAATATCTCCTGCCTTTGATTATCAGATCAACCATCAACAGTTTATCAATTCATCCTCCAGTTTACCAAAATGAAGAAATATTGGTGAAGTTCTCCTAAGAATTCTATTAGGAAAGGAAATCGACCTGTCATGACAAGAAAAACTATTGTTAAATCCCTCACATAACCAGACCAAGGGCAAAAAATAATGGTCAATTACTGTCTTATTATACATATAAATTCCATATTCACATTCATATGCCACAGAATATAATTTAGAAGTTAAATGAAGTTATCTTGGTAACCAGACTTTCACTGCA